CAGGCATATGCTGCATTCTCTGGACTGGTGATTCATGCTGGGCAGAGGGGGCGGGGCTTACAGTGCTGCTTTCTGATTGCTCTGTTTTGACAGTTGAGGAGGATGATGACGTGCTAAGGTCAGGCGAAGCTGATGTTAAAGACTTTCGGTTAAGTATGTAATTTTAAGGTCAATTTTGATGTCCAGCAACACATATTAGTTTTAGAGACTACTTTGAATGTATCTCTTTATTTTAAATAGTCTTTATTTAACAGTAATGTTTGCTTTCTGTGTCCTTTTACTTAGATTTTTTTTTCTTTTTTTGTTTTTGTTTTGTGATGCTGTTTGCTTTATATTTTTACTCTGCTTTGTTTTGATTTGTTGCTTTTCACTTTGTTTTTGTTTTGTTTTGGATTTAGTCTTTGATTTGCTCTTTGTTTTTGAAATCTTTTTCTTTTTACACCATTCTTTTTATGTTATAGCAATTAAAAAGGACCACAAAAAAGGACTAAATAAAAACACAATAATCTAATTCTCGAGACATTTCATCTGATCTTTAAATGTGTTTTTTATGTTTTGTGGTTTATTTGGCTTTGTTTTTGCTCTGTTCAATTTTGATTTGGTTTTTCCTTCTTTCTTCTTTTTTTGTTTTTTTTTGCCACTTCATTTTTGTTTTGTTTTGCTTTTTGTCTTTGATTTGGTGATTTTTTTTTTTTATTTACTACTTTTATTTTTATTTTTTTTTCTTAGAAAGGACAAGCCTTTTGAAGTGTCCCTGTTACGTTCCATGCATGTTTTGTAGTGTTTTGTGTTTGTTTCTGTTTCACTTACTCTTCTCTATCCCATTGTGTATTCTGTCCTGCCCCAGATGTGCGACCACTGGTCGAAATAACTATTAATAATCATTCTGACATCACACGGCACACCAATCAGGAGCTGTTCTGCTGCATACATCTTTACCGAACAGTTGATACCTTGAAACGACACGACGTCATGGCTTATTTTGCGCATGTCTGTGAGAATGAATGCCAGAAGTAATGAGATTAACCACTTGGGTTTCCTGCCAAAATGTTAACATAATAGTAACCGACATGTGAGTTTTGGTACGCCAAGTGGTTTTCATCCTTAAGAACATATTTTTTGGCATTGCTGGGTTTGCTTAATATAATTTGATATAAAGAGATACAGTTAATTAGCACAGAATTATACAGAATTATTAGTCCCCCTTTGAATTTTTGATTTAGATTTTTTTTTAAATTTGAATTTTTATAAAATTTCCCAAAGGATGTTTAACGGAGCAATGACATTTTCACAGTATGTCTGATAATATTTTTTTCCTATGGATAAAGTTTTAAGGTCAATATTATTGGCCCCTCTAAGCTTTTTTTTTTTTTTTTCCTTGATAGAACAAACCGTTGTTATACAGTAACTCGCCTAATTACCCTAACCTGCCTAGTTAACCTAATTAACCTAGTTAAGCCTTTAAATGTCACTTTAAGCTGAATACCAGTGTCTTGAAAAATATCTAGTAAAATGTTATGTGCTTTCATTATGGCAAAGATAAAATAAATCAGTTATTGGAAATGAGTTATTAAAACTATTATGTTTAGAAATGTGTAGAAAAAAATCTTCTCTCTATTAAATAGAAATCGAGGAAAAATAAACAGGGGGGCTAATAATTAAGGGGGTTAATGATTTTAACTTCAACTGTTGTTCACCCAAGATGCACACTCTGTCATCATTTACTCAGCCTAGACTTGTTCCGAACTAGTTTCTTTCATCACACAAGAAGATACTTTGAAGAAATCAGATTCTCATAGTATTTTCTTTCCCTACTATATAGATATCAATGGATACTGGTTTCCAAAAATCTCCAGAAAATCTTCTTTTGTGTTTAAAAGAAAAAAAATAAATTCATAAAGGCCTGGAATTAGGAGTAAATTTTCCTCTTTGGGTGAACTGTCAGTTTAATAATTCGCTTGGGCTGATCTTGAGGAGCACCTGATTCACTACCAAACTCCTCACTTGTGTCAACCAGCCTGTTCTTTCGTGTTCGTATTATTCCTTGTTGTCTAGTTTGTCTGTCGTTTAAGTGCTTTATTATTAAAATAAGCTTTTGTAGCTCAATTTACCCAAATATTAGAAAGTCGAACTATCTTTATAAGAATTGGATTATCAGATAAGCTTTTGTTTTGCTAATTGTTAACAATGTGTAATTCACGAGAACTCTATTAGTTCTGAGTAGAATTTTCTTTTGTGTTAGTAATTAGTTAGTTAGTAATTTTGTTTTGAATAGTTAAAGTAGTTTAGTTGAGCATCACATACGCTGAAGATTCCGGTTTTGTTTCTACATTTGTCTTTGGTTAGTTAGTTTAGTGGGTCGGGGTTTAGTTAGATTGTTTTGTTATATTTATTTATTTGTTTTGGCAACACAACACTGTTTTTCTTTTGATTCGTTCATTGAAATTACATTCCGAATTCATATAATCATTGCTTAATATCAGTGTTTAATAAATTGTTCTTTCTGTTTCACATATCTGTTTGTTGTAATCTCTCTTATTTTCACCCAGCACCAGTAGAAACTCTCTTAATGTCATGTCTCATCCAATATAACAACATAAACAAGTAACAGTCCCACATCTAACTTTGTAAATTACAAAATAAGTAAAAGAAGAAGAAAAAAAAAATAAACAACAGCAATCCCATTCATGAGCCATTCCACTGGATCTTTTGAATGTGTCAATCTTTAGAGGTGGTCCGGATAAAAGAAGGAAAAAATAAATAAATAAAAAAACGTAGCTCTGGCATTTAAGTCTATATAGATTTTCAAGGTCTCGGCCTTCAATTTTTAATGTGGTACGGGACTCCCGAGAGTGATTGATTGTTCACAGCAGCTAAAGTTCAAGCTCTTTGGGGTTGGGGTAGAGAAATAGATCTACAGGCATTTACCTTAACGCCCCTGTCAGACTCGGCACCCTTCCTGGACCGGCACCGTTAGCACTACATCACCCGGCAAGTGTCAGAAGAACTAGGGCTCCTCGCTGAGAGAAAATCACCTTGAGAGAGAGCTCTGGAGTTCATTGGAGATAAATCCCGTTGTGCCGGAGCCTGACTCACAGCGAGAGTCCACCCGTAATGGCCTCCTTCCCGCTCAGAGGAGATTAGTGTGAATCCGGGTGGCGGAGAGTGTCCTACAGTAGTTTCACACATTCAGCACCATTGCGGTGCAAACAATGGTTAGGTTTTGAAGTTTTAGCTTCCTAGTGAAAGCTTTGACTTCTCCGAAGAGTAATTCTCGACTGATAATCAACGTTCTGACTTGCAGCTTTGAGTTTTAGAGGTCTAGTTTCTGTCTTTTAGATTGATGCTTGTGTTTTTATTTATTTTTTTCTTAACTCATTTAAAGTCTGTTGGCTTTTGTTAATATAAAAGTTTCATTTTTTGTTGTCTATGACGTCTAAGATTTAGCTTTTTATAGCTAATGGGCAAAGGCTTACATTTTTCAGGGTTATCAAAAGGACTTTCAGATATAATATCAGGAAAATAAAACTTGGAAAACTTTGAAATCAAAATAAATAGTTAATCATGTTTTTTATCAGCAGTTTTCTTCTCTTCGGTTTGTGTTAGTTTGGCGTGCTGCTGCTATTTTGATTGCAGCATTTAAGGTCATCTTTTTAGACTGGTCATATATTCCACCATCATTTTGGCATAAATGTAATGCATATGAACTTCATTATTTATTTTAAATCTTCTTGTTTTTTTCTCTTTTTATCTGAGGCTGTTCTTGGAAAATAGTCTTGGATTGCTTTTAGTGTAAATACTCCTTCTCAAACGATGTACAGATGACAACTAATCAAGCCAAGTCAAAACAGAAACCTGTCAGCGATTGTCATAAGGGTTCGTTTATCCCCCCAAACAAAACATTTGTCGCTATTTACTCTTCAAAATCTGACGTTTGTGGAACAAAGAACATGTCGTTGCTGCTCCCAGTTCTTATGTGACAGAATAGAACTGCAGATTTTAGTAGCTTAGTTGCCCCTGTCTGCATAAATAAATAAAGAATATATCGCAGAGATTATAAAATATATTTCAGGAACTGTTAGTCGCTTGTCCCACATATAAATAGTTAAACATCTCTCAGCTCAAGTGGATACACATTCCCTTTAATAGATAAAAAGCCATTATATTTCACTTTCAGTTAAACTCATATTGTAAAACGCTTTGCATTACCCTTAAACGCCGTGATGCATTTTTAAAGAAGTACTTAATTTAAAACAGTCAGCCATTGCGACGTGCGTGCCTGGGGTGGGTCGATGAATTTCTCAGCGCACGCTTATTATTAATGTGGGCTCCATTGCAAATGCACACTGAAAATCTCTCTCTCTGTCACGATTAGAGTGACTCAACCGTCTCAAATCTTTCTCTTTCACACTCTTCTCTGTGTAATATGCATCGCCACGCACTTAAAACAATCACGAATGGCTCAAAAAGATCAAGGTGACCTGTTAGCCACACCCCCCAATGAATAAAAACATCAAATATTGACTATATTGACAGAATGGTGCTCAAGTGTTTATAAACGACTGCTATTTATCAACCGATTCAAGGATTAATAGATAAAAGCAAGGGTTTCCTAATGTGGTGCGAAACTCGGGCACACCGTCATCAAACATCCTTCATTACGAGGCCGTAAGCGTTCTGCAGGTGATAAATATTGCACAATGGGTCTTAAATTCGAGCCTCGTCGTCGTGTATTGACAGCGGTTTGGAGCGTGAGCCCAACTGGAAGAATTGCATCCAGGGAAACAGGCCTTAAGTGCCACTTAAAAAGCGCTGAATCATAGTCTCATAATGAGCCTGCATCTGTTCGACTTTTAAAAATGATTTCATACCGCCAAAATGGCATTGTGCTTTTATGAAAGGTTTCACCGAGAGTAACTGCATGTTCACGGTAAGAGCGAAACCCTGTGCTGTGATATTAAGACCGTGAATCAAACAGAGTCTGTTTTGTTTCCCCTCAGAGTTGGTGCGCAGCTGCCAGGAGCGGAGGTGTCAGTTTGACTGTGTGGTCATGAGAAACGGGACGTCCTGTTTCTGCGGGGAAGGTTTCGAGGTAGACGAGGACGGGAGAAGATGTCGAGGTGAGGGTCATCAACGGATGGAATCACCACTTTATTAAGTACCACTTTATTATGAGATATGTAACAGTTGTTAAAACTGCAAGACAAAATATTGTGCGATAAAATGTTATCTAGATGGAAAACTAGTTATGACTAGCAATAGGGGTCAAAAGATACTTTTCCCTCTATGCAAACAGCATGTTTTTGTAATTATTTTAGCTTTTCCTCTTTCAAGCTATGCTAAACTTGTAGGCCGAGCAAAATGTCATATTTAGACTTTATAAATTAGTGTAAATTAAAAGATCTTAACATTTCTATGAATTAAAACAAGGATTTTTAATTATCTCTAATTGTGCACTGAACAAAGTAAAATGTAAGCTTAATCGTCTTATATTTTTAATCATTAAGGCTGAGTTTACATGAAAACATCTGCTGCCGTACAAGCTTTTTGGAGAGAGGGGTTCCCAAAGAAATGGGCTCTATTTCTATTCTAAAGTGCGTGGCGCAAGAGAATTAAGGGCGTGTCTAAATCCACTTTCACTATTTTAAGGATGGAAAAATGCACTTTGCGCCCCAGCACATGGTCTGACAAGGTTGTGCTTATTCTCTTAATGAGTTATGGCTGTTTTTTGAGCATAATGTACATTAAACCAATCTGAGTCTCCCATTCCCTTTAAAAGTCACTTGTGTCATGCCATAGCGCATTCGCAATTGTAAGAATTGAAATATTACAAATACTTTTGATGTCTTTGACAATTCAAAACATGAGCTGAAAACAGGGCCAATTGACTCCACAACCCAGCAGGGGGGAATGCGGGAAAAACCAGTTCCTGCTGCATTTGCATCTGAGTATGCTGAAACTCAGCTTCATCCCCCCAACTCACGCATATGGTCATTTCAATGTTTGAATGTTCTAGATTAACCAAACTGACTTTAACTATCATGTTTGATATCATTTGAAATGTCTCAGTGCGATTGGTACAATGGTCTCATTCTCTCAGAAATAGACATAATCAAAACAATAAATATATAACTTCAGGCATCTTTTGAACAGCTGTGAAGGGTGTGACTTTTCCACTAAGTGTGAATGCCTTTTGTTATACACACCCACTTCCTTGAGGGAATTCTTGGATTATTTAAGGTAAGGTTTGAGAAAGGCTCAGGGCGATTCTGCCTACCCAGATCAGCCCATAACATGGCTTGCTCCATGTTATGTATTTTGAAGTCAGGAATGCATCTTTTTCATCTTGGATTTATCTTTGATAATTTGATGTTTTGTATTGATCATTTATGAATTGACTGATTGAATTTGGCATAATACATTTACCTGACTAATAAATTATGTTTTGAATTATTCCAACCTCGTGTTATTATCACTGATAAATGTTGTTGTCCGTAGCACTACAAGCCACTGTACAGGTTAGTAACGGACTAAAACATGTTAGACGGAGCAGCGTGGCATGCTATACAATGTTGTTAGAGATCCGGCTAACAAATTGGCATTATTTCAAGTATACTTGGACTGTAAAAGGCCAACTATTTAGAACAACAAAATATTGTTGAAACTACTTTAAATGTGGATATTTAGGCCTTCATCTACAAACTTATAATGCTGTGCGATTATTATTAAAATACTTTGTCTTGATTAAGTAGATAACAGATCTATGGGGACCACATAAAAATCTCCTAAATTGAGTAAGTAGGGTTCTGCCTTTTTAGGAGAGTGATTAATCGCCTCTGTTTAATGACCAAGACTGACAAGCTTGTATTAAGAGATTGTATACCCGGCCGGTGCAAGACTCGAGATGCTATACGAATCTGAGTAAATGAGAATAAGGTATAATAACAAATCAAAAGAATATTCAATCATAATCTAAAATAATGTGAAAGGAAGCAAAATAATCTTGTCAATGTTTTATAATTGGAGTCAGATAAAACGAGGATAAATATATTAATATTCTAAACCACCTCATATTAAAATTGGAGTTAGATATGAGCCAAGTTTAATATAAATCAACATTGTGCACTGGAAAGACCGAACATGCAGTGAACCTTCATCCACCACCGTCATTGGACCAACTGGCTGGACCCTACACAATTTACATTAAGCGCATGTTGTAAGTAGAAAAACTGATCACTTTACTAGAGAGGAAACAGTTAAACAGACCATCTGTGTGAGGTTAAAGAACAAGCCTCCTCCATTCGCTTTACCTTCTCTTTACTTTAACTCTTTACTCCTTTATTTTTGTGGAGTAAGGATACACAACATAACTAACGCGCGCTGCACTGGACTTTAGACTTGCTTTTAGTTGATCAATGGCACAGTCTTTTTCAGTTCCTTAAAATAGCAACGCACCAGCAATGCGTCTTAACACACCTCCTTTATAGACCGGCACACCCATGAGTCCACAAAGTGGCGCAAATGGATTTGCTATTTAAACAACGTGGCGAAATACAGGAACATTAGCATTGCACTGGTCTGAAAAACTACAAAACACACAAATCGCACAAAACACATCGACACGATAGGACCCAATGTCTTTCTCTGTCCATATTTTGATGTGGAATTTATTACAATTTTTCCAGAATTCACCAGGTCATAAAAATCATGTTGTATTTCAATGTGGCTAAATGATTCGTATCATTCAAAGTAAACTCACTGGTGACATGTGCATGGATATACAATCTTCTTACCATCACTATATTTTGTTTAAGGAAAGTAAAGGCCCTGTCCACACAAACACACACAAACAGTTTGGCTGTTTGTCCACATGAAAACACAATATCAGATTCAGAAACCAAAATTTTCTGAAAACCATCGATTTTCCATGATTGGTGATGATTTTACGAAACTCCAGGTACAATGTGGTCATGTGGACACTAAAACCAGAAATTGTGCCTCATTGGCCTCCTTTTTAATTGGCCAGCATGAGACTGGGTTCACAACAAAGACGGAAGACGTAATTGAGGCAAATTCTGCATGTTTATGGCAAACATGTCCCATATTCGGTGTCGTTCGCACAACAGTACAAAAATCCGCCTTTGTTCTCATGTTTGCATTGACTTCTATACAACATACTCACACACATAATCCATTTCTTGTTTGGTGTAAACCCAGCATAAAAGGCTTTCATCACTGCTTTTTGGCTTGGTGCACCCTTAACATAAATCACTGTGTGCTTTCGTGTGGACAGATATATATATTTTTTTTAAATGAAAGCAGGGGAAACTCTGTTTATAAAATACCAATGTACACGTAGACATGGTCTAAGTTGTTAGCTACCCATTGAAAATGTTTCTGTTTGATTAGGGATGCACTAAACATACAGCCATCAAAATAGCCACAACCATATCATCCTGCAGCCCAAGACTGGTTACTCACTGTAGCTAAGCAGGGCTGAGCCTGGTCAGTACCTCGATGGGATCCCACATGGGAAAACTAGGTCTCTGTTGGAAGTGGTGTTAGTGAGGCCAGCAGGGGGCACTCAACCTGCAGTCTGTGTGGGTCCTAATGCCCCAGTAAAGTGAAGGGGGGCACTTAAAAATCCCATGTCAGTTCTTGTAAAGACTAGGGGTGTAACCCTAGTGTCCTGGCCAAATAATCTCCAGTAGCCTTTACCGGTCTCCTAATGCGCGATACTAAGCTATACAGTAAAACGAATGGTCAGTGTTGTATGTGTGTGTCGCAGTCAAAGGTTATTCTGCTCAAGTACCCACATTTTTATTTTAGTGCATCCAGAATCTTTCACCGGAAAAGCAATGTCCACTCAAATAACGTGCCGTCAGGACATTTCCATGTAATTCCTGAAATAGCGATACTCTGCTGTCATGACAACGCTAGTAAAACAACGTCTCTCCACTTGTTCACAGTCAATAAAATTTCACTGTCAATAAAATGTGGTTATTTTATTGGCTTGTCTTTTTATATTCAGCGTAATTAAGTTATTCAATTAAATTCAGCCCTACAGAATTACTTTTTACTATTTAATAAAGTAATAAACAAGTGCATCTATATAAGGGGCGCCCAAACTTTTTCATATGTAGGGTCAAAATCCAAGTTGAATTGAGAGCTGTGGGCCAAAAGTAAATACAGCAAACTGTATTACATTAAATGGGCCATGGGTAATTTCCAAATTTATTTCACAATATTTATAATTACAAAAAAAAAACTTCAACCGTATTTACTTATGCATTCTGATTCTAAATGTGTATTATTTTAATTTAACTTAATACCCTGAAGAAAAATCCATTTATAAGACAATGGAGTTCAATGGCAAAACACTAGTCATGCTGAACCTGCCTTTGCCTTAATTTGCACACTGATGTCTGCTTTGTCACCTATTCTTTAATTGACAATACTGTATGTAACTACATTTTTTATCTGACTAATTTACAACATTTAATCAAAACATTTCATTTCAGTTTGCTTTTTTTTAGCTCAACAATGAAACAAACAAACAAATCGTTACATTAAAATAGAAATGAGAATCTCTGTTAAAGGCATTAAACCTTACCCAATAATTTTTCCTTTGGCGGGCCAAACCAAAGGGTCCAACTTTGGCCTGAGGGACCTGGTTTGAGCCTCTATGATCTGGATGACAATTAATCAACCCAGTTTTATTCTGGAAACGTAGCCCTGCGGAAGTTTCTGGAGACCGCAAAATACGTCCCGGGAGGTACGTATTTGTGCAGTTTTTGTTTTCCCTGCTGAGAGGCCGATGTGCGCGCTTATTCACGTCTCGAACACCGTTGTTCTCACGTAAAGCCACCGGAGGCCACTGTCGACCGACCGTCTGTCCGACTGAATGACTGAACGATTGACTGGACGGCCAGCCAATCTGCCGAACCACTCTCCTCCTCCTCTTTTCCTAAACCCAAGCAACGATTTACAAAAGGAGTCCAGAAAAAGAAAAGCCCCCATCTGATTTTGACTGCATTTTCAGATTTTATCGCATTCTCGCCCCGTTATGAACTTGTTCTCTTTATTTTTTTGGATTCTGTTTTTTGTCTTACCTCATTTCTGGAACCTGTCGTCGTGGTATGTGTGTTTGGTGGTTAATTCCACTGTAGCGACCCCAGATTAATAAAGGGACTAAATCAAAAAGCCAAAAAAGACCATATTTCACTTTCTAACCCAGAAATTACAGTAAATAGCCACAATTAGTGTGTTATTTTTTATTATGTTTAGCTTCAGTAATTAAAAATATTTCAAATTTATTGATAATTTAAATTATTGCTGGTTTTGTAATCTGATTTGTAGGAATTCTAATCAGGCACCGAATGGTATACCCATAAAAATGCCTCAGCTAATGGTGTTTTCAGGTCCTTAGCAAAGCCAGCTCTGGTTGTTTTTCCAACGCAAGAACTCAAATCCTTGAAATATTGTTCTCGATTTCATGATAAATTACCATTATGGGAACCAAAGCATCAATTTACTCACCCTTCCTTCTGCAGACACACATTTGCATATTCATGTGTTTTGATAGGTTGCTGCAGAACGCTGACATTAAGAGTCGGGTTTGCATATTTAGGTCATGTTTGAGCACATTTAGCGATTAATAAATAGCCCCGCTGTTGTCCGCAGATCATGATGAATGCAGGGATTACGGGACATGCAGTCAGATCTGTATGAACACGCAGGGATCGTACAGATGCGCTTGCACAGATGGCTTCAGCCTGCAGGCCAACAGACGATCCTGCAAAGCCAAAACAGGTGAGTCCATTTATCATCCCTGTTAGTTTCAGAACCACAAAAAAAGCTCATTAAGCAACATGTATTTTATTTTGATTTTCAGCAGTGCTTTAAGAGCTCAAGTCTAAAAATAATTTAACCCCTGCATAAATGTAATATTTGCAGAAACTATGAGCTGGAAGGAGTCAGTGTGTGAGAGAGTTACCTCTAACTTCAATTGATTTCTTAAACTTTTTGACTAATATTTAGCATTGTGAGTAGATTTCGGGGTACAATGTGTCATGGTAGTGCATTGCTGTGTGTTTATTGGGGGTTTGGATAGTGGCTAGCCAGTTAGTAAGCAAGTTAAATGCTTTAGCAAATTACTTATACATTTTCTATGGTGTTGTAGGACATTGCTAATTGGTTTTTAGCACATTGATATGTGATTTCTGGGAATTTGCTAGCATAATTTTTTGCAAGTTTTTAGCTCCGTGCTAGAGTTGGTATTTCTAGGGTGTTCTGAAAACTGTCCTAGTTAGTTGCTGTATGAGTACTGAAGGAGTTTTAGCAGCATGTGGTTGTTGTTGTTGTTGTAACTTGAAATAGTTGATTGCCAGTTGGTAAGCAAATTAAAAACCTAACCTCTGGTCCACACTCCGGAGCTGAAGGTGGCGGTAATGCATCAAAACGCTGGATGTCAACCGCCATAAAAGTAAGAAAATTCCATTTTTTAGCATAGCACATTTTCATAAGATTTCTGCGGCGTTCTAGGATGTTGTTAATTGGTTGTCAGCACATTGAAATGTAGTTTCCTGGAATTTGCTAGCATAATTTTTGCTAGTTTTTAGCTCATTGCTAGAGTTCGTAATTTTAGGGTGTTCTGGAAACTGCATTAGTAGATTGCTGTAGGAGTACTGAATGGGTTTTATCAGCATGTGGTTGTTGTTGTAAATTTGAATAGTTGCTAGCCAGTTGGTAAGCAAGTAAAATTCTCTAGCACTTTACTATACTGTTTCTATGGTGTGCCAGAATGTTGCTAATTGGTGGTTAGCACATTGAAATGTGGTTTCTTGGAATTTGCTAGCATGATTTTGCTAGTTTTTAGCTCAGTGCTAGAGTTGGTCAATCTAGAGAGTTCTGGAAACTGCGCTATCTGGTTGCTGTATGAGTACCGGAAGATTTTTAGCAGCAGTGGTTGTTGCTGTAATTTTTTCAATACTTGCTAGCCAGTTGGTAAGCAAGTTAAATTCTTTAGCACCTTACTATAAAGTTTTATAGGACATTCTAGGATATTCATAATTGGTTGTTACCACATTTTTATTAAGTTTTTAGGAATTTTGCTTGCATGATTTTTGCTAGTTTTTGCTCAGTGTTAAAATTGGTAATTTTAGGGTGTTCTTGACACTGCACTATTTGGTTGCTGTATGAGTACTGAATGGGTTTTGGCAGCATGTTGTTGTAATTTTGAATAGTTTAAACACATGTTCAGCATGTAGCTCTGTATATCAGAGTAGTTTATTTCTACTAGGAAGTTTTTAGCGTTTTGCTTAGCATTTTTAAAACATATGATTGAAATTGCTAGCCTGTTGCTGTGGTTTTTTAGGAGGATTTTAGCTTTTAGCTATTCACTGCGTTGTATGTGGGTTTTGGAAATTTGCATAATTGCTAGGCAGCTGCTAAAGAACTATATATTTTTTCCAACACATTACCATGTATATTCTAAGAAGTTTCTTTTTTTTAAAACAGTAATATGCGTCTAGAATGTTCTAGGAAGTTTTTAGCTTTCTGCTAAGTATTGTCAAAAGATATGCGATTGAGATGTCTAGCTTGTTGCTGTGTTGTTTAGAAGGGTTTTAGATTTTTGCTATTTGTTGCATTGTATTTGTTTTTGGGGAATTTGGGTAATTGCCTCCCAGCTGCTAACTGATTCTGAACATTTTTAGCACATTGCTATGTTGCCTATATTCTAAGTAGGCTAGTTTTTAGCTTTTTGCTTAGCATTTTCAAAGTAGATGCAATTAATATTGCTAGCCTGTTGCTGTGGTGTTAAGGGGTTTTAGCTTTTTGCTATTTGCTGAATGGTATGTGATTTTGGGGAATTTGGGTTATTGTTAGCTAGCTGCTAACCAATTCTAAATGTTTCTAGCACATTGTTATGTATATTACTATGTATATTCTGAGTAGTTAGTTATTAGCCTGTTGCTGCAGGGTTCAGAAGGGTTTTATCCCAGCACCATTTGCTTTTTAGGGCGTTTAAAATAGTTGATTTGGGGTTGTTAAATGTTTCTGGAGGATTTTTAGTGCACACAAAGCTGCTATTAAGTTGCTTAGGCATTCTGAGGGATCTTATTTAATATATCGCTGCATTTTTGACAAATTTCTGTGTTGTTGCTAGCATGTTAAAATGTGCTTCGGTGACAGTTTAGCGCATTACCTCATGGTTTCCATCAGGGTTGTTTTTATAGACAGTTTCTAAATAAATTGTTGCTATTTTATCCTATTTACATTGCACTTCTTAATTGTGCGTTTAGCATTGCTGAAACACTCAATCAAAGTGTTAACACACAATAAAAGCAGTTCTATACTCGACATTTTCTCTCAGCAGGAGCCTCTAGAAACTAAGTGTCCAATTTTCCGAACAAAAGAAGGTCAGCAAACTCGGCACTTGACATTTTGCTCAACATACAAATTATAGTTGTTTTAAAAAGCTAGTCTAGACTAGATTGGTAAAAAACAATGGCTTCTGGGTTGTTTGATTAAACAGGATGGCCTCAGAAGGCTAGCATGATCAGCTGTGTGCATTAGTGTATGTGACACTGTCATTCGCCTGATATGAGTGTCAGTTACACTTATTGTCATCAATATGCAAATGGCCGTTGGCGAGCTGGGCTGCCACAGATATAAACAGAGGAGGCCTTAATGGAAAGTCAATCAGAGACGACCAGCGACTGTCTGTCAAACTTAGAGATGATTACATGCTTACAGTTAATTGCACTTCATGGTGTCTGTTGATTAGCGTGAAAGAGAAAAAAAAAAAGTGTAAGACCATCACAAAGTTTATGTTTGCATAATTTGGGTTGCAGTAATTAGTCTTACTTTTAATAAGTGAAAGCTGGGTAGTAAGTGTTTGAAGTGCTATATAGGTAAGCAAAAATGTGTATAAATATTTATTGACCAAAATATTAGTATGCATTATTTATGTGGGTGTTTCTTCAAGTTCAGACACTTTCACTTTTCTGTGCTGATTAAAAATATGTATTACATAAAGAGCACATTAATACATGCACACTCTTTTCTACATTTTAATGTGATCTTTATTTAATAGAAAAATATATTAAGATGAGTTTAATTCATTTTTTTAATACATTTATCATATGCTTTTTGTTATATTTCAGTATTTGTTTATTTCTTTTGAAATTATGAGATGTATTTTAAAATATCCAGCAAATTAAGAACAATTATATGGTAATGCAACTTTATATTTAGTAAAGCAAACCGTATATTTTGCTGTAATCATGTTGAAAGCTGAAAACTGATGTATCAAGGCGAAATTGTAAAAAAAAAAATCATAAATTGCATGAACATATTAGGTAATTGTGTGTATTTAAAATTATAAAGTTAGAAATTAGCCTTAGCAAGACAAAGAAGTCTGCTTTTTTACTCTAAAAACATGTTAAAATCTATTTCAATTTATTTTTATTTCTATAGCTCTTTTACAATGTAGATTGTATCAAAGCAGCTTAGCATAGAAGTTCTAGTAAGCTGCAATTGAAACTGTATCCGTTCAGTTTTCAGATATAAAGTTTTGTTTAGTTCAGCTCAGTGTGGCTTATTATCACTGCTGAAAGTCCAAACACTGAAGAGCAAATCCATCGATGAGCAGCTCCACAAGTCCAAAACCAAGCAAACCAGTGGTGAGGAACAAAACTTCACCAATTGACTAAAGTGAAGGAAAAAAAAAACTCTAGAGAAACCAGGCTCAGTTGGGCACGACTATTTTTCCTATGGACAAACTACCTGTGCAGAGCTTTAGTCTAGGCAGAAACTGCATGTGTGTGAGTAGGTCATCGACAGGTGTACAGGGTCAGTGCAGACACTCGTCTGTCTCTGGTGTCTTTCAGGAATCAGTCTCTTGCTCTCCAATCCTCCTCGACCACCAGAGCATCTGCTTAGGATACGACCTGATCCAGGATTACGGAGACCACAGGCTAATGAAAAACAGACTAACATAAGCGTAGATGACACTAAAATTATAATGTTATCTGGGAAGTTTTCCCGTCTCTGGTTACCTTAATTAATGCAGCCTAACAATCCTTTAGAATATTTGTATTTCAAAAACATTTGTTTTTAATTTTTTATGTATAAATTCCAAAACTTAATCTTTAGTTTGTAATTTACACCATATATATATATATATATATATATATATATATATATATATATATATATATATATATATATATATTTTTTTTTTTTTTTTACATGTTTTTATATTTTTAAAAAAAAGTTAACTTTTGTTTGTGTTTTCTGTGCTTTTTGTGTTTGGTGAAGAAAAATAACAATGACACAACCACACACACACACACACACACACACACACACACACACACACACACACACACACACACACACACACACACACACAAATGTTATTTTATTGTCAACATAAATGGCTGATCTATTTATATACAGTTGAAGTCAGAATTATTGGCCCCCCTGAATTATTAGTCCCCCTGTTTATTTTTCCCCCAATTTATGTTTAGCGGAAAGAAGATTTTTTTCAACACATTTCTAAACATAATAGTTTTAATAACTCATTTGTTCTGTAGACTATCGAAAAAAAAATTATAGCTTAAAGGGGCTAATTATATTGTCCCTAATGTTGTTAAAAAAATAATAATTGCTTTTATTCTAGCCGAAATAAAAGGAAAAAATAGAATTTCCTCTCCAGAGGAAAAAATATTAACAGACATACTGTGAAAATTTTCTTGCTCTTTGCTGGAAAATTTTAATTCTAAGGCTGGCTAATAATTCTGACCTAAACTGTACATCAGAAAAAAAAATTATCCGAAATGTTCTCTCTTTCAGATCCTGGTGATAAACCTCCGGTTCTGTTGACAACAAATCTGAATTTCATATCAGTTCTTTACCTCAATGGATCAACTATGCCAAATCTCAAGTCCATGGAGACAAATGGGACTCAAATGCTGGACTTTATTTACAGAGAAGAGTCTTTATGTTGGCTGTCGGTGGTGCAGGACACGGGGCAGCTGTGGTGCGCTCGCATGACCAAACTTAAAGGATTTTCAGAAAAACACCAGATACGGATAGGCCAAAACCTACAAAGTAAGTACAAACGATTGTTGTCCATATTGATTTTCCCTACTTAGTTTCAGAAAAGTTTTCTAACACACTACACGACTAAAAATGGACCAGACAGAAGCTAAAAGTAGTTATAAAATTAGCTATTCAAAATTGTAGCCTCTGAAAAATAATTATAAATAAGCTAAATTATAATGGGATTCATTATAAACAACTATTAATTTGCAATGTTTCACAACATTAGGTTTAAAAGAAACACACAATTTTTCTTGAAGTCAGGGACTGGGAGACTTTATTGAACATCTATTATGTATATTTGGAAAAAACAAAGCAAAACCGCTTTGGGTAAATTTGACCCAGTGGCGGCTCTAGTGTTAAGGAGCGTTTCCTAACTTTGATGTTTTATTCAGAGCGAGCGCAAACTAATGTGCTTTGAAGTTTTTATGAACTTGAGTGTTTGTGTTTAGTGTCCATATGAATTTTCTCATTAGCCTTTTTTTTCTCTCCACTTTTTGAAGTGTTTAATGATCCGCTAATGAAGTGTTTAATGGTAGAAGGTTAAGTGTGTCAAGTGTGCATGTCAGGTTGTGAATGTCAGTATGTTGTACGCATGAATTTTTAATTGTTTCTAACTAGCAGCAAACTTGCCCTGATGTCATGGGTTTAAAAATGAACCGTTTCTTCCATTTTAGATGTGGAGCACATGGCCATCGACTGGTTAACAGGAAACTTCTATTTTGTGGATCGGGTGAACGACCGGATATTCGTGTGTAGTGAGCAGGGAGACACTTGTGTGACCATTATTGACCTGGACATTCAAAACCCAAAAGGCCTGGCACTGGATCCCATAATGGGGTATGATCTTCAAGACAATGCTAAATGTCATTCATCTATCTATCTATCTATCTATCTATCTATCTATCTATCTATCTATCTATCTATCTATCTATCTATCTATCTATCTATCTATCTATCTATCTATCTATCTATCTATCTATCTATCTATCTATCTATCTATCTATCTATCTATCTATCTATCTATCTATCTATCTATCTATCTATCTATCTATCTATCTATCTATCTATCTATCTATCTATCTATCTATCTATCTATCTATCTATCTATCTATCTATCTATCTATCTATCTATCTATCTATCTATCTATCTATCTATCTATCTATCTATCTATCTATCTATCTATCTATCTATCTATCTATCTATCTATCTATCTATCTATCTATCTATCTATCTATCTATCTATCTATCTATCTATCTATCTATCTATCTATCTATCGTATATGTAGCAGTGCATTATGGCTGTATATCGTCACTAGTGGGAGGTGTGCGATTAGTGTCTCACAAGTGATGACATACAGCCATGTCGCACTGGTATGAGTGTGATATTGCGTTTATACAACAGTTTCACGACATGATCGTGTGTATAAAAAAGAAAATCAAACCGGAGAGTCTCAAATCCTTTTGTACGAGGAACTACTTTCTTCCACCATTCATTCACATCTGCAGCTGATGTCAGAACAGCAAAAACCGTTGCTAATTCACCTACATAACTTTAGAGCTAGTATTTGAATGATTCTCTTGCCTAATGTCTAAAGTAATGTCAAAACAGGTTATTTTGCTCACATTTTTGGATTATAAGGCTGAACGGCATGAAATGCCATCAGTCTAAAGGGATTTTCCTGTATTTCTCTGTTGCAACTGGGATAGCACAATAATTAACACTGAAAAAGCCAAAGCAAAGCATACACTAGCAAATTACTATGATATAAATGCAGCACCACAACATACAAAAGAGAGATTGACCTAATGTCACTTACTAGTTTTATATTGATTTGAGTTTTTCCTCTCTCTACGACTTATGCTGTTTCTGTCGCCATCTTGTGGTGGAATGTCAGCTATCTTTACTCTGCTCATTGCCAGGCTAATGGCGTCCGATGCGCAAAATCTCTAAAATTATACATATTTAAAATAAACACTAGTTACTTATTGGCTGGTTGACTAAAACAGGAACAGAGGGAGATACATTGTACTATTGATATGTAAATCTGCTTTAAATCTTGTGTAAAAGTAGTTTACTGGAGATAAATTTTATTAAAAGCAAGGAGATGATAATTTGCAGAAAGAAACTAGTTATTACTCAAGTGTTGAAAACCTCTGGTCTTTGGGGGACAAAAAATAAACACAGTTGGATGTTTTAAATATTTAGGAACATTAATTGATAATGAATTGACATTTGCTGCAAATGTAAAGTGATGGAAGCAGATGGAAGGGCATCCGCTCTGTAAAACATATGCTGGATAAATTAGCGGTTCATTCCGCTGTGGCAACCCTAGATTAATAAAGGGACTCAGACAAAAAAGAAAATTAATGAATATCTAATTAAAAGGTATTATGGGTATTCTCATTAGGAGGTATATCAAGGTATTCTGGAGATGGTATTCAAGAACTTGGCTGAAAGTGTTGTGAGTTTTATCATGATTGCATGGTATGGACTGTTGCAAATCAAGGAAAAACAAAACATGTTGAGTAGTAAAAATTGCCAGTGCAATTGCAGGTAAAGCACAAAGACAACTAAATGAAATTTATTCAATGAGAATTGAACAGAAAGCACATGCCATTAATCAAGATTGTTCCCATCCTTTAAATATGAAATTTCAGCTCTTGCCATCAAAAAGGCATTTTAGACAACCTCAAGTAAAGAAAAAGTGTGTATGTGGTCCTTTGTGCTGACTGCCATTCGAATTTTAATACTGGGTTTTAAGTATAAGTTTTAATTGAGTTTGAAATCTGTTTATGTGATGACACTGATGACATTGCCTGTTTTTCTGTGATATGTCTAATATGAACGCTGTGTGGTAAAGCCAAAGATACCTGTGGACAATAAAGAAAAGTAAATTGAAAGTAAATAAACTGCATAGTTGCAATCTAAACAACTACATTTGCGCTTAAAAAGCCTCAAAAGTACATTATGTTGTCCAACAGCTGCAATACTTGTCAAAATGCAGTTTATTGATCTGCTGTCACTCTATGTGGGCGTAGTGATACAGAAGGGTGAAGAAGCTGTATGAGTGCTGTTTGAGAACCAGACACAACTGTTGTATAAATATAATACAAAATAACTAAATGATTATTACTTAATTCTTATCAATTTAATCAAGTTAATTTAAAGTATTGTAATTTTTATTATTATATTAAAACTCATCAAAATCACAATGATGAAGATTTATTGTTGTAAAAACCATTCAAAAACATAACATTGTAAAATAAAGTTTTTTCTTGAAAAAATTAATTTAACAATAAAAATAAACATAATATATAAAATATAAAAATAAAAAATTGAGAATATAAAATAATTTCACTAAATACAAATGAAAAGCAAATGCCAAGTCATAAAAATACTAATAATCATTGATTAAATTTAAAAAGAATATATAGTAATAGTAATAGTTTTGTTTTTTGTGAAATTATTTTATGAAATTATTTATTATTGTAAAATTTATCAAAAACATGATGATGAAGATTAATATATTAAAAACTATGCAAAAATGGAACATTGTAGAATGTAACTTATCTTTATCAAACAAAAAAATAAATACATAAACAAATAAACAAATAAATAAATAAATACACACATACATCCATACATACATACATGCATACATACATACATACATACATACATACATATATCAATTGATATTGGTCATATACAGCTCACATTTAATTTAATCACATGGCCGCTAAGGTCTATCTGTTCAGGAGAAAGAGATTTAGCGTCTGGAAAGTCAAATCACAGTCAATAAAATGACCTTTTAACCCGCTCTCCAAACAAATTGTTCATAATTTGTTGACCTATGCAGAGATGTTCCTCGATTAGTTCTATCTTCAAATGATAACGCGTCAGAGAAGACTCGCGGTTACGTTTTTCATAGGTGTGAATAAATCATCCTTATCTGATACCCAACGTTTCGGTGACGTGAGAAACTCTTTGGTCTCTTGGTAAACATTCATTTGTATGCAGCGCCGAGTAGCGCATGCTGTTGAGGGCAGTTTGTCGCTTTCAGAAGATGAGGAGAGTTTCGGTGCCAGAATCAGTGTGTGGAGTAATGCGGATGACCTCCCCTCTTTTATTCCGCTGTCAGTTTGTGTTAGTAAAGAAAAAAAAGGAATGCCATACTGTGACCCATTCATTCAGATTTAGCTCAGGGTGGCTAGGTTTAATTGCGCTGTTGTTGAAGCAAATGTTCTGGCACAGCACTGCTTTGCAAAATAATAAAAAAAGAATGGGTATAAGTGGATAAGTGATTAGGGGTGTGTTTACACTTGGCTTGTGCGATTGCTCTGTTAAGGTCAGTTTATGCTTCTGCATCAATTGCATGTGGTAGTTGCGTACACTTTATCGTACCCTGATGAACACCTTTCAAAAATGTAACCACATATCAAGAGGATGTGAAGCACAAGATCTATGATTGGTAAACCCAATAAATGTGATGAGTGTGGTTGTGTTGTGTTTTAGGAGTCTTGAATCCCACGAAGGATCTCTAGATTAATAATATTGTTTCATGCTTGTTTCGACTACCTGGAAATGTTACTGCAAAGCAATACATGTAGAATGCAGAAGTATCTCGCCAAACAGTTTTGTGTTAAATAGACGTCTAATAGACATCTAAATGTAGACAGATTGGCTAGAACAAGGCAAAATTTGGGCTGCCAGTGAAAATGTAATAGACATCCAAGTAAAACTAGACTAGTCATCAAATACAGATTAGGCAGAGTTTACATGCGTAGTCATTCATTCCCCTGTATGTGATGACTAGTCTAGTTTTGACCTACTTTTAGACGTCTTTTGGATTTTCACTGGCCTTGTTTTAGCCAAATCGACTTTGTTTAGACATCTATTAGACATCTATTAGACATATTTTAAGAACAAAAATGCTTGCTGGCATATATTTTCATGACAGCTTCAGTTCAGTGTATTATGATTGATGGCGTGGGCTATGGTTTTCACTTGATGCATAAGTACTGGCGCATTTGTATTACATTCCAAAGAGTTTTTTTTATTATTGCCACAGTGGAAAGTGAAACAACTTCTGTGCTATATTATCAGCATGGAATGGAATGGTTAAACAAAACCTTTCTGTCCAATAGTGGAAAAACAACTTAAGTGTGAATGCTTCCATCTGATTTTGGTATGCACCAAACAATGACCTGACAATACTAAGGAAGATGTGCCTTGGATCTCTTCAAAATGGTATATTTTCAGCTGAAATATGAACTCAGGGCAACAACGTTTTAACCAATTGAAAGGAGTCATGAATGATCATTGGTTTTCCCTTTATAGTCTCGATGTTACTCAATACTCTTTAACATCAGAAACTTGTCTCCTTACAACAGATCTTTGTTAGCATGCAATGGATAAATCTCTAACCCTAAAGGCATTCTCTTGACGAGTCTCTAAATTGCCTATTAAGGCTAGGTGGATGAGGTCTACAGACAACTCTATATTGTACTGGCTCTTTTAAAATTCACTCCCATCCGGGTCACGGCACCAACCCTCTGGCTCTACATGAATCTGGCATTTCCAGAATAAGAGGCAGCTATACATGTAGAATGCAGAAGTATCCCATCCCATCCCATGTAGCATTCTACATGGTATATTTTCAGCTGAAATATGAACTTAGAGCAACAAGGTTTTAACCAATTGAAAGGAGTAATAAATGCTCATTGGTTTTCCCTTCATAGTCTCGATGTTACTCAATACTCTTTAACATCAGAAACTTGTCTCCTTACAACAGATCTTTGTTAGCATGCAATGGATAAATCTCTAACCCTAAAGGCATTCTCTTGACGAGTCTCTAAATTGCCTATTAAGGCTAGGTGGATGAGGTCTACAGACAACTCTTTATTGTACTGGCTCTTTTAAACCTCACTCCCATCCGGGTCACGGCACCAACCCTCTGGTTCTACATGAATCTGGCATTTCCAGAATAAGAGGCAGCTATACTAAAAAAAAAACTGCTTTTAGTGTCTGTTGATATTGTGCCTCTTGAGGCCACACATGTTCGTTTTATTTGCACAATTCTAGGAGATGCCCTATTGCACTTACCCCCTCCATCTGTGTCACAGCACCAAGGTCACTACCACCAGCTCAACTCCAGTTCAATGCAGTACTAACAAGGAAACTAAGAATAGAAGATTGGGGTAGTGAGATCAGAAGAATGAGATTTACTTGCACAGCGCCTAATAGCTGCCGCTGTAACACTCACTGCCTTAAACTTAAATTAAGCAGCCATGTATTATGCTGGCTCTTTTAAACCTCACTCTCATCCAGATCCCGGCACTAATATAGCCTTTCCTGTTTTACTCATCCCAGTTTGAGTGGGAACTAACAAGGGTGTTCGAGACTTCAGCCACTATTGCCCCTCTTGAGGCAACAGGAGTGAGGTTTACATGCACAACTCTTCTAGCAATCCTATGTTATACTCCCCCAGCTAAACCTTACTTTCATTCAGATCACTGCTGCAATGTAACCCCTCCTGTTGTTCTTTTCCCCTGTTACACATATCTACTATGCAAGCCTCTAGGGTAAGTTGTTAGTGCATCCCTTGAGGCTAGGAGAGAGTTGTATTGATTTTTTTTGCTTTCTAAATGCTGACCTCTGTTACATATGCACATAAAACAACTGTATTCAGCCCACCTGCAAGATTGTTTTTGGATGATCAGTGAGTCCCTTCACAAAATATGTACCATAAATGACCAATTGACCCAAGAGAACAAAACTACAAATGTGAATACCCTGTAATTTAACAACATTGATTTCTAGCTTCTTTATGTCAAGTTTTAGGTTAAATTCAGGTTCAAAACTGATGTGTTCTTGATCCACAGAAAGCTATTTTTCACGGACTATGGGACAGTTGCCAAGGTTGAGCGATGCAACATGGACGGCACCAACCGAACCAAGATAGTGGAGTATAAAACTGAACAGCCAACCGCTGTGACGTTGGACTTAGTTAAGAAACTTGTCTACTGGTCGGACGCATATCTGGATTTTATCGAAGTTGTGGATTACAATGGCAAGAACAGGCAAACAATCGTACAAGGAAACTCGGTAAGGTGTTCTTCTTCTTGATCCAGAATTCTTCCTGCCAAATAGCTGCGTATGAAATTGTGTGGTGTAACTGTGTGGAGTTTTATTACTGTATATTCACTAAGTTGTCACTATCAGTAAAGTGTCAGCAAAATGTGCAATCAATAATCTTGTTAATCCTTGTAGTTTTATCTACTCTTTTATGCACTATGGATTTTGTTATACTAGTAAATTGGGTACAACGCTCTGTTGATATATTGCTTTTTAAATACTACAAATTAGGGTGTACTGCTATTTTGACATGCTGTTTAATGCATACTGCCCAGTATGATACATTTCTGTTTTAGCATGCAATTTTCTGCTTTTAAGAGATTCTGACCAAATATTTTTGTATAATATGTTTTAAATATGCCTTGCTCATCAAGTTCTATAGATTCAGGTATAATGCTTTTATATTAATATTGACTCTTTTATACATACTCTGACTATGGCTATCAACCACTTTCTCAGAGGATGACAAGCTGACAAAACATTGCTGTCACTCTGATGGAGATAATTATAAGTGTTTGTCTTAGATAATTAGTCTACCTAAATGCGTATATTCCATACAAGCTGAAGCTGATTGCTCAGTTCTTTTCACGTGACCCACGGTGCATTGACGGCATTAAATCAACTGGGCGCATCTGGAAGGCGCGAGCGCATCACGCCGCTTGTGCACTCAAGTTGCGCACCTTCATTGGAAATAACGAACTCTAGAAAATCGATATGTGAACAGCGTTCTAAAAGGTCACCATCATTTACAATCTCCAGTTGATCTTCTTGCCAAAGACAGCTGTTTCTTTCTCATTTTGCTGGCTGTGGGTTGAATTTAGGCGCTTAAGTGAGGGTCAAGCCTACGGTCATTTTTAAATAAAAGATTTTTCAAAATAAAAGATAAATTCAGATAATAAATGAAACAGAAATAATTAATAATTTCTTGTGCGGCCCGGTACCAATTGATCCATGGACCGGTACTGATCCGCAACCTGGTGGTTCTGGACCACTGCTTTAAATCATTAGAGAGCAGCAGTGTATGCTTTAACAAGCTAAAGTTACAATTAACTATTATTATTATTTATTTATTTATTTATTTTTTTATCTCTGAGCATACCAAAAGTAGAGAATGTGTTCTAGAAATGTTCATCGAGCCCACTTATTTGTATTTGAATTGCACATGATTTCAAAGAAGTTAGGGGTGTTTGTAAGGTGTCTGGTGCATATGGACAGGAAAATAGTCCGTCTCATACAGGTGGTTTGTCAAGCCCACTCACATGTATGAAGCACATTAAGAATTGCATGATATTTCCAGAAGCATGGGGTGTTGATAAGGTGTCTGGTGCATACTGAGAGGAAGAGAGTGAGTCCTACAAGTGGACATGCTGCTCTTTTGTCTTACATGGTGTCATACTACATATGTCATCTATGTACATTATTCACACAACCAAGAATTCAGTACTGCTCTTTTGGCAAACTATTATATGGACACTTATATTTCCATGCAATATTTGTGGTACTTTTTTGTATACTAAATAATTCCTAGTGAGTGACGTTTCTCTGTAAACCAATAGTGTCCAGCTGTGTGTCTGGCTCTGCCTTTTAGTACCCTTTTGTTGTGCTAGGTACCCTTTGGAAGGGAACACAAAAAGTGGTATGGTACGGTTCGCTTTTTGGTTACTTTTTATAGTGGAAATGGGCATGTAAGCTTGCTAACTCGTACCGAAACTTACCACTCAGTGGAAATGGGCCATAATTGAATGCTCTTGGCCTACTTCTAAATGCTTATTACAAATGTTGCCATACCACCCTTTTGATGTGATACACATTTCTCATACTATGAATGGTAACGCTTTACAATAAGATTCATTAGTTAATGCATTTACCAACATGAACTAATCATGAACAACACATGTACATCATTTATTAATCATAATTGAACATTTACTAATGCATTATTAACATCCAAGTCCATAGTTGTTACCGTTAGTTAATGCACCATGAGTTAACATGAACTAACAATGAACTACTGTATTTTCAGTAACTAACGTTAACTAACATAAACAAATACAGTAGTAAATGTATTGTTCATTGTTTGTTCAAGTTAGTATTAATTAACATTAACTAATGAACCTTATTGTAAAGTGTGACCCTATGACCCCCCCCATATCCACAGACTATGAATTCAGACAGCAAAGTCTGGTGACCTCTCGGCAGCTATATAGAAGTTCTTGCGTAAATTTTGCCCAACTGCCTTAATAGTGTGCAGTAAAGCCATGAAAGATGATGCTGCTTTGAATAACTGTTAAAGCAGTTTGTTTTGAAGGCTATAAAGTTTGGCCTCTCTCCTTCGCCCCTTGAACGGGCCCAAAACTATGGTGATACAAAATTCATAGCTTCATAAATTCAGTATAAATTTCATCCATAGTTCATGGAACGAGCCAAGGGCACTGTCAAACCAGTGCGTTTTTCTGGAAAACAATGGGCAATCCATCCATGGCTGTTCATCAGCATTATGAGACATCTGGTGTTAACCAGATACCCCTATGGGATACTTATGAAAGTGTTTAAAAAATTCTTCTCATCCCTTTTGGAAAGCGCCTGCCTGCAGGTGTTCATGGTTTACAGGATGTTTTGTGAGATTACTGTATTACTAGCTGGAAAAACAAAACAAAACTGCATTTGTATTATTTCAGTTGCTTTATGCACTAAAGACTGTTTTACATGCAATTTAAAGTATTGACCTTGCACTATTTGCAAGTACCGGCTGAACAATTTAGGAGACTTTCGGAGTATTTTAAGTGTTAGTTGAAGTTCCATGTTGTCTTGAATGTAGCCAAGAAATGTTTGCGTAATTTGAAAGAGACCATATAGTCAATGTTTAAACTAACCAACTACAGTTTTTGTTTTTGCCTGCTGTTTTTTTATTTATTTATAAAAAAAATATTTGATTAATATCATAGTAAATATATAAAAAATACTTACAATTATCACATTTATTTTACATGCATTTTGTGTTAAACAAATAACCGTTCAAACATTCAAGTTAAATATTTAGCTATTATTTCTTATTTCTTTAATTATCTTTCTTATTTTTATATTATTGTTGTTGTTGTTGTTATTGTTATTATTATTATTATTATTATTATTATTATTAAAAGTAATAATTTTGATTATATTTATTAGAACCTTATAGTATTTGTTTGTGTACTGAGTCAATTTTTTTATTTATTTATTATTATTATTTTTATTATTATTATTATTATTATTATTATTATTATTAATACTACAAATAATTTAAATCAAATTTATTGGCACCAAATATAGATTTTTTGTGATTTCTGAGCTGAGTCTAGATTTATTTTTATTCTTTTAACTTGTTTTTTTATTGTTATTATTATTATTACTAGTATTATTATTATCACTACAAATAATAATTTTATTTATTTTTATTAGCACAGAATATATATATATATATATATATATATATATATATATATATATATATATATATATATATATATATATATATATATATATATATATATATATAATTTCTGAACTGAGTTTCTGGTAGATTTATTTATTTATTTATTTATTTATGAACAATAAATAACATTTTAAATTGTGATATAATGGAAATCAGCTCTTTTAAATTAAACCCATTTTTCACAATATTTACAGAATTATGAATTGACATTAAAAGTAACTGCGTGCATCACAAAGTAGTGAAATACTGTCAAATTCAGGGAATACCTCTTCCTGCCAAATCATTTTCCATTAGCAACATTTTGCTTGTGAATCACAGGCCGTTTATATAAATTGGTAAATTGCATGTGGAGTTAACATTTGTTTTCCTTGACATTTCTGCAACCGCGTTATTGTGCCCAGTCAGAAGCATTAGCCTGGATGAGCATCGGGATGTTCTGACCTTGCGGAGTTCTGGCTTCACACTACAACTCTTTTGTGTGCCTTTTTTATTGATTTGTTCATCCATTTCCTGCGAGGTTCAGCTCTGGCGCATTCTCCGGGACTCTGTCGAAGGCTATATTGGTACCTTTTTTTTTTATCTGAACTGGCACTGAAAGATAACCTGAAATGAACTCCGCTACCTCCAACTCATTTGTTTTTAACGTCAGTCTTTCTCCTTTTTTCCCCCTCAAATCAAAGCCTCGGCGGTGCCGCCGGTAATTTGTAGCACAGATGTGACATCAAAGATCCCTGCATATTTCAACCGGTGTCTGTCAGGGCTGCTGTTTATTCAGCGAATGCAACATCGTCTCAATGACTGGGTGGATTAAAGAAGCGAATATAAGCAGACGTATTTGTGTCGTGTGCAGAATTATGTCGAAAAAGGTTCCATGGCCTCTAGATGAATTTTTTTTATTACCTCCCCCCCTGTTTTTCCCTTCTCTCTCCAGGTGTCGCACCTGTTTGGATTAGCGCTCTTTGAAGATTACCTGTTTGCGACGTGCTCCGAACCCTCGAGAGAGAGCAAGGTGGACATATTTAGGATAAATCGCTTTAACAGCAGTGACACAAACACCATTGCCACTTTGGAAAGCGCCAGAAACGTCCGAGTTTATCACAGACTGGCTCAACCTACAGGTAAACTTGTGGTCGGAGCATTTCTAAATACAAACAGCAATCTTTCAGGTTAAAAATAACCCTGCCCTCGGCTATTGGCAAGGTTTTGCACTAAATTGTTCTGAAAAGATGCTACTAGAATCAGTTATGCGGTAACTTGAAGAGAAGGCTACTTTTTGTTTTTAGATATGTTGTAATATTGCAAGAATGTATGTAAACAATACATTTTACGTTTTACAAACATTTGAGAAATACGGTTTATATTTGGGTGATTTGGACAATGAGATTGTCAATTTATTGCAATATCTAGTAAAAAAAAATGGTGAATAACATTACATGCAATGTCACATCTGTCACAAATGTGAGAAATATTAAAATGTGAGTTTTTATTCAGGGCAGAATCACGATTTGACATTTATTTGCTGTATTTAAGATGCTGTAGAGCACAGGTGTCAAAACCAGTTCCTGGAGGGCCGCAGCTGTGCAAAATTTAGTTTCAACCCTAATTAAACACACCTGATCAAACTAATTGAGCCCTTTAGGCTTGTTGAAACCTACAGGTAAGTGTGTTGAAGCGGGGTTGGAACTAAACTGTGCAGAGCTGCAGCCCTCCAGGATCTGGCTTTGACACCTGTGCTGTAGAGTTATTTAATATAATCCAGAAATTAACATTCTTTGAATAAATAAACAGTTGACTCAAAGACATCAAGTAAAAGTGTATAGCTTATCTAAATAGTATAATTAATTAAAACTAATTATGATTCATTCGGTTTCCCCCCACAGTGCAAAGACATGCGGTACAGGTGAATTGGGTAGGCTAAATTGCCAGTTGTGTATAGGTGTGAATGAGTGTGTATGGATGATTCCCAGTGATGGGTTGCAGCTGGAAGGGCATTCACTGCGTAAATCATATGCTGGATAAGTTGGCGGTTCATTCTGCTGTAGCGACCCCAGATTAGTAAATAGACTAAGCCGAAAAGAAATTGAATGAATGAATAGTTATAATTAATTATTAATATTTCCCCCTTGAGCTTCAGATTTTCTTCAGAATATTTCACATTCGACAATAATTGTCAACCAACAAAAGAATTAACTTTTTATCATACAAAAGGAACACAATTTTTTATTAATACTAAAAATAACAGTATCACAATTTTTTTTTTTTTTTAAATATCAATATTTTGCCATAATATGTCATTGAAGAAGCACTGGGTTGAATTCTGTATTAGCATTTACCCATATTACAGAGTGATTAATACATTTCTATTACAATTATTATTTCTATGAACACAGTTTTAGAGTAAATACCATGGTTAGGGTAACAAAACCACGTTTAATTTGTAGTTTTCATGACTGAACAAAAAAAAAAAAAATGTTTGACATAAACCAAAGAACCGCATAACGTTTTGTATTAGCAGTTAGCTTAGTTTCCAAAGTAGCTAGTAAACCGGAGTACATAATATCACATCGTTCAACCAGAAGTATGATCTTTGACGGCAACAAACTAATTTTACAAACATTTTAAAACTTTGCATTTTTCATTTATATCATAATTTAAGCAGATCTTAAGTAGAGTTAAGCATGATATTTTACATTAGCTAAAACACTATACTAAATTTAGAATTTAGCCACAGTAAAGTGACTTTTTTAGTAGCCTTTTACTACTTAGCATTTAGCATTTTGTTGTTTAGCATCTAGCAATGTCTTTACCTAGTGTTTATAAAACTCTGCTCTAAATAATAATCTTGGTAGTACAGATATGTTATTTAGGAATAGATTGTAAGATTTTTCGTGTTGTTGAAGAGATATTTTTACAACGGCAGCTGGTTGATGCTGACCTCTCTCTTTTTCCAGTCAGGACTCACGCATGCAGTCCTGACCCACATGGACGAAAGGGTGGATGCTCTCATATCTGTCTCCTGAGCCACAACTACAAATCACGCGTGTGCCGCTGCCGGACCGGTCACGTCCTTGCCAGCGACGGGAAGTCCTGCAAAAGTGAGGGTCCCAAAAACAATTTCTCTTTAAAATCTCCTCTTGTAGATCCCAGATGTCTGATTAGCATTGGGAAATGGGTCTCTTATGTAGATGTTTTTAGGGTTTTTTTTCCCAAAGGAAAGGGGGATGCTATCTGATGTCGTATATCAAATGGATGGCCCTCATGGGTTTACCGAAATGGATATTTATGACCAAATTTATGGAGCCATGAGACACTAAAGAATGGACACGTTTCTGTGATTAATAGCACACGTTCAGGACATTACGGCATACATGGGAAATTGATATGTTTTGTCTCTTGGCATCAGGATCATTGACTATGAGAGTGTGTGTGTGTGTGTGTGTGTGTGTGTGTGTGTGTGTGTGTGTGTGTGCGTAGGCCATAAAATGAGTTATAAAGGAGTTTTTTTTTTTTTTCTTAAACTTCAGATGGCAGCCTACATCAACAGTTAACAAAACAAAAATCACAAAATCATGTAGCACTCTGAATTTTTTACTTGTAGATTTATAAAATTTAAGTGTTATGTTTAGGTTATACACTCACAAAAAAAGTCTGATTGTAAATTTGCTATTGAAAATTTTCACTCAAGAGTGTGTAAGAAAAACAATGACTACGTAGAAGATCTCAATGAAGATGTTTATTCAGCAAAGCAGTCTCAAAGTACATGGCAGTGGTCTGGTTTCAGTGGAGTCGGAATGAACCCCGTTCATTCTCCATTTAAACATTTTATACCGTTTAAGTTTGCTGCATTTATATGTTAATGAAGTTGCTTCTTGGCAGTTGACACAGCTGTTCTCTCTACATTATTACAGTTTCGACATTCTATCAAATGAGACGGTGGTTTGTGCCCCACAACCATCCCCATTCTACAATTGCTACCATTTTGGTCATCTTAAACAAATACAGAGACATAAATCTCATCATCACCACTCCATTAAGAGTGGAAGTTGGGTTGAGACAGACTAATTTCTTAAGCAAAATTAGAACTTTTGATTTGCTTTACCCTTTAACGTGCACTACTTGAAAAGAATAATAAAAAAGGCCCACATCTTGGATTGCATAATACTGACACAACTCTGATAAATATAATAATAACATATGATAATGATTACCTATGGATAAAAGGTCAACCAGGTGATTATGATGCCTGTTAAAGGGTTAAATAAAAAGGTCTGTCAGAAACTGCTTACCTAGAAGCCAAATATAATTAAGTTGAAAGATAAAAAAATACAACCTAACTCCCCATGTCCAAAACCCCAAAAATTATATTGAAAACTTAGAACATGCACATTCATGTAACCACAATAATGAAGTCTGAACAGGTGAAAATGTAGTAAGGGTGAAATAGTAAGAAAGTTTAGTCTAAACCATACAATGATGCCAAAATCGTAAGAACATTAACAACGCAGCCATGTCCAACTTAAAAACATGCTACCTGACCCTAATAATGAAGTCCAAAAACAATGATAGCAAAATAGTAAGAAAAAAGGTTTATCTTAACCTAACCCTAATCACTTAACCCTGAAAGTCCAGCTAAACAACCTAATCAAACCTTTTGACCTAAACCCAGTTGTCAAAATTGTAATGAAAACCAAAACCTTATAGGAATAGTTACCCAAAGTCATTTACTCTGCTTTAACCAAGCATGTTTGAGCTTCTTTCTTCTGTTGAATAAGAAATAGTGCTGAAACCAACATCTATAGCTGGAACAAAAGAAATACTGCAGTATAGAGTTGGGTCAATAGACGATGCCATTGTCCATCACCGATAGACATCAAGATGCTAAGCCAGCATTGCGATCCTTCGCCCCGCCCATGTCGCAGCAGCAACCCACTCGTGAAAAATACACGCATAAACTCTGTTTACACTAATATGTCTTTAAAATGGCATTTTATAACAAAAAAAAACACATCCACACTGGCATTTTACCTAGCATTTCTGAATAGCCCTCCTTCAACACTATACCGTTAAAAATGCACATCATGTGACCACACACGCTAACACACACTCTCTAGCATGCACTGCAGCGTATGTGCATGTCTGTGCACCAGCAGACAGTGGGTTTTTTGAACCCAAAACACCAGAGAGCAGTGCACATCAGACAGTTTGTCAAGTATGTACCGTTGTTAAACGTGATATTTATTTATTCTTGTCTCTATCTGATGACTCTTCAGTCTTTTGAATCTATCAGGTGTTGTGTCACAGCATCAGTACACTGCTTTAATCTTTCCCTCTCACGCTTGTACTTAGTAGTTTTAGCGAAAACCTTAGATACTGTTGGTTGGTTCCTGTTGGTTGTGCACCTTTTTTACCAACCAAGTTTGTCGACGCCATTATAACAACACAAATCACTCTGCCTATTCATGCCAGAGTCCCGTGGAAAACGTTTGTTTGATAGGTGGTAATTTGTGCGTAACTTATCTTTTATTTATTTATGATTTGGTTATGAGTAAAACAAAGTTTTACTTTGAAGCTCAATAAGAACCTAAAAAAGAATTTTTAGGTTCTTATTGAGCTTCAAAGTTTATGTATTCCAAATAGCAAAAAATATGTGTAACAGTTCTCTTTCATACATCAACATGAGAGAGACCCTAAATGTACACTAAATGTAATTTATCAAAGTTCTCGTACATTTGCAAATTGGAGTAAAAAAAAAAAACACGGTAAATGCAGATAGAACCTTCTCATTCTGAAAAAGTCATTTTCCACTTGGAATTATAAGGTTCTGTCTGGCACATCATTCATTGAAGCATTACTTTTTAAGAAATACAATCAAAAAATATATAATTTGGTGTTGTAACAATATGTTGATGTGTGAGAAAGTACCCATTTTGCTTTCTATAACATTTATTTAATGTTTTAGGATGAATATTTTTGTTGTGTTTAAATTAGGCATACAAGACTAAATATTGTCCAGTGCAGATGTTAGTTTTATCTAATTAATATGTTAATATTTCTAAAATTTTATGCTTTGTATGGATCATTAAATTATATAGATTGGATTGTATGCCCTATGTAATAAATTAATTATTTGACCTTCAAGGCTTAATATTAAACATAAAGACTTTGAAAGAAAACAGACAATAAGCAAATGAGTTTAATAAACACTGAAAAATGTTTCATATTATATACACACAAATAAAGATATTTCACATTTAAAATTGAATTTTTTAAATATTTGTTTCTTTTTCAATAATGTAAAATGTAACATTTCATGTCAATGTCAAAAACATGCTTCTAAATCATCACATTTACACACATCTCAATTTTGTGTGGTTGCGCCATTATTTAGTCGACTCGATTTTGTGTGATTTTTGTCTTTTGGGTCTTTCCCGCTGTCAATGGAGCAGTCCGAGAAAATGACAAGGAAAGCTGTTCCTGATTGGTCCTCATGCGTGCATTAAAAATGCTGATTGGCTCACAGAAGTAACCTTATAGATCCAAGCTAGGGTTCATCTTTGTAGAGAGACAGTTTTTGTTTTTTAAAAACACTTATATAAAAACATCACATAACGTGAATACGATGTCATTTAATAAGAATATGTGAATAACTCAATTTTGACAAACATCTCAGATAGAACCTTTCAATTTTAAGGTGACGAAATATTTAATTTGTTATTAATTATTTATTCATAAATAATTAATTCATAGGCGACGCCATCATCCAACACAACGTTTCGACAATGCCCAACCCTACTACTGTATGGATATTAAAGGCTGCTGCTTTCCAGCATTCTTCAAACCAATAAAATAATGACAACAAGTAAATAATGAGAGAATTTTCATTTTTGGCCAAGCTATCACCTTAACCCTATCCCAACTATGACGGTGAATTATATAAATATACAGATTAAACATTGTTTTGGGATTTAAGTGTTTGTTTATGTAAGCCGGTGCTGATGAATTCACAACCTTGCATGAAATATCACAAGTTGTTATAAGTGTGTTGGTTTGTCCTCGGATGACTTTCCATATTTTCTCCATTAATAATATTCATAATTGCAATGTGTCATTGAGCTTGATGTATAGCTGTGATATATAATCCAGCTCATGTGCTTCAGTAAGAAGCATTCGTTGGCTATTTTACATTGCCTTTGAATGTGGCTCCATCCAGTTGAGTGCTTTGTTTTTATCTCAAGTGTTATAATGTGAAGCTGTTTTTGAACTAATTCCAGACTCGTCATTCATTCGTTATGAATGAAGTACCATTCATTTGTAAACTATTTAAATCACTAGATTGTGCAAGAACAGGCATTACGACAGCGTTATTTAAAGTACTGCATAGTTTAGAAAGGACGTTTTTGCCTTACCTTGATGTAACATCATTGAACATCACTGATTGTGAGTTTTTAAGACACATTTGATTGTAAAGCAGCAGATTCATTTGCATTTGATTTGAGCGTCACTAATGACTCTAATTTATGTTCATTGTTCACACACAAAAAAGAATAATTTGGGCTTAGAAAAGGATGTCCTGTTATGAAGTTAAAAACTGCATAATTGCTTCCTTCATTGTATATTCCGCTTCCTCTCTTTGTCTCTCTGGATTTCTCTGTCAGACCTAATAATAATTGCAATCAACATATTGGCACCCTTACGGCCTGTAAGTAATGGATTTCGAAAACATTGTGCTTCATAAATACGTGTGCCTCTTTTTACCGCCTCCATTTTGGCCCCCGTTTATCCCTGGTTACTATCACACACACTCAGATACAATTACAAACACAATGTAACTGTTATACACCAAAAGATGATTGATTTCGATAGAATCAAATCAGTGGAACTAATTCTGGTTTTAATTAAGCTAATGTAATTAGCTTGAGCCTCTCGCTTTGGATACAATTTTTTTTGTCAAAGGCTTTAATTTGCAGGACCGAATGGAAAAATGGAGGCTAATTATGTCAATTAATTAAGCTTTGACAGTGCTGTGGTGGATGGCTTATTGCGTTCCTCAATGGCGTTTGTTTACTTGCTTAATCGTTTCTTTGCAGAACCAAAGAACGAGCTGTTCCTGTTTTACGGAAAAGGACGACCTGGGGTTATTCGAGGTCTGGATATGAATATCAAGTCGGGCGATGAACATTTGATTCAAATCGAAGGACTCGTGAGTCCAAGAGCGCTGGATTTTCATGCGGAGAGTGGCTACGTCTATTTTGCAGACACCACAAGCTTCCTAATCGGACGGCAGAAGATTGACGGAACTGCGCGGGAAACAATCCTTAAGGAGGGTGTGTTTGTTATGAACTGCGCTTTATTTTAAGAGAGTAATGTTGGCTTTTTGTGTAAGTATGCAGTTTTACTGCGGAAAAAGCTAATTTTCACTATGTAATGAATCATCTGCACAACCATGTGGCGTGGTGTTGTAGAATCAGACCACCTGTGCTTGAGCGCTTCTGTAACCGTTGTTTTCCAAATAGGAAGTTGTTTCTCATACATTTTGTGCAATTCAGTCGTCAGGGAAGCTCGCCGGTCGATACCGCATAATTTCAGTGGGAAGAATTAGAGGAGGACAGTGATTAATTGAGCCGTCTATGATGTTATCAAGCAAAAAGAACAACATTTTCTCAATTTCATTTTGCTCTCTCTTTCTCCAGAGCTGGATAATGTCGAGGGTATTTCAGTGGACTGGATTGGTAATAACTTGTACTGGACAAATGACGGTTATAGAAAAACCATCAACGTGGCTGGGCTGGACAGGCCCTCGCACACCAGGAGAACGCTTTTAGAAGGCAATATGTCTCATCCCAGGGCCATTGTTGTGGATCCTCTAAATGGGTAAGCCCATGATACCATTCCTGCTTACAGCAGCATTTAAAAGCTTCTTCTGCAGGGATTTTAGGCTGCTAAAGCCTTGGACGAAATCCAGCCATTTACAGTATACGGGGGGCAGGGATGTTTGCCCTTTGCGCTTAGAGATTTCATCAGGAAATCTCAACAACTTGTGTGTTTTCCCTGTTTTCATTAGCAAAAAATGATTATATTTTAACTTTTATACATGTTATGGTATTGAGGGTATTCCAAAAAGCAGGTTGCATGACACACCCGGATACATTTAAGTATATGTAAGCTAAAAAAACAAAAAACATAAGCAAGTCATAGCAACTTACTTATATAAGTTGTCAATACTCTAAACATAACCTGCTCTGGAGGTTTAGCTAACATATTTCAGTTAACTGAGGTAACTCCCAGGAGTACCTACAGAACATCGATTAAGCAGGTCTAGGGTAAATCAAGGTATAGTATACAGTAAGTAAAACTTGCCTTCTGGAATACACCACTGGTTATAAATGCAGTGTTTACTTTCAAACTGTGATATTGATTACGCTATGGTATTTCTATGGTACGTATACTTTGCTTTACTGATTTATGATAATACATGTCAAGGATACAAAGTTTATAGATACTTTGAATAATTCCTTAATGTTACCATGGTGCTCATATTACTATGGTGTGCTAAGTATTACCATGGTATGTAAAAAAAATCTGCCGTTGTGTCAAAGGAAGCTAATGCGAACATCCTCATTCGATGACATTGCTCAGATGGAAAGGCTTAAAGGGAATATGGAGACTCCATGACTTCAAATCGCTGCCTTGGCAGAACGGTGAAGCCTGACATAAGAGGTTTAAAAGTTTAAAGGCAGGTTCCAGTTACTGCTTATATTTTAGTGACTTTTTCCATGTGTGAACACTTGACATGTTTATCCTTGTAATGGGTTTCTGGCTTTTGGTTGTCTGTTTTTTAATAGCTTTGGTATGTTGGAATTTTGAGTCACTTAGTTGCAAATAAGACATGGAGTCTTTGGAGTAATTACCAGTAATCAGTTTTAATCTGCAATTAATCTGTGATTGTGTTACTGGAAATTGGTTTAAAATTTCAAACGGTCCAAGTTGGTTTTTGAACTCCGGATCACCGCTTAAGCTTCCGCAGCCGGTATGCTGAATATTCAGTACCTATCCCGGCTTAATCTCTCCTCTTTTAAATCCCATTCCGCTCTCTAGAAACTGTCCTTTACCGCGTCTGTCCTTCCGTATCCCATGTACGCATGTCATTTCCTGTCTGTGCTAACATGATAAGATGGAGGATTAGCTGTTATGACTCTAGGTCCTGATCGCATTTGCTCTCCATCTCCATCACTCGCCCGATTTGCCTGTTCACAGCAGGTGCTGTCACTCATAGTCCTGCCTTATGAATTATTCAACAGGTCACTGAATATGAGCAGGGAGAGTCAATTCCCTCTGTCATGTTATGTTAGGCTGTGTTCAAACGCGCAAGGCTGTGTCACAGTGTTAAGTTTATGTAGTGAAATGTGAGAAGTTTAAACTAGGAAACATAAGACCTTTGAGAGAGTTGCAGAACAAAGTTTTGACTCCTGAAGTTTGAGGAATTATTAATAACATCCAATTGTAAGAGCATGGTTAAGTGAGGACATTGGCCTCAATTCCTTTGAAGAATCATTTTATTGTGACCTGTCTTTGACAAAATGTAGCCTAATATGGAAGCTGTTTCAGAACAGGGTACATGGTATGGGCCACTTAATTACCAAATTCTATGTTCGAAAACACATCTTCTATTTGAGCTTATAATATAATCCAACTAAAAGATATGTAAGGGGGAACCTTAACTTTTGTTTCCAAATTCCAAAGTAAATTTTATGGTTTATAAGTTGCCATAACAGGTGGTGCGGTGGGTAGCACTATCGCCTCACATCAAGAAGGTCACTGGTTTTAGTCTCGGCTGGACCAGTTGGCATTTCGGTGTGGAGTTTGCCATGTTCCTCCCATGATCGTGTGAATTTCCTCCATGTGCTCCGGTTTTTCCTAAAGTCCAAAGATATGCAGTACAAGTGAATTGGGTAGGCTAAATTGTCCGTTGGGCATCCGCTGCGCAGAATATATGTTGTATAAGTTGGCGGTTCATTCCGCTGTGGCGACCCCAGATTAATAAAGGGACTGAGCCGAAAAGAAAATGAATGAAAGAATGAATTAATAAAATTGTCATAACAGCTTATGCTCTAAACAGAACCTACCATTCACGCTGGCCACCATGGGCACTCTGACAACTTTTCACGGATAGAAGTGAAGTGCGGAAAGGGTATCGCGAACGAAAGTGAAGAGCCGGGGCTGTGGGTCCCTAATAATATCTCTGGGGGACCCCAAGATGCGTGGGCTCTTAAAATCGTCCTAACTTTCCTCCCTGTAGTGGGGCTCCTGCAATCTGCTATTAAACAATGTTATGAAATTGTTTATTTATACTGTTATGTATTTTAAATGGAACCAGCCAAAGTGGAACAGCAAATGTGGAGCAAGTCCAACCAACTATTATACAGTATACTGTATGTTCTTGTGTAGTGTGCTGCTTTTGGTGTCTGTTTCTTTGGTGTTCTATTGAGAATGTTTTGTTTTTAAGTTACCTAACTCTGAACAGCTCTATTTACCCCTCCAAGACTGCTTTTGGAACTGACATAACTTGAATTGACTTTGGTTCTTGTTTGTTGCATTCAATTCCAAAATGTCTTAAATTGTTCCCACCATGGATCTTAATTGGAGTTACCACTGGGTTTCTAAACTACCTTGAGAGCCATGATGAACTGTGTTTACCAGAAACACCAAAGGAGTTGGCAAGCTTTGCTTAGGGGTACATTTGGAAAGGGTTTTCCTAACCAGTTAGAACAAAAGTGGGCGACTCTGGCACTCAATATTCACTTTCCTGCAGAATTTAGCTCCATCCCTAATCAAACACACCTACAAAAAAAAACTGGTGTATTTGATTAGAACTCTAGTTGAACTCTGCAGGACAGTGGATCTCCATATGCAGCTGTGAGTTTGAACAGCACCAGACCAATGTTGATCCACATTTTTGAGCAGCTATGGTAGTCTAAAAATCTCCACTGGCTCTTTAGGTGGATGTATTGGACTGACTGGGAGGAGGATGAGTTGATTGACAGCAGAGGACGTATAGAGAAGGCTTGGATGGATGGATCTCACCGTCAGATCTTCGTCACGTCCAACATGCTGTGGCCCAATGGTCTCACCCTTGACCACTCCTCCAGCGTCATGTACTGGTGCGATGCCTACTATGACCACATCGAGAAAATCTACCTCAACGGCAGCCACAGAACGGTTAGTAAATGAGTGAGTCGGTTCTTCACTTCTCAAACATCTCCATTCCTCCATGTATTCATCTCAATGCTTCCCTGTGACTAAAAAAAGTCTGCTTTTTCACAGGTGGTCTACAGCGGGAAAGAGTTGAACCATCCGTTTGGGATTGCGCACTACCAGAACTACATATTCTGGACTGATTACATGAACGCCTCGATATTCCGTCTGGATTTGTTATCTGATGATGTTTCACTACTGCGGGCAGAAAGACCACCTCTCTTTGGGATTCAGGTGTATGACCCTCAGAGCCAGAAAGGTAAATATGAATATGTATGCTGTAGATTTGAAGCTGTAATGAAGTCTTGCAAAAGACTGTAATGATTTAAATGACTTTGACTTGTACTGTTTCTTCAGAGTTGGGAAGAGGTGGTCTGTTTCTTAATATATATCACTTCCCATCACTTCCCCCTAGCTTCGCCTAGAGGCCAAACAATGAGCTAGTGCAAGCTTGGTACACTGTACAATATATGGAAATGCAATTTATCACACCGCATGCATTCACCTTTTAAAGAGCTGAACATACTAGAAGCTAATGCCACACCAAGTCGCAGAATTTGAATAAATGCTTTGCAATGGATATTCCCAGAGTAGGATACTTAATGGTAATTTTAACCTTAAGACTTCATGATCCAAGCAATTTTTGGGGCCTGGATCAAAGAACTTCTCTGATATTTCAAAGGCTAATTTGAAGGCATTTGCAGGAAATGTGTATGATTTGTCATTCCGAGGGCCTGAATCCCGATGTCTTCTTTAGTCTCTGGTGACTAACAGTTGTCCTAAAGAAATTGGCAGGTTTTTTTTTTTGCGTCTATACGTGGCATGATTCCCTATCACTCTGCTGTGATATATGAAATAATATGAGGCCATTTTCAAAGGGAAAATTGTGCCTGCTGGTGGCAGCTTTATTGTACACATTCGGTTTCACCGAAATATGTCGTATTTTGTTCTTGTTGGTGTAAAATGGCATTGATCAACGAACCTCTTAGTCGTGAGTGTCAGTGGAGCTAGTAAGGTGACTGAGGGGGATGATGAATGTTCGTTTTGTCTTCGACTTTTGCTCAAGGTTAATCGCTGTGACGGCTCCCGTAGAGATACTCATATGTTGCCTCTGGTAGAGATACTAAATGTCATTCTTAATGACAACCAGTCAATGGCAAGCCAGAAGTGACCCAGCAATCTCAAGTACTGTACAAATGTGAACATAAATCTGAACTGTAACCTGGGCTAACATAGTTCTTGACTTCAACAAAAAAAGCCAGCTGCTGTCAGACGTAAAGTATCAGATCACTTCCAGAATGAAAGTATCCTGATCATTATCTCGCCTCTCCTTGTCATTCAATACTAATTATTTACTTTCTTTACTGTTAGTTGCCAGTCGTATCTTCATCCAGATGTCCCATTTTGTCTCCAGCGACTAGCTGTTTTTTCAACAAAAGAAATTAGTTGTTTTATTTTTAGGCATCTGTACCCTGTTTACTTAACTAAAAGCGGAAATTCTTTCTTGCATTTTGGCCATTCATACATACAAGTCATTGTCGTTAAAACTAGTTACTTTCTTTCTCCGAAAAAAAAAAAGTAAATATAATTAGGAAAACAAATTTTGTTTAGTTTTTTTTCCATATGGTGGATTTCTATAATATTGCTCAGTCCATTTTCAATGCAACCTCAAAGGACTCCAAATGATCAGAGCTGAGGAATAAAACCCACATATAAAACACACCATTACTGATGTCATAGAATTAACGGTGATAATCAACAATTGTTTTGTCACCTCAAATCGATTATGTTTGGTCCAGTCTGAACTAAAAAGTTGCATTTTAATACACCAATTGGGCGGTAACCGACTGAAACAAGAAGTCATGTGGCGATATCTTTATTTTCATTCCACAAAGGGAAACTGGAACTAGTGCTGCACACATACAAACTGTAAACAAAAATAAAAGTTTTCGCTCATCCCAGATGGATTCGCTCATACAAATATCATAGTCTCTTTAAAGCAAGTCATTTCACTCGACGACCATCTTTGAAATGTTTCTCTTACAGTATGCTTGGGCATTCTGTCTGAAAAGGGAAACCTCAAATTCTCCAAAACTTTTTGTCAAGCTTAGGGTTACATCACATTTTTCGAATCACCAATAACGGTCTCATCAGTTTCATTTCTAAACGTTTAAATCAGGTTACCAGAGTTGATGTGCATGTTCACTCGAAGAGAATGAGATCACGACATCAACCTTTTTTATGGCCATTCTACACATCTTATTACTCTGAATATAGTCAGATTGTGCTGGTGTCCCGAAGTAATTAACAACTTGATCTTGATGGTGAATCTCCACCAGAACTAACAGCAACTCTTTGTTTGGGGTCTTTGAGCAGTTGCTGTCATGTGATGTGCATTTGACAGGATTTACTGTACCTCGCGTTTACAAAACAAAACAAAAAATGTTTGTTTTCAAGTATAGCTGGTTCATTTAAAAGAACAGATTAAGCTTTATTTGGATATATTTTGTATGTCTCTGAAGCAAGTATTCGCTGGGATTCGAGTGTGTTAGTTTTGGTACTTTAGTTTTTGTTTTTGTAGCTAAACAGCCAATCAGAGCGATCTTTCACAAAAGGCAGATGGCAGTTCTACATGCTGATTTGGGCAAACGTTTTAACCACAAAAAAAGCTTGCATACCAGAGCTAGTGCCAGCATCTTTAAAATCCAAAACAACTGCCTGAGCTTTAAGGAAAAAAACAACAACAACAATGCAGCATTTTTTTTTTAAACAGGTTGTTTAAGTCTTTTTAGTAATTTCAGTGTTAGTTTTATTAAATATGTTTTGCTTTGAACACAAAGTTAGCTTGGATATAAATAAAAAAAATAGCCTAAATTACCTGTTTACATGACTGTATTAAATGCAGAGACCCTTTATAGCCCTTTGAAGCTGCGTTAAAACTGCAATGTGGAAGTTCAAACCAAAAAAAAAAAAAAAGCTTTTGACTGAAGAAAAGACAAAATGAATATCTTGGATAACAAATGGGTGAGTAAATTACCTAACCCTTTAATGCAATTAAACATCCACAATTAAGCCTTGATAAAGGCATCCAAGTTGGATGCTGAGCCCTTCCAGAGATTTCCAAAGTGGCCAATGGATGTAATTCATATTCTGCTCATAACAGGCAGCTTGAAACTCGTGTTTTCGCTACTGATGTTGTCCAGATGTTGTGTACAGCATAGCGGCACCTGTTATTAAATCTATTGGCAGCCATAAGCACCTGCCAATGTTCAACATAGGGAGTCTGCAACTCTGTGGGAGACGTCGCTGCCCACTGAAGCACTCAACATTGGATAGTGAATACACAAACTAAGCTAACGCATCCAAGTGGAACTCAGCTGTGCTGAATGTATAATTACCTGGCAGGGCATTTAGCATTTACAGGAAATTACAGGGCTTTGTTTATAAAATCCCACAGATCCAAACTTTACTAAACACGTCCGACACAATGTGTAGGATTTTTGGAAATAATTCACTTTTTTTTTTACTGAAGAAGTCTCTGAATACATAATGCATGTTACAAGCATAATAGAAAAACAAGAGCTCTATTCAGCAGTTGCCGTCATGTTATGCTACATTAGCTTGCTATGGCTCATTTTTGTGCATGACTTGACAATTGAAAATGAGTTGGGTATCATTTGCTCAGAACTGTTTTCTCTTATGGTATGAAATGGTCAGTGGTTTCAGTTTAAATCCTGCATTCACATAATGTTTATTGTTGCCTTGAGGAAATGATATAGAGGGCTGATCGGTTACATTGTTTTTGAATGCATGCTGGAGGCATTTGCAGGACATTTGTATTTTTTGTCAGTCGTTTCTGCGTCCAGATGTCCCGTTTTGTCTCTAGCGACTAGCTGTTTTTCAAAAGAAATGAGTTGTTTTTTTGGCATCTGTACTCTGTACCCTGTTTACTCAACTAAAAGCAGAAATCCTTTCAGGCAGTTTGGCCATTCATGTACACAAGCAACAGCCTTTTATAAAAAGTAAGCTACAAAAATGCGAAATCGTGAATGACTGAATGAGTTGGACTGCAGTACCGCTCTTGCACAGGTGTTTAGTGTTTATTTTACAAAGTAACATCACCACTGGCACTACCATCGCCCTGGACTGCAATAATGCAGCATTTTAGCAAATTTTTGTGAACAGATTGTTTTTGACAGCATTAGCCTTCTATTATGAAGCAAATCTGTTTAAAAGTTTGCAAACCAATTTAGTGCTTTTATATAAAGTTGAAATAGTGGCTGACTCAAAGTCATTTTGTCTTTAAAATGTTTTGAATGCTTGGGCATTCTGTTTGAATGGGGAAACATTGAATTCTCCAAAATTAGATTCCAAGCTTACGATTAAATTTCATATTAGGAATGACCAATAAAATTAAATGATAACAGTCACTTTTGTTTAATTTCGAAAAGTCTGAATCAAACAAAATCTGCAGAAACACATCTGGACTGAGCCCCTCCCCCAGAGGATCCTCAGTCGATAGCGATGGCTTTTCCTTACTTAAAACTATACTAGTGACATGTTTTGTGTATCCTATAAGCACCTTCCACACAGTAATATCGGTAAATATCCAGAAATTTTTTCGGAACGACTTAAATTTTAAAAAAGCGATATTCAAAAAAAAAACATTCACACTTCTATTACAAATTACCGGTAAATTCTGACTTCAGTAACCAGAAACGGCCTCTAAACAGCTGCGCTTGTATTTGTAAAACATAATAGGGGTCAGGTTTTTTTTGATGATTTCACTTTTGTTTAAAACTTTACCAATCATGTTGCTGCTTTTGTGGCAGACATCCAAAAGCAGAAGTGTGAACCGCAGCTAAATGTTTACACATTTGACTACATCACACATTTTGTGAATGGATAAGTATTGTAAACAACTTTGATGAAAACATATAGAGGAACACTTTCATATGTTGAAATGTGAATAATGTGTGTGTGCTGGTGCTCACCAAAGCACTCCTTCACGTGCACATGTGTCAAGAAACTGAAGTAGAGCTTGAAGGTAAACAGTAATAAATATATAAATATAAACAATTTTATATATATATATATATATATATATATATATATATATATATATATAGTTGGATTATTATTATTATTATTATTATTATTATTATTATAGTTGTTGTTATTGTTATTATCATTATTCTATAATAATGTAAACATTGTACAACACGGTAACGTTAGCATAATTAAAGTCTAAAACATAACAAAATAACACTGCCAAAGTAATATACCCGATTCGAGTAATAATAATAAACTAATAAACTGCCGATTCGAGTTTAAAACGGCTATATTCTCACCTGAAACACTTGTAAAACTTTATTTTGTGACATAGCAAAGGTATATATATATTTTTTAAATTGTGCAGGTATTCTCCTCCACTATTAGCTTTTGCTGGTTGGGTTGCAATGCATTCTGGAATACCAGTGCTTTGATGCAAGTCACCTCTCAATGTGACCTTGACAAAAGCGGCGGAGCAAGTACACATTCAGGTAATTTTTGCTGTACTTGGCAATGTGTGAACTTTGAAATGGAACAGCACTTCGGCGACAGTTGATAACATTTTATGGGGGCACAAGAACACAAGTGCAGTCAACAATGCATATTAGGAAACAGCCATAGTCTTGGCTGACTTTAGTTATAGTTACCTAGCAACCAACATCAAACAAAACAAGAATAATGTGGGTGTAATGTTCGCTGCGTCAGATTTTATTCTGCAATACATGTTCTTCCATATCCCATTATTCCAAATAAATCTTTATTGAACTTGTCAAAAACCACCACAGCAGTGTTAAGTTTTTATTCGAAATTATGTGGTTTGTTAATCGTTTCTAATGTAATGGAAACTTAGTTACTCTGTGTGCAAAACAATTCAAAAATGCTTAGTAAAACATATTTAACACTTTATTTTGATGGTCCATTTGAGTATTAGTAGACTCTCTGCTTAATATCTGTTGATCCTGCTCCTTAAACAGACATTCAGCTGACTATAAGAAACTTATAAACGGCAAATACATTTCAACTTACACTAACCCTAACCCCAACCTATTCTACAGTCTATTTATAATCTATTAAGAATTAGTTGGCATGTAAATGCAATGCAACTGAAATTCAACAAGCGGACCATCAAGATATTGTTATACGGACCAAAACATTTTACTTTTGCCTATAAATGTTTTGTGTAGGTATTTAGTTTTAGTGAAAGTGAATGAAAGTGAAAGTAACAGAAATGTTTTACAATTTTTTTTGTAAATGTTTTACAAAAATGTTCGGTGTATGCCGTTCCATATCCGAGTCAGTTTAAGCTTCTAAAGTACTTAAAATTGTGTTGTTAAAGCATATGTACAAATAATTTGTGTATGGGGTCAGTTGTGCATTATGGTATTCTGGCAGCAAAAAGCAAACGCACTGTGTTCAATTAACGAGATCCATTTTAATCTCCATTAATCTCTTCAGTAGAGACATGTCCCATAGAGTGCAATTGATAATTCTTCTATTGATCCACTGGGGAGTCTATGCCAGATAACCTGTATCACTGATTTAAATGGAGCAAAGATCGATGTTTTATTGAACAGGGATTTAAATATGTCGTTTAATGTCTTTTTTGGATGCTACGCTCCATAGGGACTGATATTTGCATTGGAAAAGTCAAGTGCTTGAACGTGCAGCTAGTGAAAGTCTTTGGTAATTCATTTAGTTTAGTGCTCAAACTTTTTGTTTTTGAATGTTACAAAATAAAAAATATATATAAATAATAAAAAAAAAAAAAAAAAAAAAATATATATATATATATATATATATATATATATATATATATATATATAGTGATTATTATTGTAATGTCATGGCATTTGTACTGTAATATTTTCTCACCCCTGAACAAAACGTGGTAATCTGAAAGCATAAAGTTCAAACCGCACATTTTTTTTTTTTAGATGCTTTCAAAGTAGCTTTTCTGAAAATGTTAAAATATAGTGTATTTGATATCTTCACTCGCCTATAATGTCTCCAAGCTGCATACAAAAATGACATTTGTCTTTCTTTGCCTTCCCTCAGGTAATAACCAGTGTTCAGTGAATCACGGCGGCTGCAGTCCATCAGCTTTATGCCTCACAACGCCTGCAGGACGGGTTTGCGCATGCGCAGATGGACAACACCAGGAGAAGGATAACATTACCTGTTCATGTAAGCTCACTTTTGACTTTTGGGGTTACAAAAAGAGCATTAAAATACGCAGATTTGTTTGATGCGTGATCCATTTTCAACTAAGGCTATGTTTACACAACAACAATGTAACAGTTAAATACACTTCGCGTTTACGCATGCGCTAAATATGCTCTTAAGTATACCAGGCCGGTATTTAGGATTGTCACTATTGTTAGTAAACGGTAACTATAGTGACAATGTGACATTGGCCCATTAGCGCTTGTATGTATAACTTGCCATGTTTAACCTATATGGTGAACTCTGCTGTTGATTGTTTTGTGGAGTAAATACACACTTTACTGATGAAGTGTTAGCAAACACTTGAGCACATGATTGTGTGTTTGTTTGCACTTGCTTTCAATCTACACTCTGAAGCGTGCTTTCACACCTAGTTTCGGAACCTAGCGATTTTCCCCAGTTAGTGCGGTTCGTTTGCCATATGTGAATCCAGCAATCGCACTTGGATACATGCCAACTCAATCAGGCCGAGATTGCGTGAATGAGGCTGTCTCGGCCCAATTGAAACGGACTCTGGAGCGGATCAATTGTAGTGAGAAAGCAATATGATCCGAACCAGGCTATATCACAGTGTATTATAGATATATAAGAGAGCTATATGAAGAGAGATTGATGAGTAGGGCGGGATGTCATTACATTATTAATTTTTATTACAATTATTATATTTGGTGGTGATATCTGTGGGTGTCACCATTCAAAATGAAAGCACAGCTTTTAACTTATGTCTTATTGCTCATCATCATAAAATAAAATAAGGACGCATGACAGCTGAATGAGTCTCTGCAAAATAAACAGTGTGACTCGGACCAATGTAAGGAGAGTTTACTCACCAAGAACAAAGTGCAACAACAATTTTAATCCCTGTTTCGGAAAAAAAAGAATCAACCCACAGGTGTGAAATCACCCTAAGAAATACTGGGATATTTAAACTCAGTTTAAACCCAGTAAATTATGGAAAATATGTACTAACCCTAAATATCGATGTCAGTGTTTTCATTAAGTCTCGTTTTTGACAATGCCTGCATTACAAAAAATGTACACTTTGTTACCCCTTCTCAGATTTATAAATTTTTTAAACCCCGAAAAAACATAGTTGTCATGTAAATGAACGGGCAAAATGCATAAGTTTTGTGAATTTGTGGGAAAACATTGTCTTCTAGATGACCTCCTAAAGCATAGGTCCCAACCTAAATTCCTGGTGGGCCACCGCTCTGCACAGTTTTGCTCCAACCCTGATCAAACACAGCTGATCCAACTAATCATGTTGTTCAAGACTACTAGACACTAGTCTTGATTAGTAGAATCAGCTGTGTTTTGATTAGGGTTGGAGCAAAACTGTGCAGAGCTGCGGCCCTCCATGAATTCAGTTTGAGACCTTATGCCCTAAAGCATGGGTGCACAAACTCAGTCCTGGAGAGCCGGTGTCCTGCTGAGTTTAGCTCAAACTTGCCTCAACACACCTGCAGGAACTTTCTAGTATATCTAATAAGAGCTTGATTAGCTGGTTCAGGTGTGTTTGATTAAGGTTTGAGCTAAACTCTCCAGGACACGGCCCTCCAGGAGAGAGTTTGGACACCCCTGCCCTAAAGGATGCAAGCAGGGCATATTGAGTAACTCCTCCTCTTAAAAAAAAATAAAAATAAAAAATTGCCTTTAGCATTTTTTATATCACAGCTCTGCCAATCAGAGTTACTATAAACGAAACAGGCTGAATAAAGCATATATTGGCCTACTGTATGCAGTATTCATTTGAAATATGGCGGCAAACATGCATATGAATGTGGATGTAAGTATATGGAGTTGAATGTATTTAGTGACGATCAAGGTGATTCGAAGTTCCCGGATGAGCCTACGTTATTTAGAGGGTGTCACTGGCAATAACATAACTTAGAATGTTGCGACTGACCAATCAGAATCGAGTATTGCAGACAGCCATCTAATAATTGACTTTAGTATTCATACTTTTTGGATTTACGAATTGTTAGGAATGCTAAATCTCATTTAAAATTCATTATCAGTTAATGTTTTCATATATTTAATTACTGATTACATTTGAGTAATGATCATTTTAGATGAACCAGTAGAATTTTGTAGGGGGGTGGGGCACTTAAAATTACTAGAGATCATTTGATTGGTCAGAATATATAATGAGAAAATCATGTATGAGGTGGCAAAACAAATATGTTGATCCCATTTGACAGAATTTGCTTTCAGGGGGACTTTAACCAGGAACAATTGTAGTGAACAGTGCAATATGAATAGCATAATATTTCTGTCCACTGACAACCTGTTGCAAAATTTCTGATAGAGGTGATGTTCATTTCTAACAAACAAATAAAATCAAAATTCAGTGTGATAACAGAATATGCAGATTTTGTGTTGACCACCCACAGGCTGGTCAGTGTTGGCAGCGATTGTGGGAATTGACAGCAGACCAGACATGCTTATGTTTAGCTGAATATGTCCATTGATTTCCAATTCCAGCTGGGATGTAAATGTCTCGGCTCAAGCTGAGGCTTGGCTGCCGCTCTTTGTGTTTGCGTGTATCTTAAATTAGTTGCAAACTCATGTGGATTTAATTTACTTCATAAATGATTTCCTGTTTTGCCAACTTTTTATTGTGTGTGCCATAATAAATTTAATACGGATTTGTGTTTGTCAAGTTAAATGGTAATTCAGAGCGGATGATGTGGCTTATTTTTAATGGATGAGACTAAATGTTATTTGAATAGACCTGAGAATTCCAATAGTCTGTCTTATCTGTCAGTCTGTCTGTCTGAAAATATAACAATAAACCTAATTCAAATGACTGAAAATGAAGATACTCGCGTATCTAATAACTGATGATTATTAAATATAAAAAATGTATTACAGTTTTTCTCAGTGGCTTTGGTGCATTTCTCACAACACTATTTACATTTGCATAACAGTTAATGCATTTCTCAAAATTAGTACAAACTGCAAGTCCTAGTTAATAACCTGCAAAAGCGTGTCATTTGTTCAAAATGGATAGCTCATTCCTCAAAAGCAAGTATTGATGTCAATGAAAGTGTCAGTGTCATCAAGATGAAAAGTCCTGACATCATTGTTTATGAACAAGATAGTCAAATGGCTTTGTCATGTTTTCATTATGACAGTTTACTCTCTACATTATTTCCAATGCAAAAAAAGTCAGATTTTGGTGACACTTCCTGAAAATGCTCAAGACAGCACTATATACTATTTGCACAGCCGTTTAAAAACTAGATTAAAGTTAGACATCACTGCATTTAGTGAGGTATCTGAGTACAAGACATCTTTACAAGAGATCTTTACATTTCTAATTTATTCACAGAATTGTGCAAAAGAATAAATACACCCTTGTTTACAAAATAAACTTCCTTTGGGTAGAGCTATGCACAACTGTAAACAATATTGCAGAACATATTGGAACTGAACCTACAACATACAGGTCTGTAAATGATTCATGAAATTGATCAATTTAGAAAACATTTCCAGGACAAAAAAAAAAAAAAAAAAAAAAGATTTAAAATGTTTTGTAAAATTTTCTTGACAACTTGTTCAGCATTTTTGTATGTAATGACTCAAGTAATGATTGAGGACTAATAGTTTTATATGGAATGACTATTCAGCATTCACAGGTTTAGTTAGTTTTGACTGACATGACATAAGCAATTGATAATGTTATAAACAGCAGAGAGTTGTATGAAAGCAATAGATGCATGTCCAAAAGCATTTGTAATTTGTTGGAAGGAATAAATAACGGTTTCTATGATGTGCACAATTGACTGATTGTTTTGAGAAATGCATTTACTGTTGTGCAAATGTAAATAGTGTTGTGAGAAATGAACCAAAGCCAATGAGAAAAACTGTAGTTTGATCTAAAAATCGATTTAAAAAGTTGAATCGAAAATTAAGGTGAATTCAAAGAATAGAAGAAAAGACACAAAAGTAAAAAAAAAAATCACTTTTTTTTATTTTTACCAATAGTCAAAGACATTTGCACCATTAATATATATATATATATATATATATATATATATATATATATATATATATATATATATATAATACTATTACTACTGCTGCTACTAGTTGTAATAAGAATAATGTAGTATATAGTATATACAGTTTACATTTGAACTGGAATGCTAACCACTTTACAACCTTATTTCAATCTAGAAATAAAACTTCTTTTAACCTCTAAGGCCCAATGTGTGTGGTTTTTTTTTTACATGCTTTTTTATTTAACTTTTTTGCTATTTGGACTTATTGGGCCTAATTAGAACCTAATTAGAATAAAAACCTAACTAACATTTTTTGATATGATGTACTTTGAGAGAAAAATATTGTCCATATATGTGGACTCGTGGTCCGAATTTACTTAAAACATTTTTTCCTGACTGTTTTTTAATATTTAACATATTTAACATGATATTTAACTTTTTTTATGCTTTGACTATCAGAGAGTAAAAACAACATTATTTTCCCGTTTTGGACAGTTAAAAAGTGTTTGAGACATTTCATATGCTGCAAAACAGTTGCTGGATGACTCTGTATGTCTGTAACAAAATATAAAACATTCAAAGTATTTTAAATAGCCACTTAAGAGCACATACATGCTGTCCACGTATGTGGCCATTAAACCCTAGGAGGTTAATTTGAGGATATTTTCTTCTCAATGATCTTGCTCCTGTGCCTTACAGCCCCATCAGAGGTCACTAAGATTAAACGCTGCAGCCCAGCAGAATTCCAGTGCCAGAACCAGCGCTGCATTCAGATCTCGTGGAAGTGTGATGGGGATGATGACTGTTCAGATGGCAGCGATGAAGATCCACTCCTCTGCTGTAGGTCTTCTTCAGTTTTGTAATCTTAACATAAACAGAACTAATAAAGCAAATCCTGAATTGGCTAATGAGGAAGTAATTTACATAGGAATGAACTGTAGAGAGGATATTTTTAATATTTTGACGTTGGAATGACAGATACATCTAAAAGTCAATCGGCACAACCTTGTTTTTAGCATGGTTAACTTTTGTACCATTTTGGTCGGATTTTTATACTAAAATTAGGTTTTTATTATATATATATATATATATATATATATATATATATATATATATATATATATATATATATATATATGTTTTTTTGTTATTATATATATGTCGCAAGCATGTTTACCACATGGTTAGCCTATTATTAGCACGTCACTAACATGAATTAGCATCCTGCTTGAATGTTTCTAGCATATACTGTAGTTAACAGTAGTTATCATTTTGCTAGAAACAAAATTAGCATTTTGTTTATGCTAAACTTTTGTAATTGCCTTATTGGGTATTACATAACTATATTTATTGTATTTACTACAAGTTATTGATAAAATGTGTCAGAACAACTAAATTATATTTGTTTTCAAGTATGATAGTTTATTGAACCTTTGATCCAACTTTATTAAGTGACTTTTACTAATATTTACTTTACATTTATGTAAATATTTTGGTACAACCCACTTATTACGTACAAAAATATCATAATATTTTGTAATTACGTTAAGAATTACTCTGTTGACCCATCTCTAACACCTTAAGCCACCCTTAAATCTACCTATACCACCAAACCTGTTCCTAACTATAACCATATACTGCCTGAAAAGCACCATTTGTTGTGCAGTGCAATATGAACACAATTCTTCAAGTACATTGTACTTATTTTAAGTAATCCTGCTGAAAAATTTAGCTTAAACTAGCCAAGGCTGGTTTTAGCTGGTCGACCAGGCTGGTTTTTGAGGGGTTTTGGCCACTTCCAGGCTGGTTTCCAGCCATTTCCAGCCTGGTCTTAGCTGGTCAGGGTGGAAAATGACCAGCCAAATCCAGCTAAAACCAGCTTGACCAGCCTGGTTTAAGCTGGATATAGCTGGTTTTGGCTGTACTCCCAGCTTGGCTAGGCTGGTCAAGCTGGTTTTAGCTGGTCATCTCCAAACCTGACGAGCTAAGACCAGGCTGGAAATGGCTGGAAACCAGCCTGGAAGTAGCCAAAACCCCTATAAAACCAGCCTGGAAGTCCAGCTAAAACCAGCCAACCAGCTTAGGCTGGTTTAAGCTGGATTTTTCAGCAGGGAAGTAACTAGCAGATGATTCCATTTTATATAAAGTGGCGCCAAACCTTTAATCTCTCACAGAAATTCGAACAGAACTGATTGTGGAAGGTGAAATATGCATCAATGAATAAGAGACTTGGCATATGTACAGTATATACAGTAGTACAATATGTTCATATGCCAATCAGGATATATCCCGAAACTTTCACTCTCTCATCTGCTTTCAAAGGAATTGGAATTATTGATTGACAGGCTGTTTGTTTATCCTCAGCCAATCGCATCTGCCCAGCGGACCAATTTAAGTGCTTGAACAACCGCTGTATCCCAAAGAGATGGTTGTGCGACGGCACAGACGACTGTGGCAGCAACGAGGATGAGTCCAACCGCACATGCTCAGGTGAGCTTCACTCTGGAGCCCTGTCCTACATGGAGGGCCCCGTATTCGCACCCAGCCATCCGAAACAACCTCGGCAAACGACTCCACCACTGGGAGACACGTTGTTGGCTGTAGGCTACGCACGCACAAAGCTAGTGTCGGCTGAGAATTTGTTGCTTTGAGAGGAGTAGAAGTCTTACATGACACCCCTCTCTAATTTCCCGCTGGTAAAGGCCCACGTGTCACTTACTCCCTCTAGTCGGCGTGTGAAATGAAACTAGGTTCTCTGCGTAATTCATCATGCACTTGGTGGGATTTACACATGACACACATCTGTTTCGGCCCAGTGAGCTCGAGTCCTCGCTGAGAGTCTTTTCGCATCTTTTTGTGTTGGGAGTGACCGATTCGGTCAAGTTTATGATTCCTGGAAGGGCCCGGGGTCTAATTTACTTTTAGATTGAACCATATCCTGTGGTCTGAGTCTCTAGGACGAACCCCCGCTGGGGTTGTTTTCTTCAGATCAGTTTGACTCCAGAATCCAAAACATCAATACTGCAGTAAAGATGCTGTGTTTAAGCCACATTGTGTTTTATATCCTTGTATAATCATATCTTATATAATCTTACATTTCAAAATACTAGATTTATACAAAATATTTAGATTTATTGAATTAAATTATTTCCCTGGTAGGGCATCCGCTTTGTTAAAACGTGCTGGATAAGTTGGCGGTTCATTCCGCTGTGGCGACCCCAGATTATCAAGGGGACTAAACTAAAAAGAAAATGAATGAATGAAATTATAAATTCTATCCATTTATTCGGTCCGTCTCTGATCTAGAGTGAAGATCAAAATTAGAGAGCAAACTACAAAAGAAACACGAGTCACATGTATTGTGAAGCACAGTGTAAAAAACTGATTGAGAAATTTGAAATAGAACACAGATTAAAATGAGAGAATACTTCCTTTAAGATTTCAGTTTGCTTCTAGTTATTGGTGTTAATCTGAGATGTGGTGGTAAAACTGTATTGAGCTTGTGGATTAAATGTTGGGTTAAAAATGTTCTAGAAAAAAAAGTGGTCTAGAATAGTGTGCTCAGGAAAAGTTTCTGCAAGTAAAAGACTTTCTGCAAGTAAATGACTTGTTTTCCCCTGTAACGGATTTAAAACAAATGTATCAGATAGATGTCTTTGTGAAACTGTGAAAAATCTTATTATAGGCACGAACTGTACAATGGGTAAGCAGTGAAAACCAAGCAAAATGAAGCAGTAGAGCATTTAAATGAAAGATAGGCAAAATGGGTTGTGAAAGGCGCGACTATTGTTGTGAAATTTAAATGTACTGTGATTTACTGTCATGTTGTGTCCTTTGTGAAAACAAGTCACTAGAATATTTCCCCAAATGGATAAGTTGGGTAAATACTTCTAATTCCTTCATTATTTGACAAACCCTAGTTAACTGGTAGTCTGAATTTGCGGTTTTTGTTGACAATGCAAAATTATTAGCTGTTCTAAAATTACCGAAACCTTCCAACAGTAAGTTGTCCATGCTACTGGGCTGAATTCAGTCAAAGAAAGAGAACTGGCAACTCTAAATCCATTATTGAACTGTAACTCATCCAAGACCCACAAAAAGTTTGGTAGTTTCAAAGTACTTGAATTGATAACTTGTTAACAGTATAAGGATTTTTATCTCAGCACACAGTGTTTTGGCATTTAAAATAATTTGTACTAGAAGTTTGTGCAGTGACAAAAACCTCTTGTTATCAGTGAGAATCTAAAGGCTTGACTTACCTTTGTTGAGACCTAGTCCAATGTTCACTTTAGTAATGAAAGCAAGTTACAATTATTTGTGTGGGCAACGGGTAAGACTGCACTCAAATTTTCAAAGAGGTAGAAGAGGAAGTGAAGGGATTCTTGAAGGGACACCAGTACACATTTTCAACCTCTTCCTTTTCAAAAACACCTGAATCCAATCAACGGAATATAAGAAGAGACTCCTCCAGGAAAAGGGTTGGGAAACATTGGTTCAAGGGATGTTCCTAATGCATAAGAAATTCTGATCAATCAATCAATCAATCAATCAATCAATCAATCAATCAATCAATCAATCAATCAATCAGTCAGTCAGGCAGTCAGTCAACCAGCCAATCACTCACAACCATGCAATCAACCAACAAATCCACCATTCAATTTATCAACCAATCAACCAATAACCAAACAAACTATTCAATCATTTAACTAATCGACCAACTATTTAATTAATCAACCAATCAACCAACCAACTATTCAGTTAATCAACCAATCAACCAAACAAACAACAATTTAGTTATTCAATCAATCAACCAACTGATCAACCAACCAACTATTCAATTGATCAACCAATTAATTAACTAAACAACTATTAAATTAATCAAACAATCAATTAACCAAGCAAGCAACCAACTATGCAATTAAATAAAAAGTCAACCAACCAACCATTTGATTGATCAGCCAATTAACCAACTATTCAATTAATTAACCAACCAACCAAACAACTATTTAATGAATCAGTCAATAAATCAGTCAGCCAATCAACCAATCCATCAAGTCTGCTATCTGGGTCTAGTGTCTTATTTCCTTTTAGACTGAACCACCTCCTGTGGTCTTAATCGCTAGAAGACATACCCGGACGAGCCCCCACTGGGGGTGTTTTCTTAAGATCAGTTTGACTCCTTGTCTACGAGACATCAATACTGCGGTAAAGATGCTGTGTTTAAGCCACATCGCATTGTCAGAGCTGTATTGTAACACTTGATAAAAGGGCTGGAGACAAATTTTCACACATTTTGCCAACAGGCAGCAGTCGATTTAATTTAGATAGCCTAGAGACAAAGTTCCCCTTTGTGCGTAATACAGTTTTTCTAATCTAATCTTTAAAAGGAGAATTTGGAGGAAATCAATGGAAACTGTTTGGGAGAATAGTGAAGGAGGATGGAGAATTTAGGACAGATAGCAATTTATATATTCAAGATGGTTGGGGCAAATTAATTTTATTGCTTTTTTAGACTGAGAGTACTTTGATAATTGTGGATAATACTGAATGTTTGGGGTTTAATTGATTTAGATTATTGTATTTTTCTTTCTTTGTTTTTTCTTTATTTCACATCTTTCTTTCGCATCTTACTTTCTTTCACATCTTTCACATATTTAACTTTTGTTCTTTATTATTGTTCTTTTGTTTTTTCTTCCTCTTCTCATTTTTCTTTTCTATTCTTTATTTCCTTTTATTTTTGTCTTACATTTTCTTTACTTTTTTTGTTTTGTTTTCTTTAGTTTGTTTCCTTTAACTTGTCTATCCATTCATCCATCCTATAATTTTTTTTAATTGATTTTGTTTTCCCATCCATCCATCCTATTATTCTTTTATCAATTTTGTAGTCCCATCCATCCATCCATCCATCCATCCAATCTATTATTTTTTATAAATTTAGCAGTTTTTAAAACTTTGACAAATTATATTATAAGCATAACAATAGAAAATAATAGTAGTACCATAATAACAACAATAATAATAATGATGATAATAATAATAATAATAATATTAATAATAATAATAATAATAATACATATTAATAATAACATATTCTTTAGTGTTTTAAAATATTTATAAAAGTGTAAGGGTCTAAATAAACTATAATATATATATATATATATATATATATATATATATATATATATATATATATATATATAATATGCATTCCAAATGACCATATACCATAGCTATTACTATATTTAAACATTTTACAATAATTATTATTACTTAATATTTATTAAAATACCTCTTTCGACATAGAAACATAACATTCTTTGTAAAATACTTCTTTTCTTTTTATTTTTTTATATCATTTTCCTATTTTAATGCAAAATCCAAAAGTTTGCTTGTTTATCCAATTTCTGCATATTTCCTTAGACACAACAGACTAAATTATAAAAAAAACAAACACATCTTGATATGAATGAATGATGCAGCAGTTGGCAAGAGCAAGTGGCCTGAAATTTGCACTAATTGTGTTGATAAATGTAACTTTTTTTCTTAGGTGTGTTTTGAACTCTGCTAATGAGAACGTTTCCATCAGAATCTTACCAGAAAGGCTTGATCTTAATGATCTCACTAAGGTTACACACTTCAGCGAGCGCTAAAATGTGCAAAAGCTTATTTTATTTATGATTATTTCTTGTTTTCAGGCTTGCTATTCCAGGCTATTTAATTACCAGAGTTACCGATTTTTTTTCTCCTTCATTTTGCGGATTAATTAGTTCCCTCAAGATGTCAATTTGATATTCCAGGTTGGAACGTGACCTTGTACTCGAGGCACCTTTGAAGGCAGAATCATGTTCAAATCATGTTCATAATCAAGAAAAGTGAGCATTTACAATGTGCTTTTTAAAAATAATAATAAAAAGTAATAATTTTGTTAAATCTGTCATGACAACAACTTGCGGAATTAATTGGCCATGTGTTAATTAGTGGAAGGTATGTTAAAGGATTTTTACATCTTGTTTTGGATGCAAAGTGTCATTTTATGCCACAATAGAATAAACTATATTACAATTTTAGATTGCTTATGTCCTTAACAGGAAAGAGCAAATTTTGAATTAAAATAAAATATTGTCTAGTTCTGTTATAATCAACAGTTTTTGTGGATATTATGTAGATTTCAATGTTTTATGTATCATATATTAAAAACTGAATTACACACATTGTATTTGGATTGATTGTCGATGGATGGATGGATGGATGGATGGATGGAACAACACAACAAAATAATTGATTAAAGAATAATAGATTGGAAGTATGGATGGATGGATGGATGGATGGGACAACAAAATAATTGATAAAAGAATAATAGATTGGATGGAATATTACAAATAAATAATCTAATCTAAATATTGCAATAAAATATTAAGTTTTGGACCACTTTTTGTATACAATATTGAGGATATTATTATTATTATTATTATTATTATTATTAATAATAATAATAATATACACTCATTATTTTTTTTCTTTCTTATGCTGATAATATAATTAGTCATAAAAATGTACTATTAAATTAACTTAATTAGATTAACTCATAGGAAAATATTTTCATTAGCAGGGTTCGATCAAATCATACCTATAACAAAAAAGTAAAAATTTTCAACACAATTAGTGGAAATGCTGCCCAAACAAAACTTTAGCCATAAAAAACAAAACAAAAAAAAAACATACTTGCTCTTGCCAACTGCTGCATCATTCATTCATATCACCATGTGTGGGTTTCATATTGTAGTCTGTTAGGCAATATGCATAAAACGGGTAAACAAGCAAACTTCTGGGGCCTCATGTACGAAGACTTGCGTGGAAATCTTACTAAAACATTGCGTACGCACAAAGCTGTAAATGTGCGTACGCAGAAAAAAATTCAGATGTATGAAACACTGCGTACGCCGAATCTCACGCATATTCTTTTGTACATCTGAATGAACGTGAAACTGAGCGCAACATGCACGAGCACAAAACCCCTCCCTGCCTCCTCCCCCGTATGAATATGCTAATGACTATGCTAATGTCAAAACCCAACGAAAAAGCAATGGCAAAAGCAAGCAAAAAGAGAAACTTTGAACAGAATGTGAAATGGAGGTGCTGCTTTCGGAGGTAGATCGGAGAAAAGCGGTGTTATTTGCAAGTTTGTTCGGCGGAATTAACAACAAAAGAAAAAAAATAGAGTGGGAGAGTTTAGCTGATACGGTTAACACAGTTGGGTCTGAACATCGCACTGAGTGCATTTAAAAAAGAAATAGTGTGGTTTATATCTGTAAAATGTTGCAGTACCCTTCGCAGTCTCAGTGGCGCACCTCATAAGAAGCATATGATCATGTTCTGACACGTTCGAGCATAAACTCGGCTCGAATCCAGCGTCTGATGAATTCCTTCTTCTTTTTTTTCCCCGCTACATATCAGATTTTGCCCACTATTTATCACGAGAAAGACAAGTAGGAATCATTAATAAGTTTGTGCATCATATTTTATTTGCACATTTATTGAATGGAAATGTTTCTGATTCACGCATGCAAATTTATCTTCACATAGTGTCTTTATAGCAATGTGCGTGCAGTAGATAGCTCAGATTACATTGGGAAAACAGGCGACCGCTGCAAATTGTGCTTTAATGTTTAGCTGGTCAACTGTATGGTATGGAAATCTTACATACCTACTATATGAACCCGTCTCATACAGACGCCATTGCAAGGATCAGACACTTTGTAGAGAAGAATTTAACACAACTGCCTCTAGGAGTCGCCAATGGAAATAAAACAGACACGCACAAAAAATGTGCGTACGCCTGCCAGAAAGCTGCCGTGAACCTGCGCAAATTCCCACGTTCAGTTCATTGTTAGTAAATCCAAACGTGAGCGATTCTGAGCGTGAAACCTGGCGTACGCAAAGTTTTTGTGCGTACGCAGCGTTGATACATGAGGCCCCTGGTCTGTTATTTAAATCTGCACCTGTTCAGTTGTACATTCCGGTTTTCTTTTCTTGGTTTAGAAGCAGCACAAGCTGACACTCAGAGGTTATTGAAACACCTGCAGGTTTTTTTTACTACAGCAATATTCTGCAAAAAAAATGCTGAAATTGCAGAGACTCGTTTTTATTGTTTTTTTTGTTTGTTTTTTTTAAATCTTGCGTTAAACACAAAAGTAGATAATTTAAATATTGCTTGAGCTGCTCTTTTACAAATACTAATATATATTTGTAATATATATATATTACTATTTATATATAATATTATAATATATAATATTATAATATATTTATATATTTATATATTTTGAGCGTATAGTTCCTGCACGGGCCTAGAAAATTGCTACTTTTGCTTTTCTATTGGTCTTAGTATACGATAAAAAAAAGAGTCGAGCTTTAAAAAGGAAAATTATAGAAAATAATTTTCTATACAAATAAAAATTTATTGAAAATATATATATTTTTTTCATTTTTCTTTAAAAAATAAAAATTATAGATTTTTTTTTTTTTTTTTTTTTTTTTTTTGGAGCAGGATACTAATGATCTAATCTGATTCAATGACTTATACTAAGCTAAGTTCTAAGTAAATGATCCTGCTTGACCCGAATATTGGCCAAATTGATTCAAAAAAAAAAAAAAAAATATATATATATATATATATATATATGTATATATATATATATATATATATATATATATATATATATATATATATATATATATATATAAAGTAGTGTTCCTTTTATGTGCTGCACATGGCTCCATATATACTGTATTAATACAACTTTGCAGTTTTGTTTATGTAAAGCTGCTGACGTGTTAAGTTTATATTGAAAAGTTTAACTTATTTTGAGGAAATGACTTTTAAAATTGGTATAATACTTGTAATTCATCTTGTATCTTGTAAAAGACACATTGACTGAAAAAAGCCCAACAAAAGAAACACTTGGGATTGTATTTTGGATGTTTTCTTTACATTTGACTAAAAACACTTTAAAATCTAACAGGTGCATTAAAAAAAAAAAAAAAAAACATTAAAATGCATGTTTTGTGTATTCAACCATTCACTTGTCAGTTCTTTACATTCGCCACATGCTTATTTAAAGTTTCTTGCAGTTTAATACTTAATACGTTCAAAAGAGTTTCTGAATCCTGCTGAGAGATTTCACCCATTGGGATCTATATTTACCATATCCGTGTCTTCGTAACGCGGTTAAATTCAGTTCATAGACGCCAGATGTTGGGAGAAAACAGATTTTGAACAGCGCAGCCATTCATAAGTCCTTCAGGAAAGACACAAACTGTAATATTGGATGTCATGGACTTAAGGGTTTATCTCTGAAGGCGATTACTCAATATCACGGCTGAGACTGGAAGCAGACCTGGACAAGGTGAAAACAAATCCAGATGGCTTTCAAGCTTGGAAGAAAAAGAGAAATATTGTGCTGTGGGTCCAAAAGAGGAGGGTCATGCTGAAAATCTTCAATTTGTTATTGCTTAAATATTATTAAGAAAAATGTTTTTCGATTAAAAAAAAAAAAAATGTGAACATAAATTTTTTTTATATATAAAAAGAACCGATATTTAAGATTTTGTGCTATAAGCTGTTTGTATTATTATTACTATTATTCATTTTTGCTGCATTCAGAGTTTTGGACTATATTTTAGAAAATAATATTATAGTACACAATATTCTACTACAATTTTCTACCTAGCTTAAGTACAAATGTATACCTTTTGAAAAGGTACCACGGCAGTGACAGCTCAAGTACCATATTTTTTGCGAGTACTTAAGGGTGTTCTGCAATATTGTAATTCTGTATAGTATACGAGTCTGTCAGTGAGGCTAAAAACAGGTGATGAACCAGATTAAAATCTGTTCAAAGACAGTAGGAAAGCCTCTTGAGAAATTATATGACTGTTTGTATTAGAAGAACCTTACAAGGCTGACAAGGAGCATTATTTCGAACTCTAGTCATGTGTTGAATCATGAAATTCTAACTGTCTAAAGTCTAACCGTAGATTTCCGTAGAGTCCCAAGTTTTAATAGAGTGAACTTAAAGTAATTTGTTCGTCTTGGAGCTGAACAAAGTCCATGTAAAATTATCATTTTTTTGTTTGTTTGTTTATATTAGTCTTTTTCTCTTTGTAATAAGTATTTATCATGCTGTTGTGCAAGAAACATTTCAGATGCAAGTCTGACAAAAAAGTTTTGTATTGTATTGTATTTTACACATATCATTAGTAGTAATAATACCACTATCACTATCATCATCATAGTCATCATCATCATCATCCTCCTCATCATCATCATCATATTGTAAAGTTTTAAATTATTTAGATAATGTGCAATTTATTATTTTTATTATTATTATTATTATTATTATTATTATTATTATTATTATTATTATTGGTATTATTATTTGTATTATTATTATTATTATTATTATTATTATTATTATTATTATTATTATTATTATTATTATTATTATTATTATTATGATATTTTATATTGACATCGTTTGAAATTTTATTTATATGACTATTCATCCAAGACATTTGGACCATACTTAAAAATAAATAAATAATAATACTGTAATAGCTTATTTATAATATTAATAATAATAATAATAATAATAATAATAATAATAATAATAATAATAATATAAACAAGCTATTACTATTATTATTATTATTTAAATTAACTTGTAGTGGTAAGTAGTAGTAGTGTTGTTATTTTTGTTGTTGCTGTTATTAATGTAATAATAATAATAATAATCCTTAAATCTTTTTAAAAAAATGTTCAAGTGATGAATCATTCAAGGCCGCAAACTTTTCACACACTCTTGATGACCTTATTTGTGTGTTTTGTTCGAGACGCAAGGGAGAGATTAAATAAGCATCCACTTAGGTGTGCTTTAATATCCACGCTTTTCGCTCCCCGCAGCCCAAACTTGCCAGCCGGGCCAGTTTCCCTGCGCCAATGGACGCTGCATCCCAGAGAACTGGCGCTGTGACCGTGATGATGACTGCGGGGATCAGTCGGATGAGTCTTCATCATGCGGTGAGTCTTCCTCAAACACTCAACAAACAAGTCCAGATTTGGCCTTTACTTTCATTTATTTGCAGGACTTTTCCTTTGGGTCTTATACTTTTATTACACTGTAAAAAGTGCTACACTCACAAAGTAGATTTGATATACTTCAAAAAAATGTATCTAGTTTGTTTTATTTGCTTCAAACTAAAGTATCAATATGCTTACTCTTTACTTAACTTTCTTGCATAAAAGTTTATACAACAGTTCTGTCTGGTTATCGAAACTGATTGCCTGATAGCCGTGATCAGCTGTGATTTTAAAGTAATATCAGCACTCGTACAGCCTGTATTGCTCCGCTCTCACGGGTTGCAACCAGAGGACTACAGTTTGACAATTATTGAAGCTGTTGGACAACATAATGTACTTTTGAGGCTTTTTAGGCGAGAATGTAGTTGTTTTGATTACAACTATGCAGTTTATTTATAATGACATTGCCTATTTTAAATAATTATCATTTTGGAGATGTCAGCATGTCAGCAGCCATTAGTTTGCAAAGAGGTTTAATGTTTCACAACAAGATAGTAACAGTTTATTAAGTCCTCAGAGGAGAAACATAGCATTGTTCCAGCGTACTTTTCAAACTACAGCTGAACAAATCATTACAGATCAGGTAATTGACATTCTAAGTCGATCTCTCTTTTGTATTTTGTAGTGCTGTTGTATACTGTAGTAATCTGGTAGTGTTTCCTTTGCTTCGGCTTTTTTCAGGGTGATTTTTGTGATCTCCCGAACAGAGAAATACTGTGAAATTTCTGTAGACTGATGGCAGTTTATGCCGTTCAGTCTTATTATCTTAAAATGTGAGAAAAATCACTTGTTTTGTTATCACTTTAGGCATTATGCAAGATTATCACTCAAATACTTGCTCTAAAGTGACTTTTTTAAAATAGCAGTGGTATTTTTTCTACTGTTATGATGCTTAGCTACAGATGTGAATGGCGGAAGGAAGTAGTTCCTCTTACAAAAGGGTTTTTGACACTCGCTGATTTTATTTTATTTTTATATACATGATTATGCCGTCAAACTGACGTATATATGTAGTATCACACTCTTAGCATTGTGATGGCTGTACATCATCACTGGTGGGACACTAGTGCCGATATACAGCCATATAATATTGCCCATATTGCCCATAAATCTTGAATAAAACTATTGCAATTTATTTCAGTCTATTATTGTATGAGGTTTTCGTGCACAAAAAAAATTATAAAAGTAAGTTGACACAGAAGATTTATTAGAGTAGCTGTTGATGTGTGGCAGGTCTGTTCATCAAATGTGATTTTAATAATTCGGTATTACCCCCTTTTTCACTGTGTGACTTTGCAGATTAGAGTCTGTAGGCAAAAGCACGATTGTTTCATGCGTATGTTAATTATATGATAATATTCAGTCTAATGTAAAGAAGACATTTAGTACACAAGTAGTTCTTTTATCATGCTTTATCAATTTGCTACTGTAGATTTCAGCGACAATGCACTGAGTCATAAATCTCCACTTCACTTACAGAAAACTGCAGAGCTTCATTCATGTCTGCATCCTGAAGGTTTTTAAAGAGGGATATGTTCATACATAATTTGACTGATTATGTGCAACATTTATTACCGAGAGATTAAAAAGAGATTTCTAAAATATCCCCTGTGAAACCCTTTGACTTTTTATTACATGAAAACAAAAATGACGCATTTTGAAGCTAACTTCATTCAGTGTTCAGATTTTTGTGCTAGTAATTAATGAATGCAAATATAACGAAAAGGATGCCTCATTTTCATGTTCAAACATGACATTTCACAAAAAATATATGAAAGAAAAAACAAAACTTTTGTTTTATTTGACTTTATATCCTTTAGCATGAAATAGCAGCTTAACACCATATATGATGTCAAAATAAAAATCTGCATTCATCATTTTTGTCTGGCAAAAAATGTATTTTCTTTTTTTATTGTTTTTGCTTAATGTGTGAAATATATATTTAAAGCATAAAATTATTAGTTCACCTTTAATTTATTTATTTATTTTTTAAGTGATAATTAATTAACAGAGCAAGACTATTGTCACAGGAGAAAGTTAAAAAAAAGTGATGTTTATATCACGAACTTTTCATGTGTGCATTTACGGTGTCGTTACATTGTAACTAATATGTATTTACATTGTAGTTACTATGTTATTAGTTACGATGTAGTTACATCCAAAATAATATTTATAAATGTAATGTTCCTTTGTATATTGCATGTGCAGTTTTTGGTTAATTGTAGTTATAGTTTTTGTAAACTTCATGATCAGTTTTTGTAAATAGCTATATACATAAATATACACATTACACGTGTAATTACAAACTCTTTCTTCGATGTAATTACTATGTCATTATATTGTAATTACTTTGTAATTACGTTGTAATTATACATATACATAGCTATACATAGTTGTATACTGTACGTAAATACATACAGTACACATGTAATTACAAACTTTTATCATGGGTGTAATTACGGTGTCGTTAAAATATTACATTTATGATATTATTTATAAACATAATTGTTTATTTGTATGTTTCAAGTAGAGTATTTGCGTATTTATTCGTAAATATACGCAGAATTACTGATTGTAGAATTTGAAATACTATGTAATAACATTGTATTTATTTTGAAAATTGGAAATGTTTTTGTATATTTTATGATCAGTTTTTGTAGTTATATACATGTACACATTACACGTGTAGTTACAAAATTTTCTTGGATGTAATTACTATGTCATTACATTGTAAATACTATTTTAATACATTGTAATTACACCCAAGATAATATTTATAAATGTACATTTCTTTGTATATTGCATGTACAGTATTTGTTTATTCATATAGTTGTATATGTAAATACACACGGTACACATGTGATTACTGTGCACAATTACTGTCATTACATTGTAATTACATTGCTATTACTTTGTACTTACAAGATAATATTTAGAAATGTTTCTTTGTATATTGCATGTTCAGTATTTGTTTATTTATATAGTTGTATATGTAAATATACACAGAACACGTGATTATTCACATGTGAATACATATTTAACTACAAACTTTTATTTTGGATGTAATGACATTGTAATTACTATGTTATAACATTCTAATTGCATTTAAGATGTAACATGTAATTACAACTTTTATTTTGTGGGAAACAATATTTACAAATGTAAAAGTTTCATTGTATATTGCATGTACAGTATTTGGTTATTTCTAGTTGTATACATCAATAAACAAAATGCACACGTAATTACAAACTTAATTACTATGTCAATGCATTGTAAAACAATTCTATTAATTTCTATTACATCCAAGACAATATTTATAGACTTAAATGATTCTTTGTATATTTCTTGTACAGTAATTGTGTATTTATACGTAAATACACGCAGCACATATGTAATTATTCTGCCTATTCAACAAACCACTGTTGACCAGTGACTTGCCTAATTAAATAACTGAATAACCTAATAAAATCACACTGTAAAACTGTAAAAATATTTGCAAATTGACATATTTTCAGTTTTTTGTGATCCATATCCCCCCAACCCCCACCCCCCCACTTATTTAGTATTTTGAACTGCATTATGGGACCTTAGTCTTTCTTCAAACAGTTTTTAACTTTTTATAATATATATTTTTTAATAGATTAAAGTTATATATTGTCTGTGTTATTGTTGCATATTATGCTGCAAAATCCTGGCAATAAGCTGCAAGTGTGTTTTCTGTTTGTTTTACAATCATAGTTCTCTAGATATTATTTCTTAATTGATTTCTATTGGGGAAAACAAAAATGAATTGTGTGAAACAGCATTTTTTACAGTCTAGTATCTTGCAATGTAACTAAATGTACTGTCATTATAGATAAAATAAATTGGTTATTAGAAATAAGTTATTAAAATGTATTTTGAAAAATGTGTTGAACAAAAATATCTCCATTAAACTGCACTTGGAGAGTATTTGAGTTAATATTTCACAGAAGTGTGCATAATTTAGCCTGCAACTGTATATATACACAACTTAAGTACTATGCTTTTATAAAGGTTTAACACTGATTGCTCTCAAATGATGCCTGTTATAGTTTTTCAAAACATAAGAAGGGCTGCTGAAGGTCAGATGTGCTGTTTTGAATTGAGTTTAATCTGATGACCTGAGGCTTTCAACAACTATAGACATGCTATTGAGAGGCCAGACAAAACGATATCGCAGATCTGAAGTGTTTGTTGTAGCATCCTTACACAAGCAAAGAAAAATGCTCGCTCTGTTTTCAGATTTCCTCTGTTGTGGCCTCTTTGATATCTTTTGATGTGTTTTGTGTGTTTGGAGGTCAAAATGCACAGCTTTGATAGGAGCTGTTTGTTTTTAATGTGAAGGTCGCCTGCTGCTGCCATGATCACATCTGAACTGTGACACTACTAAAGATTTTTATTTATTTATTTTATTTATATTTTTATTTGGTAGATTTTAGAGTCAAACAATATCTCACAAGTGTAATCTCTTAAAAATAGTCCTTATATGCATTATTATATTTTTCTTTTCTGTTTTCTTGACATCACGCTTTTTATTTTTTCGTGATCTTGACATGGATTCATTCGTTCATTGATTCATTTTCCTTTAGCTTAGTATCTTTATTAATCAGGGGTCACCACAGCGGAATGAACCACCAACTTTTACAGCATATGTTTTTACACAACGAATGCCCTTCTAGCTGCAACTCATTAATGGGAAATATGCATACACTCTCACATTCAAAGGAATAAACTATGGCCAATTTAGTTAATTAGATTCACCAATACTGCATGTCTTTGGTCATGGGGGAAACCGGAGCACCCGGAGGAAACCCACACGAACAAGGGGAATACATGCAAACTCTACATAGTAATGCCATCTGACCCAGCCGGGACTTTAATCAGGGACCTTCTTGAACTGAGGCAACAGTGCTGACCACTTAGCCACCATGCTGCCCTATTCATCTTGACTTATCAAAGGTTTTTTTCTCAATGTCTCAACTTTATTTTCTCGTTATCTCAACATCATAAACGTTGTTTTTGTTTATGTTAAGATCACAAGAAAATAAAGTCGTAATCTCGAGAAAACATGACTAACAATTTTTTGGTGAATAATATTTTAATAATCTGAAGAACTTTAAAATAATAGTCTGATGAACTTTGTTATTTTAAAGAGACTTTGCAGAGCAAAAATGTTCCATGCAGGTTAAAGATTAATGTTAATGCCAACATAGAACTTATATTTCAAAGTCATGAAGTGCATTTGTTCATTATTTATGTATATATTCATTGTATACTACCAAAGCCAAAACTGGATTTAATTTTATAAAATAACTTCGGATCATGGTGCAAAACTTTTTACACCACAAGAAATATATATAAAAAAAAAAAAAAAAAATATAAAAAATATATATATATATTAAATAATAATAATAGTAACAAACATTCGCAAAACCTCCTTGGAATTTAAATGCATTATCTTTTTATTCCTGTGATGTGACCACACTTTTGTATTATCTAAAATAACTTTTTATTTTTATTTTTTATTAAACTGTTTTGTTTAAATGCACCAAGACATATTCTCTATATTTAATAAAAATAGGTTCAAATTGATTCACTAATTTTTTGAATACTGATTTATGCTGTGTACTACTGTATATAATGCTTCTTTATTAAGTGAGAATTCAGTTTGAATAATCCTTTATTAAACTTTATTTCATAAAGTTTATTTACACTATAAGAAAAAAAGAACTGTTCACTGAAATATTCTTTAGTAATTTCTCTATGGCAGAAAATAAATAAATAAATAAAATCAAGCTTTTTATATAAGAGGCCATGAATGCCACAACTTTGAAAATCAGTATTTAATTAAAAAGAAACATGATGGAACCTTGGGTAATTAATTGATGTGAAGAGTACTTAAAGTTTTTCCTCAGTGGAAAACAAGTTCATAGATGCTCAATATGACCCCCTCCAGACACTCGAGTGACATCAACCCGAAAGTTGACTGTACTACTTTAAGACTTAATAAAAAACGGAATTGTTTTACAAAATGTTTACTTCGTTGTTCTTTTATACAACAATGGTTCTTATGTAGCATCACTTCACATTAGTATTCCTGTTAGCATTGAAAGGTTCTTTGGGGAACCAAAATACTGTGGCAGGAAAAATGTAAACTTAAGATATAAAAAAATAAAGACCTTTACTTAAAATAAAGGTTCTATATTGTAATTAATTGTTCCACCAAGAACATAGTGCATGGGAAAGGTTCTATTAAGAATTACTCAATGAAATATGATATGTGGCATTAATAGTTACTGCTAAAGATTATTCAGAGGTTCATCAGCACCAATTAGGAACTATTATCTTTAGGTTTAGTAGCATTATTTGATGCCACTGATTTTATTATATACAGTTGAAGTCAGAATTATTAGCCCCCCTGAATTATTTGCGCCCCTGTTTATTTTTTTCCCCAATTTCGGTTTAATGGAGGGAAGATTGTTTCAGCACATTTCTAAGCATAATAGTTTTAAAAACTTATTTCTAATAACTGAATTATTTTATCTTTGCCATGATGACAGTAAATACTATTTTAATTGATATTTTTCAAGACACTGCTATGCACCTTAAAGTGACATTTAAAGGCTTAACTAGGTTAATTAGGTGAAATACGCAGGTCAGGGTAATTAGGCAAGTTATTGTAAAACGATGGTTTGTTCTGTAGACTATCGGGAAAAAAAAAATAGCTTAAAAGGGCTAATAATTTTGTCCCCCAATTTTTTTTTTTAAATATAACAACTGTTTTTATTCTAGCCAAAGTAAAACAAATAAGACTTCTTCCAGAAGAAAAAATATTATCAGACATACTGTGAAAATTTCCTTGCTCTGATAAAAGTCATTTGGGAGATATTTAATAAAGAAGTGGGCAAAAAATCAAAAGGGGGCAAAAAATTCTGACTTCAACTGTGTGTGTGTGTGTATATATATATGTATTTATTTATTTATTTATTTATTTATTTATTTATTTATTTATTCATTTATTTATATATATTTGTATGTGGAACTTGAACGGCAATTTTTAAGATGAAGAGTTTTTTAAAAATCAAAATAACTTAACTTTCCCATCTCAGAAAATATTGGCCACACTTTACAATAAGGTTGTATTATTTAATGTTAGTTAATGCATTTGCTAACATGAACAAACAATGAACAGTGCATTTATTACAGTGTTTGTTTATGATAGTTAACATTAGTTCATGAAAATGCAGTTGTTCATTGCAAGTTTGTTAACTCAGTTAATTTCAGTTCATTACAGTTTTAGTTTGTGTTAGTAAATACATTAACTACTGAAATTTATCATAAAGGGTGACCATAATAATCTGGAAAGGTTCTCTTTTGTGCAATAGAAAACTTATAGATGTTATTCGTCAAACCACTGTTGCCAGTCCTTTAGTACAATTACTTTCTTGTATGCCAGTTCCTCACAAAAAACATTCACTGGGATCTCTTCATCATTAACACAAAGTCAAAGACATTGTCATTATTCAGTGAAAAAAAAGGATCCCTTTGGATGATATGATATTATTCTCCTCATTATCATGCCTGAGTTTCTTCAGCTCTCAACAGCACCGCCCTGAACCTGTTGTGACGGCTGGAGTGTCTCCGACAGTGGCGTTCAGCTGGTGTAAATGAGAGATGAGAAACAGCAGCATATCTCCACCTCTCCTCCTCGGAGGGATGAAGTGTGTGTTTGAAGCTTTCTCCTCTGTTAGTCGTCGCATCTTATTACCGCTTAAATTTCCTCGGGTACTGTTCCAGGGTCGCTTCGGTTCTCATCCGCACACAGGGCCGCGTACAGAGTAATTAAAGTTTATGCTTGACTTCCTTAAATCAAAATCAAGCTGGCACTGGAAAGCGTCGGCGAAATGTCGAATGTTACTCTGTTTGCCGTGGAGTTGAAGCATGTGGCGCCGCATGGCTGCTCGCTCACTTCATGTGGTGTTTTTTTCATCTCCTATTTCCTGTCATGTCTTTTCTAATGTGGGTTTCATTTTTAAAGGTGGTGGCCACTGTTGGTTTATTTGAAAACACTTCCGTCTCTTTTGGGGAAAGATGGAGGTGCAAACTTTAAAAGAAAAAAAAAACAACTTTTCTTTGCTGCAGTTTTTTGGCAGGGAATTTTTTCTTTTTCTGTTGACGACATCACTGTTCCCTTTGTTTTATACTTTGATCCTTTCATCCTCCTTTCTTTCTGTCCTTTTGATACCTTTCTTTGTTTCTTCCATCTGCCTCTACACTTTTCAATTTGATTATTCATCCATCCATCCACCCACCCATTCATCCATCCATCCATCCATTCATCCATCTCTCATTTTGATCTTGATTTTATCTAATTTTTGAATCATCCATTCCTCCCGCTTAAACTTGCATCTACCCATCCATCCATCCATCCATCCATCCATCCATCCATCCATCCATCCATCCATCCATCCATCCATCCATCCATTTTTCGGCCAGTTAATTTCATTTTTTTGTATCCTCCTTTCATTTTCTTGATGGCCTGCTTCCTTCATTTCATTCTTCCATACATCCATCCTTCCATCATTTGATCTTCCTTCCATCTAATATTTCATTCCAGCCATCTATAGTTTTTTATTTTCCATCCATCCATTTATTCATCCATTTATCATTCCATTAAAATTTCCTTCCATCCATCCTCCCATCATTTTGATCTTCATTCCGTCCATCTATAGTTTTTATTTTCCATCCATCCATCCATCCATCCATCCATCCATCCATCCATCCATTTATCAGTCCATCCATCATTTTGTTATTCCATCCATCCATCAATTCATCCATTCTTCCATCATTTTGATCTTCCTTCCATCTAATATTTCATTCCATCCATCCATCATTTTATATTGCTTCAATGGAATTTTCCATCCGTCCATCCATCCACTTTGTTAGGCCTTCAATCGAATCTTCCTTCCTTCCGTCCCCTACTTAGTTACTTTCATCCATTCATCATTTTTAATTTTTTTCCATCTAATTATCAATCTAAACATTCATCCATCTATTTATCATTTTGATATTTCTTTCATTGAATCTTCCTTCAGTCCATTATTTTGATATTCCTTCCATCCGTCTATCCAACCATCTATCCATCATCATCCTTTTATTTTTAAATCTACTTTTTTCCTTTCATTTCCTTCCTTCCCTTTCCTTAATTCCTATGTTTATTGTGTGATGGCACATAGATGTTTCCGTTAGTTTATTTTGAAACACTTGTGTGACAGGTTAGTGCTTCTGTCTCCTGAGAGATGAGATGGAAGGTGCAAAGTTCAGCAGAAACAAACTCTGTGTTTGTTCTCTGCTATTCTTGGCGGGGAAAAAGTTGTTAGTTGAAGGCTTAATCTAAGCTTTTGTTTTTCTTTCTGCATTTCTTGCTGGCACGGGAACAGCGTTGACTTGCAAAGTTGAGTGAAGTTGGAAAGGGGAAGTGTCTATTGTCATTCGTCGTGTTGAATTTGTTAAATCTTTCGCTCCTCTTCTGTTTCCTCTAGATTTCCCCACTTGTGAGCCGCTGACACAGTTTGGCTGTACTAATGGGAAATGCATCAGTGTGAAATGGCACTGCGATTCCGGTAAGCTAATGTTACAAAAGAACTTTTCAGACTTTTTCTGCTCCTTGATCTTTTGAAACTAATCGAGAATTTTATTTTCAGGTAAAAAATAATTTAAATGGATCCTGCTGTGGGATTTAAGAGTTGTTTACAATTTCCTCTTTACCAATTCTCTGTGATCTTACTTTTATTCACCCTTTCATCATTTTATCCTTATTTCTGTCATTGCATACTTCATTTCCCTTCTTTCCTTGAATCCTCCATTTACCTTTCCCTCTCACTTGTTTGCTTCCTTTTTTCATACCTCATTATTTGTCATTCTTTGTTTTATCCATCTATTTTGTATGTTTCTTTCATATTTATCCTTGCTACTTGCATTTATTTCTTTATTGCTTGGTTCCTCCTTCCTTTTTTTATTTGTTTTATGCATCCATTTATACATTGCTTTCCCTTCCATTTTTAATTCTTTACATCTTTCATTTCTTCCTGTTCATCTGTCCATCCATCCATTTATCTATTTATACTTCATTCTGTTTAGTTTCACCTTCTTTAATCTCTCCATCCATCCAACCATCCATTTCTCCATCCATCCAACCATCCATTTGTACTTCCTTCCTTTTTGTTTCGCATCCATCTTTCCATCCATCCATTCTTCCATTTGTACTTCATTCTTTTTTGTTTCACGTCTTTCAATCTTTCCATCCATCCATCCACCCATTTGTACTTCCCTTACTTCTTGTTTCACATCCATCTGTCCATCCATCCATTTGTACTTCCTCCTTTCTTATTTCATATTCATCCATCTGTCCTTCCATCCATCTATTTGTACTTTCTTTTTTCTTATTTCATATCCATCAATCCATTTGTCCTTCCTTCTTTTTAATTTCATATCCTTCCGTTTGTTTTTCCATCCATCCGTTTGTACTTTCTTTCTTATTTCATATCCATTCCTCCATTCTTTTGTACTTTCTGCTTCTTGTTTCATATCCATTCATTCATCTATCCATTCATTTGTACTGCCTTCTTATTTCATATCCATCTGTACATCCGTCCATCCATTCAATTGTTTTTACTTCTGTCTTTGCTTCTATCCATCTTTTATTGCCTTTTTTTCCTTTTACCATCCATCTATCTATCCATCTATTATTTTGTCCTTGCTTCCATCAAATCTTTCATCCATCCACCCACCCATGCATCTCTCACTCCCTACCTACACCCTTCTCACTCTTTCTCTTTTTATCTCTCTGTAGAGGATGACTGTGGGGATGGCAGTGATGAGGTGGGTTGTGTCCATGCCTGTTCAGTGGCTCAGTTTCAGTGCTCAAGCGGGAAGTGCATCCCTGAGCACTGGATGTGTGATGGAGACAATGACTGCGGTGACCTCAGCGATGAGAACGCTACCTGTTCCAGGACAGGTGCCCACGAACACACAGAAACACTTAGCATGTTTACATGAACAATAATACTCTGATAATAACAATAACCCTTCAATGAAATGAAAACACGTTTACAAGACCTTGAAGTAATTTACTCACGGTTTACTTACCTTCACGTCGTTTCAAACATTTCTGAGTTTCTTTATTCTGTTGAAGAAAGCTAAAAACTTAAAATTGACTTCTATAGTAAGAAAAACAAATAAACAAACAAAAACTAAAAGATCTCCGTAGATTTGGTACAACTTGAGGGTGAATAAGTAATGAACTGAATGAATTTAACCTTTAAAATACTGTTTTTATGGTACATCATTAGTCAGAATATTGTCTTAATTGTGTTAATATTGACATATTTTTGTAAACATACTGGCCATAGCTTTGACTCTTTCCTTCCATTAGCGATTTCTGCAATTAATGACTGCAGCGAGAAGGAGTTTCACTGTCGTGGTGATGGCACATGCATTCCCGAAATTTGGCGCTGCGATGGAGACAAAGACTGTGAAGACGGTAGTGATGAATTTGCCTGTGAGGGAGCCAAGAGAATGTGCGACCCCAAGGCGAAGTTTACCTGCAAGGTCTCAGGTAAAAAGCAAAGTCTATTACATAATCACATTATCACATTACATAATCAAGTTTCACCCGTTGGAAAATTCTCAATAGCGTCATCTCTGGGTGAAGACAGGCCGTAAATATGATCATTAATCGATTGATTGTGGCCTGGGGGTGGCATGATGATTCAGCATTCATTCAAATTATGTAGCATTACCGTTTATTCTGCCGAAAATGGGACTGTAGTGCGGAAAGCAGCTTCCAGAAGGCCATTGATTATTGCTTTGCTTCCTTCTAGACTGAATTAATAATGTTTAAGATGCATCATTTTGTTCTCATAGAGGCAGACGGAGAATATTGTATTACCCTTGTGAGCTGGGTTCAGGTAGAATTGTGGGAAATTGTGTGTGTGGGGATTGATCTGTAATGCTGAACTTTAAAAGTAAGAGGTCGGAGCATTTAAGAGTTGAAAAGAAAGTCTGGTTTATGAAGAGAATGATTGAGGAAAAAAAAAGATCTACTTAAATTTGTTTACATTACATTAAATGAGGTTTTTTTTCCCAAAGCAACTTACAAATGAGAATTTGAAGCAAATCAATTGTAGTTAATTTAGCACATTGTGATATTTGCTAACAAAATACCTAAAATTCTATTTATTTAAAGGTGTTGTTGTCAAAAGAACCACTGGAAACACCCCAAACTGATTTTCTGGACACTTAGGATTGTATTTAAATACAGTTTTCAGCCTGATTGATCAGCTAGCCTCCAAGCTAAACACTTGACTTGGCTGGAACACTTGCTAGAACTTTCAAAAAGCAAGAACAGGCTGTTTCAATCCATGAATATGTTCATTTTTATATCCACGTCATTAATATGACTATCACTGGCCTACAGAACACTTCCTGCCTGAACAGCTGCTTATTCATTGCCTACTCTTACTGAAAAGTTGTTAGCATGTTTGCATTAGCAATTTAAAGCACATAACGGTTTCACATTTGAGATGTCACTGTGTAATTTATGCTGCGGAACAAAACGTGGAAGTCACGAACCTCATTTTACTCGTAAATCTGAAACCGCTGTTTTAAAAAGCCATTACAAACTCCTGAGGGAAGCTGTTAGCGAGAATGCTAATTCGCCTTCAGGCTGTAGGGCTGCAAAACTGAACAGTGAGAAGCTATAGAGTGACTGTCAAGATGTTTTAGTGGCTTAGACCTCTCATAAACGTGGAGCAAACTTTACTTTTCTTAAAGTTTAAAATGCCTTTTAGTTGCATATATCCTGGTTAGGAGAGAAATTCGGATAAAATGAAGATTAAGTTTCTGTAAAATGCAAAGTAAAGTGTATTAAAGTCTGATTAAGGGAATGTCTAATGAACTATTTGGTCTTGGAGGATACAGAAAAGCAATTTATGTACTTATCGCCCTCGTTCACCTTATTAAAGAACTTGTCTGGCAAGATAATGAGGGACTCGCTAATGACTTGTCTAGCATGCTCAAAAAGTAAATCGAAACACCTTAGGTTACTCAGTAAACCATTAAGAAGAACTGATAAGGTTTTTTGAGTGAAATTTATATTAATTTGGGAAAAAATGTATTTAGACATTGCAAATAAGAAAAAAAGTGGATGTGAAATGTACTTTCGTACTGTTTAATTTCATTCAGTTTCATATAAAGTTGTGAAAACTCAGAAGAGAACCCCAGAATTCCCTCCCCCCAGACACTTCCTCCAGCTCCTCCGGGGGTATCCCAAGATGTTCCCAGGACAGCCAAGAGACATAGTCCCTCCAGCATGTCCTGGGTCTTTTTCTGAGGCCCCCTACCGGTGGGACATGCCTGGAGCACCTCCCAGGAGGCATCCGAAACAGATGCCCGAGCCACTTCAGCTGACTTTTCTCGATGTGGACGAGCAGCGATTCTACTCCAAGCTCATCCTGGGGCTCATCTATAAGGGTGCACCCTGCGACCCTGTGAAGGAAACTCATTTTGGCCACTTGTATCCGAGATCTTGTCCTTTTGTTCATGACCCAAAGCTCATGACCACAGGTCAGAGTAGGAACGTGGATTGACCGGTAAATCAAGAGCTATGACGTTCGGCTCAGCTCCTTCTTTACCACAACGGACTGGTACATTGATTGCATTAGTGCTGCCTCTGCACCGATCTGCCTGTCAATCTCATGTTCCATCCTTCCCCTACTCATGAACAAAACCCCAAGGTACTTGAACTCCGCTACCTGGGGTAAAGACTATCCTCCAACCTGGAGATGACAAACCACCCTTTTTGGTGGAGCACCATGGCCTCGGACTTGGAGGTGCTGATTCTCATCCCAGCCGCATCACACTCGTAACAAGGCAACAAACCGCCTCAGTGCATGCTGAAGGTCTATGTTTGATGAAGCCAACAGAACAACATCGTCTGCGAGTAACAGAGATGAATACCTGTGGTCCCCGAACTGGACCCCCTCTGGCCAAAGGCTGTGCATAGAAATTCTGTTCATAAAAATTAATGACAAAAAATGAACAAGTCTGACTTATTTCAGGCAATGCGAACCAAACTCCTGCTTTATACAGGGACGAGACAGCCCTTGACAGAACACCTCTGACCTCATTCTCCCAGAGCACCTTCCATAGAATGTCACGAGGTACACGGTTAAATGCCTTCTCCAAATCCACAAACACATGTGGACTGGTTGGGCATACTGCCATGAACCTTCGAGCACCCTGGTGAAGGTGTAGAGCTGGTCCAGTGTTCCAAGGCCTGGATGAAATCTGCATTGCTCCTCCTGGATCCTAGGTTCAATCATCGGCTGGATCCTCCTCTCCAGTACCCTGGCATAGACGGAGGAGTGTGATCCCCCACCCCCCTTCCCCCACCACACACACACTCTTCTAAAAATGGTCCCCTTTTTAACTTTGTTATTTTTTTAATGACTAAAATAAAATAAATAAACTAAAAGTCACAAATAAAATCACATTAAGTGATGTAAAGTCACATTTATAGGAAAAGAAAAATCCACGATTGCTACATTAAGGTTTTTGCTGAAGATCCAAACATGCCTATAAAGTCACGCTGAAAGAAAGTCACTTTTTAAGAAACAGAAATATCACAGTTGTCACTCTTAGGCTTTAATAAATGTTCAGACATACATATTAAACCACAATATGTAATGTAAAGTAGAGATCTGCGCGGGACTAAATTTTGAATCCCGCTCCCGCCCGCATCCACCAGGTTTTAGCCGGAACCCGACCGCTCCCGCTTATATTAAGCACTTGATGTCCCGCTGCCCGACCCGCCCCGCTTTCTATCCGCCGCGCCCGATCCCGCTAAAGAGCGGGGGGAGAACAAAACCGAAAATCACCCAGTTATACAGTCCAGACAGCCTATAACAAGCTGTCTGTATAAACACACACACGCACAGCACTAAGCACACACACACAGACAAAGCTTTCTCTCTCATTCGTGCGCGCGCGCCTTCTAACACACACTCATAAGCACCAAGCACAAACACAGGCAAAGCTCTATCTCTCATTCGCACACACACACACACACACACACACACACACACACACACACACACACACACACACACACACACACACACACACACACCTCTCATTCGCGCGTGCGCATACATACACACACACACACTGCAACAAACAAGCTAAACACAGCATCGCGCTATTTCATTTACACACATACATACGCGTGCTCACTCGGGAGTCGGGAGCGATATTGCTAGACAGCCCGCTCCTGTCCCAAATTAAACCCGTTACCGACCGCTCCCGTTATTTATTCGGAAATTTATACCCGCGCCGTAGAAATCTGGTCGGGTCCTGCGGCGCCCGCGGGACAGCCGCGGGAATGCAGACCTCTAATGTAAAGTCAAATTTCTGAAATTGTGAAAATATTAAAGTTAAAAAGTTGAAGTTCGACTTCCATAAATATCTAGACTGTGAAAAGTGAAAAGTGAAAAGTGGCAATAAATATACAGTAAATGTGTTGCTTATTTTTCTAACCTCCTTGCAATTTTCGTTTTTTAAACAACAAACAAACAAAAAAAAAAATCCTTACACTATGCTAAAAGTACATGAAGTTACAAGAATAACATTGTAGCTTTCACTAAAATGTTCAGTTTTACATACTTTTTTTCAGAAAACACTTTATTCTGTCATCAGCTTCTCTTTTCATCAAACAAATAAATCAAATTACAACAATTAGACAAAAACAATGATGATGTATTGTCCCTAATGATACGGCAAACACCCTATGAGAAATTATAGTAAATCTTGACTTTGCTCGCTGTTTTGATGAAATAAAAAGATGATTTCATTCATAAATTTTCTTTTCAGCTTAGTCCCTTGAACCGCCATAAAATATTATTTCTAATTATTAATTTAATATTTATATAATTCTATTTATTTTTAGGTAAGCGCACAGCTATTAAAGTTCTAGACAGGTTTTAAGCACATTGCAGTTCTACATCACTGCGCTGAAAGATTTAAGTTATTTCAGAATTTACATCTATCAAAAATCACATCAAACAAAACAAAAGGCTTTGGATGCGATTAGTTAAAATAAATAAATAAATAAATAAATAAATAAATAAAAGTAGATGTGTAGTTCTACACACAGGAGCAGTTTAATGGAAAGGTTCAAGGTCTAACAATCCACTACATATCTCTATGGGAAATTATACAGCGGATCTTTAATTTGCCCACTGTTTTGATGAAAGCAGAAAGCAGATATCTTTGTATAGCAGAGATTTAAGGATGTTAAACAAGTGTTTTTTATCTGCTTTGTACCTCAGGGAAGTGTGTTAGTAAGGACTGGGTGTGTGATGGAGATATCGACTGTGAGGACCAATCGGATGAGGAGGGCTGTGAAGTATCTGTCTGTAAACCTCCTAAATTCCCCTGTGCCAATGACACTTCAGTGTGTCTCCCTCCCGAGCGCATCTGCAACGGCTGGAAAGACTGTGCTGATCACTCGGATGAAGGACCCTACTGTGGTGAGACATGCAAATCACATTCTGAATTTTTACATTTATTTTTATACTGCAGTGCTGTTAAACACTTGATTCTGATTGGCAGATGAACATTAAGGTGTGCAGTTATTTTCAGATAAATGCAGAGATAAAGTAGATACAGACAGGCTTTGAGTGCATTACAGTTCTTGATCACTACACTGGGTTATTTCAGTAATTTCACAACTGTTAAAGTAAGTTTACAACTGTCAAAAATTACATCAAAACAAAAGGCTTTGCATGAGATTCTTTAAAAAAATGTAGTGAAAATGCGTAGTGGCTATTAGACACTATATATATACATATATATATATATATATATATATATATATATATATATATATATATATATATATATATATATATATATATATATATATATATATATACATACAGTTAAAGTCAGAATTATTACCCCCCTGAATTATTTGACCGCTTTTTTTTCCCCTAATTTCTGTTTAACAGAGAGAAGATTTTTCATTTCTAAACATAATAATTTTAATAACTCATTTCTAATAACTGATTTATTTTATCTTTGCCATGATGACAGTAAATAATATTTGACTAGATATTGTTCAAGACACTTCTATACAGCTTAAAGTGACATTTAAAGGCTGAACTAGGTTAATTAGGTTAACTAGGTAGGTTAGGGTAAGTAGGCAAGTTATTGTAAAACAGCGGTTTGTTCTGTATATTATCGATAAAAAATGTAGCTTAAAAAGGGCTAATACTTTTGTCCCTAAAATCAATAAAATGTTTAAAAAATTAAAAACTACTTTTATTCTAGCCGAAATAAAACAAATAAGACTTTCTCCAGAAGAATAAATATTATCAGACATACTGTGAAAATTTCTCTGCTCTGTTAAACATTTGGGGAATATTTAAAAAAGAACAAAACAATTTGAATAGGGCTAATAATTCTGACTTCAACTGTATGTATATATATATATATATATATGTATGTGGAACTTGAACAGGAATTTTTAAGATGAAGAGCTTTTAAAAATCAAAATAACTTAACTTTCCCACCTCAGAAAATATTATATATATATATATATATATATATATATATATATATATATATATATATATATATATATATATATATATATATATATATATATATATATATATATATATATATATATATATATATATATATATATATATATATATATATATATATATACGCACAAACAAACAAAATTATTCTTATATCCCAGTGGGGACTCTTGTAAGATGTAATGGTGATTTCCATACCCCTAAACGCAACCCTCACAGGAAAGAATCTGCATGTTTACATTTTCAAATACTTAATTCAGTGTGATTTATAAGTATGTTTATGCTGGGGGCCCTACATTTTGGTCGTCATGGTCACATAGGTCCCCATGAGTCTGTATGCGTTCAGGTTTAAGTCCCCACTGGGATATAAAAAAATGTACACACACACACATACATAAGCAGTCAGTGCAAAAAGAGTAAATTTGGCACACGCTGTGTTCAAAGCGGCTCACTTGTTCACTCACTCATAATTTACTCATGAACATTATTGAGCATGTCTGGGGTAAGATGGAGGAGGCATTGAAGATGTATGCAAAGAGTCTTGATGGTCTTTGGGAGATCTGCAAGAACACTTTCTTTGCTATTCCAGATGACTTTGTTAATGAGTTATTTGAGTCATTTCAGAGATGTTTGGATGCAGTCATCCAAGCTTATAGGAGTCATACACAATATTCATTCTTTTTCCACTGTACCATGACTTTATATTCTATACTGTACAGTATTTCTGTTAAGGGACAATATTTTTGTCTAAGCAAAGTCAGATCTTACTGTCCTAATTACATAATTACAAATCAAGGCATGATCATATTTTATTTTGGTAAAATAAGCATCATCTGCAGGCTTTGCCATGTCATCTGATACCAAATGATCAAGTTATTATTTGTTGTTCCTAAAACTTAGACCTTTGTCAGGTAGTGTGACATCTACCACATCTACTACTACTATTTTGCAAAATAGACAAAAATAAAATATACAATAGAATATTTATTTATTTTAATTTGTATACATAAACTTTTATATAGTCATGTGGTTTTATTAATTAATTAATTTGTTCATTTACTTCATTGCACCCTGCTGACCTTTATAAAAAAAACAACAGTGTAACTTTGGTTGGCACTAAATTGAAACTCCCCCTAAACCGCTCCCTGAATGCCAACGAGCACAGATTCAGCAGGTCTGAAAATAGCATTTAACGTCACAATTCAGTCTAATGCCCCTATTAATTTAAAACGGGGCCAATCAAACCCCCATTAACTTTAAGCTGGCGTCGAAACTCCTGCTGAAACATGGCAGAGAGTACTGAGCTGAAGAAGTGGCAGAGATGAATGCCCTCACCCTGCTCAAACACTCAATGGTCCAAAAAGCCGGAAACACTCCAGAAATGTCCAGAGTTGGATAAATATTGTTTGAAGCAGACCTGGCCCTCACATAATAGCACTAATCCTGATAAATGAGCCTCCAGATCAGCTTTGGAGAGTCAATCCTGGAAATAGGTCACTGTATTTTTTTTTTTTCTGTTCGTCTGCAGCTGAATTGCCCAAGCAGATCTTCAGTGGTTTGCGGCTGTTGGTGTTCTCTGTGCTGGATCAAAGCCCCTTTAAGGCAGTGGTTTCCAATTCCAGTCCTCTGGACCCCCCACCCTGCACTTTTTGATGGTCTTTTCTTTTTACTTAAAACACCTGATTCAGACTATCAGCTTGTTAACAATGAGAGCCATCAAACTGATCCTCGTGTGTGTGATATAAGAAAGACACACTAAACATGCTGGCGGGCGGTCCCGAGGACTGGAATTGAGAATAATAATAATAATCATAATTTCCTCCATTTATATAGCGCTTTTGTGGACACTCAAAGCCCTTTACACACTGGGGGAATCTCTTCATCCACCACCAGTGTGCAGCATCCACCTGGATGATGCGACGGCAGCCATATTGTGCCGAATCACACAACAGCTGATTGATGGAGATGACACCGAGCGATGAAGTCGTATTTTTAACAACCACAGAGAGTCGAGACCTTGGTTTAACGACTTATGCCCAAAGACTACGCTCATTGAGCAGTACAGAGTCCCTGTCACTATACTGGGGCATTAGGACCCACACAGACCACAGGTTATGCACCCCCTACTGGTTACACTAACACCACTTCCGGCAACAACCCAGCCTTCCCATGCGGTCTCCCATCTAGGTACTGACCTGGCGCAGCCCTGCTGAGCTTCAGTGGGAGTTGCAGAGAGCTAGCTGCCTGCTAGAACAACTGCTTTAATTCAACATTTCAATTGGCAGCCATCTCTGAAATGCCTCTTTGGCATTCTGTTTGAAAGGGGAAAGTCTATCTACACACAGTTGAGTCTATCTACATCACAGTCTATCTACACACAGTTGAAGTCTGAATTATTAGCCCCTCTTTGATTTATTTCTTCTTTTTTAAATATTTCCCAAATGATGTTTAACAGAGCAAGGACATTTTTACCGTATGTCTGATAATATTTTTTCTTTAGGAGAAAGACTTTTGTTTTATTTCGGCTTGAATAAAAAGCGGTTTAAATTTTTTTATGAACCATTTTAAGGTCAAAATTATTAGCCCCTTAAGTCTTCAGAACAAACCATTGTTATAAAATAACTTGCCTAATTACCTTAACTTAACTAGTTAACTTGATTAACCTAGTAAAGCCTTTAAATGTCACTTTAAGCTGTATAGAAGTGTCTTAAAAATATCTAGTCAAATATTATTTACTGTCATCATGGCAAAGATAAAATAAATCAGTTATTAGAAATGAGTTACTAAAGCTAATATGTTTAGAAATGTGTGGAAAAAAATCTTCTCTCTGTTAAACAGAAATTGGGGAAAAAATAAACGGGGGCTAACAATTCTGACTTCAACTGTATTTTTTTATATATATATATATATATATATATATATATATATATATATATATATATATATATATATATATATATACGTGTCTGTGTGATGTATGTAAAATTTGGCCCGCGACAACGTTTGTTTTTTTGCATCTGGCCCTCTGCCCAAAAAGTTTGGACACCCCTGCTGTAGGCCAAACTTATTACTAAATTCGCTATTTGGAATCACCAATAAAATGGAACAACAACTGTCACTTTTGTTGATGATACACAGGGCAGCTTTTTGAGCAGTGTTGCTGAGCAACTTTGAAAAAATTACACCACAAATGTCCAATCTCTTCTGACACTCCTCTGCAAATTAAAATTGTCCTAAGGGATGAACAAACTAGCCTGACCTAACATGCGGTAACTAATTAGGGCAATGGGTTAGAGATACAAAATTGTTGCCCATACTTAATAGATTAACCAAGCAACATCGCTCTGCAAAATTGTCCTGCAACATTGCTCAAAAGGTTACCCTGTGTATCATCAGCATCACATTTACTTTCTAAGCATTTAAATCACACAGAAATGTCTACATTTCTAGAGGACGCAAAAGTCAGAAGTCCTCTTGTCAATCAAACTATGTGTCTGTCGTAAGAATTGGTAACTTGTGTATAAAATTATGTCCAACTTGGTCTTGATGGCAAATCACCCAAAATGACAGTGATGTTTGTAGGCATTGATGTGTTTTCCATCATATGGTTTGCGTTTAAATGGCAATGAGTTAAGATGGGACAGATTGTACTACATGTTCATTTCTTACAAAACCAGAAAACATTTGTTTTAAAGTGCAGTTGGTTTGTTTAAAAGTTGATATTGCAAGCTCTCTGTAGATATTTTTACCTTGTCTGGATGTATTTACATTAAATATTTCCTACAAGGGTTTGACCCAGGTATAAACGTCAATGCCACAATCTGCATCTGTTTGCCTTGTTGTATGATGCAGTTCGGTGGCAAGCAATCGGAATGTAGAAGTCCCCCAGTTGAGAGGAGTCTAGAGAAAACACAGTCACTGTGAACTTTGGTTCTGGCCATAGTTGTTCCCAATGGTTTAATTCTTGCAGTCCCCGGATTTCCAATTATTTACAATGTTTTCTTACAGGGACACACATTTTAAAGAAGTTCCCTGCTGAGTTACTGATGTGCATTAATGATATTTAATCATTCATTGTTCTGTTTTCTGTTATTCTTTTAATCTGTCCATTCACCAATCATTGTATTTGAGGGATTTAATTGATTTAGATTTTTAAATAAAAACTCCAAGGTCTTCGATCAATCGTCAACTTGAAAAAAAACAAAAAAAAAAACAACCAATCAGACCTTCTCTTTTTTTTTTTTTTTTTTTTTAACAAAGTCAAAGAGTTTTTTGAACACCAGCAGTTCAGCTGAATTTATAAGTGACTCTCCGTCCAGAAAGATCCATTATTGCCATGCTGGAACTTTTTTTAATTTTCTCTACAGTATTAGTTACTGCACTCGCACCGCACGATCCCTCAATATCACCAGTGCCAGATTGTGCCGAAGCCTGATTGAATGTACTTTCATTTGCCATTTTAGACCTTTCCGAGCTTCTTCCCTTCATCAATGATCCATTTCAGTTCCCCTCGTCTCCCCTGCATGCGCTTTGTTGTTTTCCATTTGAGTGTCTAGCACATTTTCATTCACTCCGCAGCTCCACCAATATGACTGCCTTGAGGTTTATGGATACATTATCCTCCGTCAGTGCTAGACGCTTCATTTAAACCTTGAAACCACTTGCTGTTCAAGGTGGTGTTACCTTGAATCCCTCAGAGACCTCTTTTTTTTCAGAATCCAATCTACTGTACGAATGCGTTACATGGAGCTGTTGCATTTTTATCTGGGATAAGACAAAGCATTACACTGGCAAAATGAATTAAAAACAGTTTTAAACAGTCAGCGTCCTACTAAAGCACACTCTAAAAGTGTTTTTAATTATTATAACCTCTTTTCCTCGAAAATTTATTACACAAGCTTCGTTTTTTAATGTCTGCTTGAAAGAGGTATTTTCTCTCCAAGTGCATTAATGCTGTAAACAAGCCATTTGCAATAGGCGTACGATTTATCATCACTGTTCAAAATAGCATTATTGAGCTCATCACCCAAGAGGCTAACATATATACTGCTAGTTGACAGCTTTAGCAAATGCTTAACCACATTTTTTCATTTAGCATCTTACCATGGGGCTACTGGGATGAAGTTCTGCCATATTACATTGCCCAAAACCTGCAGTCCTCGGTCATAAATCACAATAAGGTGATGCTTAGGGTGGAAAAAAAAAATGCCTGAATTTAGGGCCTCTGAGCCTTTGTTGGAAGAAATACTAAGAATAATACATATACTGGATAAAGACACCTGCAGAGACTATAGAAATTCAGAATTTTGGGATGTTTTTATTGTAAAATACCTTGATTAGGTACAATTGTTGTGCTATTAATTGCCAGAATGAAAAATAGAAATCTCTATGTGAAAGCGATTTGTAAATATTTGAATATAAAACCACTTTTTTTTCATGAAATCAGACTAATATTGTTTAAATAAGAGGATGTGGATTATTAGTTTTGATGCTGCTGTTTTTAAAAACTAAAATTGAGTGCATAAATGGTACTTTTCTTGGGTCATTACAACACAAACTCAACATAGTAAGTGTATCACAGATCATGGAGTTTACAGCAACTTTGTGTTTAGTAGATACACATTTTGCAGAAAAAGTGCAAAAACTGAACCTATAAAAAGTACAGCAGCTTGTCATTGTGGCAGCAGCCCTTAAGCCAAAACTTTGTACTTTATGTAACCCATGAATTGCACATTTGTGCTTTAAAGTAGAACTTTAAACTTTGGTAGAATATGACATTTCATGGTGGTGCCTGAGATTACTAGTACTTGTACTTATGGCACTTGTATAAATCAATTAGGGGTAAATTATAAACATCAAATAGTACCTCAGATTAATAATATGTCCTCTTAAGGTACCACAATTAATCTTGTCCCCTACAAGTTGGCAAGACTAGTGAAACCATAACATAACTTCACCAACTCACTCACTTTCCTTCGGCTTAGTCCCTGCTTAATCAGGGGTCACCACAGCAGAATGAATCACCATAATGTTGCTTTACATTTAAAAATAAAAACGCACTAGTGTAATGGCACCTTAAAATGTTTAATTTTTATTTCTGAACAGCATCTTTCTGTATTAGATGTATTATTATATATTTATTTATTTATTTATTTATTATGCTTTCCCTGATAGTACACGTATGTCTGGAAGATGCATTTTAATGATCACTTTCTCATTTTTTTGTGTTTATTTTTTATCTTAGTACACTCGTATCAAGAAAACGTATATTAGATGTCAATTTTTAGATGTTAAAGATGTTGATCTAGATACCATCTGCTGTGTTCAAAAGTCTAGATAACATCTGCTGTGTTCAGAAGTCTGATAAACATCTTACAAAGATCTGATAAATGATCAGTCTAAACATGTATTTAACACTTATATATTTACATGTAAAAGACATTTTTCAGATGAGCAAAATTAGTTTACTTTTTATTTTTATTATTTTTTTTATCTTCCCAGATAGCACACTCACATCCGTAAAACATCTATAAGATGTCAATTTTTAGATGTTAAAGATGTTGATCTAGATAACATCTGCTGTGTTCAAAAGTCTGGTAAACATCTAAAACATGTCTGCTAAATTATCATTCTAAATTTTAACCATCTTAGACATTATGACTTAGACATATGATCTAAACATTTATTCATTCATTCATTTTCTTTTCGGCTTAGTCTCTTTATTAATCTGGGGTCGCCACAGCGGAATTAACCGCCAACTTATGCAGCATATGTTTTACGCAAAGGATGCCCTTCCAGCTGCAACCCACCACTGGGAAACATCCATACACAGTCATTCACACCCTTATACTACCGACAATTTTTAGCTCACCCAATTCACCTATGTCGCATGTCTTTGGACTTGTGGAGGAAACCTACACAAACATGGGGAGAACATGCAAACTCCACATAGAAATGTCAACTGACCCAGCTGGGGCTCGAACCAGCGACCTTCTTTCTGTGAGGTGATCATGCTAGCCATTATGCCACCATAATGCCTGATCTAAACATGTTAATGACTTAACATTAACAACTAAAAATTGATGCCTAATAGATGTTTTTGAGATGTGTAGTACATTCAGATAGTACATGTACGCCAGCAAAATGTATTATAATGATAATTTGATATGTACAACACCTGTTCAATGGTCTGACAGACGTCTTAAAAAGGTCTGAATGAACATTCTAAATTTTAAACATCTTAAAGATGTTCCTAAACTTCAACTTAACTTCTAAAAAGTGTCTAATAGATGAGCAAATCATCTAATTATATTAATATGTCTTCCAGTGTTGTTTATTTGCATCTGTCTTTTAATGTCTTCCAGATGTAAACAAAAGCATCTAATAAACATTTCTGTTATGTAAGTTTGCTATTAGAGTTATCTTAACATCTCAAATAAATGTGTTTGAGGGTTTTATGACTTTTAAACTACTACATCTGGAATGTGCTTATCAGAGTAGTAATACCTGTCTTAGAATCTTCGAAGGTTTAATAAATCACTTTTTTTTACCCCTTAAATTAGCATATTAGCATTTTAGTGTAGAAACACTTAACCTTGAGGTTGTAATGGGAACCTTTTAGGGGTTAATAAGGTACCACCCCAGCGACAAGCTATTGCACCTACTCAGAACTTTTCCTGAGACTTTTAAGAGTCTTCTTCTAGTGCTTAAACTTGTGAGACAAAGCCAGCCTCAGAGTGAAGCCAAATAAAACTCGGTCTCACCAGCTGACCAAGAAGCATATAGCCTGAAGGACTAAACAGAGAGCTCAAAAACTCTTTCTTTGCTCGTTCATCCTTTCTGTACTCAGCTCCTCCAAGCGTCTGAGACGCCCTGCTGCTCGGCCATATGTCTGCGCAGGAATTCCATCAGGTTTTTTTGCAGTCTCACAGTTCGGACCCTGCTATTTACTTCTGAAGTGACAGTTTATTCGCCTCTTCTCCAACAATAAATCCTTTTCCATCTCTATGTTCTCTAGATGAGTGTTCGATACGAAAAGGCGGCTGTAGCCATGAGTGCTCGGTGGCTCCTGGTAAAGGGGTCGTATGTTCCTGTCCCGCCGGGTTCCAGTTGGGCTCGGACGCTCAGACCTGCGAGATTCTGGATTACTGCTCAAAGCACCTACGTTGCAGCCAAGTATGCGAACAGCACAAAAATACTGTGAAATGCTCCTGCTATCCAGGCTGGAGTCTTGGATCTGACGGAGACAGCTGCTACAGCACAGGTAAACAGTGGCACGTTGGTTAATGATCTGAATTTCGTGCACTAAAATTTGAGGTTCGGTCCCTAATGGGGTTAAAACCAGATTACGGTCTAGACGACAAGGCAATTAACCTCCGGGGAACCAAATGACCCTGCAATTTCTGTGCTGTAAATAACACGGATAAACCCCTAGAAGATGACAAGTCGATTAATCAGCAGCTCAGTGCATATTTTTGGGGGGTTTCAGAGATGCATTCTGTATAGGTATAAAGTGTGTCTGTAATATGCATGGGTTTCATTTTAGCGGCTCGAGTTTACCAGAGTGCAAAGGGGAGTGGATTTGTGTTGGGAGAGATTAGAGATCTCTGCACTTTGTGAGTGGAGCGGAAGACATGTGCAAAGAGCACTAAGTAACATGTTTTAATAAAAAGAAAAACAAGCTTTTACTCGAACACGCGGCTCAGTTTGCCGAGCTGTCAAAATGCTTTTAGTTTTGGGCCGAACTGAAGCGGCTAGCTATAATTTATATCACAATCCACATATGGTTTCCACTGGAGTCTCAGAGAAAATTTTGCTTTATTCATAGCACGGAATTCTCTAGCTTTTATTCAAAAGAAGATATTTATTTATTCATTGTTTTAGGGATAATTTTCAACATGAAACTCTTATCTGTCGAATCTATCCATCCATCCATTTCTTTTTTCATTTCTACCAATTGCTGTGCCCATATATCCATCCATCCATCCATCCATCCATCCATCTATTTATCTAATCTATAGTTCTTCCTATCATTTTAGCTTATGTTGTGTTTTTCAATCCATCCATCCATCCATCCATCCATCCCTTCCTTTCCTTTCTACCAGTTATTGTTTCTATCTATCTATTCATCCATCCAACCAGCCCTCCATCTATTAATTTTTTTGTTCAATCAATCATTGTATCTGTCCATCCATCCATCCAAAATATTATTCTACCATTGTACCATTTTATCTTATGTTTTGTTATCCATCCATCCATCCATTTCTTTCCATTCAACCAATTGTTGTTTCTATCTATCTATTCATTTATTCATCCATCCATTCATCCATCAGGCCATTTCATCTTTCCTTTCTACCAATTGTTGTTTCCATCCATCCATCCATCCATCCATCCATCCAATATATTGTTCTACCTTTATATCATTGCATCTTATGTTTTGTTTTCCATACATCCATCCATCCATTTCTTCTTTTCATTCCACCAATTGTTGTTTCTACCTATCTATTCATTTATCCATCCACCATTCATCAGGCCATTTCATCTTTCCTTTCTACCAATTGTTGTTTTCATCCATCCATCCATCCATCCATCCATCCATCCATCCATCCATCCATTCATCCATCCATCCAATATATTGTTCTACCTATGTATCATTGCATCGTATGTTTTGTTTTTCCATCCATCCATCCATCCATCCATCCATCCATCCATCCATCCATCCATCCATCCATCCATCCATCCATCCATCCATCCATCCATCCATCCTTCCATCCATCCATCCATCCATCCATCCATCTATCCATTTTTTCTTTCCTTTTTACCAATTGTTGTTTCTATCTATCTATTCAATAATCTATCCAGCCATCCATCCCTTTTTTGTTTTATCAATTATTGCATCCATTCATCCATCCAATATATTATTCTAACATTTTATCATTTTACCCTATGTTTTGTTTTTTCATCCATCTATCGAGCCATTTCATCTTTCCTTTCTTACAATTGTTTTTTCCGTCCATCCATCTATCCATCCATCCATCCATCCATCCATCTATCCATCCATCCATCCATTTTATTATTTTCTTTCTACCAATTATTGTTTCTATCTATCTATTCATCCATCCATCCAGTCACCCATCCATCTTTTTTTTTCATTCTATCAGTCATTGTTCGCCCATCCATCCATCCATCCATCCATCCATCCATCCATCCATCCATCCATCCATCCATCCAATTATAATTTTTTTTCGTATCTATCTGCCTATTTATTGTTCTCCTTATAATTGATTTTGTCTTTTTTCAGATCCTTTTGAGGCCTTCATCATTTTTTCTATCAGACATGAAATACGTCGCATAAATCTGCATAAAGGCGACTACAGCCTGTTAGTCCCCGGGCTCAGAAACACCATCGCTTTGGATTTCCATTTCAGCCAAAGCTTGTTGTATTGGACTGACGTCGTAGAGGACAAAATTTACCGCGGGAAGCTGTCAGAGGGAGGCGGTAGGAGTCTTTTAATATTTTGTTTATGACAATGTTAATATTTATAGCTTGATTATACTATACACTGTAGGCTATTGTGAGGTGTAATGGTTTTTACAGTGTTTTATACTTTGTTTTTGTCTCTATATATTAGCATTGTTAATGTTTAAAGGGTAATGAATGAGACCTCTTTATTTTATACATTATTAAATAGAATAAATGGTGCATTTATGCTTAAAGGATTGAAAAGATGAAATATCAAAATGCCCTTATTAATATTTATCATACATGTAGTTTGGTTTCTTCAAGAATAATGTTACTCATTCTTAATGTTTATTATATTGCTTGAGAGTTTCTTTAGCACTCTTTTACACTTGAAAATCAAAGTCAGTCTTCCAACTGTGTTAATATTTCAGCTTCAGAGCCCCCCAAATGTGTGAGAAGTAATTTACACTCAGCCCACAAAAGAACTGATGAGTAGACAATGAGAAAGAGAGAGAGAAAAAGTGAAAATCACTTCTTTAATCCACATCATACGGTCCAAAATTACCACCAAATTCTTCTTGAGCTTGACCAAGCGGCTAACACACTTTAAGGGATAGTTCAACGACATTTTTTTCCCATGTCAAACAATAGAGATATATTTTTAAAGCAGAAACCATGGTCCTTGGTTATTCATACAACAAAATCTTAATCCTTTAAACAGCACTTGGGAAATATTTGAAAAAGAAAACAATTTTTATAGGAGGTAATCGTTTAGCCTTTAACTATAAATGGAACACAAGATGAATACCCTTTAGGGCTCTTTCATAGTAAAATTGTTTATTCTAAAAGTAGCTATGTTTCCATCGAAAGATGCTAATTCAAATTATGCACAAAACAGGAATATTGTATAAAAGACTTGTTTCTGGGCCTCATTAATAATATATTAACGCTTATACTGAAATGGTTAAGGCATTTAAGAATGACCCAAACAACATTTCAGATGTTTTACAGTGTACTCAGCCTACTGGTTTGTCCATTCACACACATTTTTATCATCACATGATCTCTTATTAAAATAATCACATGACTTTTTTTTGAATGCACACACTGGAATTTGTTAGGTAATATTGTTTCCATCGTAGTTTATGCGCATCTTTTCTTATCGCATAAAAAGTTTATCCTACTCAGTTATGCGCATATGCTTTTTATGTGCATTTTCAAAATGTATGTGCATCATGGCGTTTCCATCAAGCGTATGCAAAATGCGAATTAACATAGCTAGTGACTAAATTAGGATCAAAATTTACAATAGAATTGTTTATTATAAATGTACAAGCATGTTTACTGTACTGTTTATTTGCAAATATTTTCTGGCAAAATCACATAGTAAAGCTTCCATTGAAAGTTGTGAATCTAATTCATTGCGTAAAATTTAAACTATCGCAAAAACGTAAATAAAATGTTTTTTACCATAGTAGATGAGTTGTACCTTAGAGCTGCAGACGACACGCAGTAACATAAAAAAAAATGTTTAAAGAGCCCATATTATACATGAAATAGGGTCATATCCTGGTTGTAAGGGTCTCCAACAACAGTCTAATATGCATGCAAGGTCAAAAAACACTTTCATGGTCTTATAATCTGCATTTATTTTTAGCTAATTATCCCAGCGACTCCTGTATGAATCGTCCAGTGATTCATTTGTTCCCAAACCCCTCCTTAGCGCGAAGCTAATCTGCTCTGATTGGACCGATGACAGTCTGTCGCGATTGGTCGACTGCCTTCAGTCAGAGAGGGAAATGGCCAATAGCTAATCAGCAATTTAAAAAGTAATCACAGTTCATACACGCTCGATAGTGTAGACGTGGAGTTTAGCTGCCACACTATGGCGAGTGGATAGTGCCACGGATAACCGAACGAAGGAGACAGTCGTGTACTCGCCATACCACACACACACAAAAACACACACACACCTCCGGATGACAACGCTCCCGCTTCCGCCCGCACCCGCCAGGTTTTAGCCTGAGAACCCGCTCCGTTTTCTGCCCGCCGCCAAAAAATCACCCAGTATACAGTCCAGACAGCCAAGCTGTCAGTATAAACACACACACACACACAGCACAAAGCTCGTTCGTTCGTTCGCTCTCTCTCTCTCTCTCTCTCTCTCGCTCTCTCTCATACGCGCGCGTGCGCACTAACACACACACAAGCACCACGCAGACTCTCTCTTTCTAATTCGCATAGCAATATCCGTGATATTGCTAGACAGCCCGCTCCCGTCCCAAATTAAACCCGTTACCGACCGCTCCCGCGATTAATTCGGAAATTTATTCCCGCGGCTGTCCCCGCGCCAGATTTCTGCGGCGCGGGAATAAATTTCCGAATAAATCGCGGGAGCAGAACTCTAGCACGGAGCTCCATAAACAAACAGCACGCGTCGCGTTTTTAACGTGACTTTGCACGCGATAAGATAAAATATCCAGTTAACCTGATACAGTACACGCGGTTACAAGTAACAAATCACAACTAAATACATTTGCAAGCTAGAGTCAACGAGGCAACAACTTTAACCGCACGTACTTACACTTGAGAAATGGAAGAAACCCATCCTGACGTCCATCAGTTACTCTTTACTGATCCTTCCTTTAACAAACTCAGATGAAGTATTCTTTGTAGCATGTAGCTTCCAGAAGTTTCCAACTGCTTGGTTATAATGCTGATGTTTCATCTTTGGGTAGAGACTCAATATATCCATCTGCAGTGTGACTTCAATCGACCGGCATGTTTGTGTGCGTGTTGTTTGTGGGTGTGCGTGTGTTTGTGGGTGTGTGTGTGTGTGTGTCTGGGTTTCTGCGTCAGAGGGCGGGGCCTCAGGTTTGAAATCTCCCGGGTTTGCGCGTGCACGTGAATAACTTGGTTTCGTTCGTACGTCATGGCGAAACACCTAATGAGTCGGTATCAAGGCGACTCGTTTGAAGCACTATGAGTCGACTCTTTTATAGATGAATCAACCGTTTTAAACACTGTATTCTTACAGATTTAAGCCTTAGCTGGATACTTCACTTCACTTAGAGCTGTGTTACACACTACATGGAGGGGAATTTTCAAAAACCCATAATATGGGCTCTTTAAGATGACAAAAAATAGTCACTCAAGTGATATTAGGTGCAGAATTATATATATAAAAAGAAGTTAAGGTAAGAGAAGCTTGTTCACTTGTAAGTCTAGTTATCCAATCAAATTGTCGGTTGAGGCACATCAATGTAATTTCTTTGTACATGTTATTTGATGTGAACGGCCTGCCTTGTGGGTACTTTGATGTCAATACGACATCAAAAATCTTATCAAAAATGCAAATCGAATTTAGTACCTTGATGTCAAAACAACATCAAATTGACGTCTAACATCGACATTAAAAACACATTAAAAACTGATTACAGGAGAGCCCTGTTTGATGTGTTTTTAGACACCCATGTTAGATTTTGACATCAAGATAGTTTACATGCGTTGTAAGGACATGTTATTTTAATGGTCAAACAGGCATCATCATGTGGATGTCAAATGGACGTCAAGTTTTTCATATCTAATCGATTTACATTTTTGATGTGTTTTTGACTATTTTTTTTATGTCGTTTTTGACATTAGGTGCAAACTGGGTGGTTTATGCAGTAACCTGATTTTGCTTCTCTTGGCAGGTGTTTCGGCAATTGAAGTGGTGGTCCAGCATGGTCTAGCCACTCCAGAGGGCCTTGCTGTTGATTGGATAGCTGGGAATCTCTACTGGATCGACAGCAACCTAGACCAGATTGAAGTATCCAAGCTAAACGGCGAATTGCGAACCACCCTCATTGCAGGGGGAATGGAACACCCCCGGGCCATTGCTGTGGATCCTGGCCAAGGGTGGGTTTTTTTTTTTTTTTTTTTTTCTTTTTTTTTTTTTTTTTTTTTTTTTTCTTTAATTTACCCTCAATTTCCAGTGGAAAAGAACAGCAAATGCCACCAGCTTTCCAATTACTTCATAGCTTTAATGAACAACTTTAGTGATTGATGGCTCAGTTTGCTGGTTTGCGAATTGTAATGAACCCATCTAATCACCCATAAAGGAGTTTTTTAAATGATTTCCAGAAGGGATATTACCATGAAATTGGCCCATTACACATTCCTACCTGTTTTGTAATTGCGCTAATGCTGATGCTTTTAATGAGGATGTGGTTTGCAAGTAGCCCTCGTTTGAAAGTCGTTTAAACACTTGATTGGTTAGAGACACTTAGTTTTGTCATCAACAGTGCCTTGTTCTGGACCGACTGGGATGCCACTTTTCCTCGAATCGAGGGGGCTTCCATGAGTGGAAAACAACGCCATGTGGTTTTCAAGGACATGGACACCGGAGCCTGGCCGAATGGACTCACCTTGGACCACATGGAGAGCAGGATAATCTGGACGGATGCCCGGTAAGAAAGATGCAAGGCTTCTGTTGGGTTTGTGTCAATATTTCATGATTTGTTTTTCTAAGACATGACCGTATTCTGGTGGGAAAGTATTGGGGATAACCTAGGATTCAGTCAATGGTAACAAATTTAAGCGATGGCTTTTTTGTCGAATGATTGATGTGTTTTTGCAATGGTTCAAATTTGAGATCCACCTCAGCTGGAGACAAAATGACAGGCTGACGGAGATATGCTATTACTATAGATTATAATTTTACCCGTCAAGCTGTTTTTTTTTTTTTTTTGGATTTTTACAAAGCACCAGCATGGCAATTTGCTGTCTTGACACATTCATAAACTCTCATCTTGCGTTCCTCACAGCACTTGTTCAATTCCTTGTGTGCCCGGGAGCTCCAAATGCACCACAAATTAATATTCAGATAATGAGATTCCTGGACTTAATGAAGAATCTGATCAATTCTCTGCCGTCGATTGCCTCATTTTCATCTCTGCTATATTCAGATCACACATCTCTCTTTTTTTCTCACAGTCTGTCAACATTTCTTCCTTTCCTTTTTTCCCAGCATGAAGGCATCAGTGCACTCTAAAATACTTCTTACAGACTTTTTTAGACTGAATGCTCCCATTATTTAGAGTAAACCGTAAACCTTCATTTGGATATATTCAAGATGTTTTGTAATTTTATTTAAGCTGTACTTTCAGTTTTTTTCGTCTATGGAAGCTGAGGCAGATTTTAGGTCAACAGCACTTTCTTGAGTAAATATTTAGTGTTTCTTTTTTAACCCAACATTACTAAAATCAAAGAAGTTTCAGTTTTTTATCATTTTAATTTGATTTAGTCTGTTTTAAGATTTGTTTTATAGCTTTTTTTGACAATTTATTGACTAATTCTGCTACACCACACGTTACTGTTTGCTTTCTAAAGACATAGGTTGTTACAAATTACAATAAACAAATGATAAAAAACGACAGCTGTTTTTGCAAGAACTTAAGGTAATTACCCTAAAATAATTTTCTAAATTTTACGACATACTACCATACTTTATTAATTTATAGTATTATACAGTGTTTTGAAATACGAACATCTGCATTTCATATTACACAACTATATGCAGACGGTGTTGAGAAAGTCATCAACGTCTTTTCCAGAGGAAGTAACTAGGTACACCACAATACGAGCTACAATGCTAAACCTAATGTTAAGTTATAGCTAAGTTACTGCGTAGTTTGTTTTCACAACAAGTCATCATAATAGAGGCAAAGCGTTTAATTGAACAGAAGGAAACTTGCATAGTTCGCTGATTATTGCTAATAAAGATCATTAATGTATGATAATAAATAATTGTAGTGTAGCTAGTTACTAATAAAACAATAACATGTTCATTTTAACCAGATTGACTTTCAAATTTAACTTAAATCTATTAAATTAGATAATAGACAAATTAAATGAAATAAATAAATTATTAAACTAAACCAAACTAAACTAAATTAAATTAGATCGAATGTTAGCAAATTTATTGTATTTGTTACACCACCAGAGTAGCGTGTTACCCAAGAAGAAGAGCCTTAAATATTAACTAAATTAGAGCTTTAGTAAAAATGGAGCACTTATGGTCATACATTTCCAAGATTTCAACTTTTAAATCAGGTGCAGAAATAAGCTGCATGTGTGTTTTTCTCGACAGCATACACTAAGAGAAACAGAAAGTAAAACTAATCCATGCATATCTAGTGCAGTACCTTCAATTTCCAGTAGGTCAAAACCACAACAGGTGGGTAGCGCTGTTGCCTCACTGCAAGAAGGTCATTGGTTCGAGCCCCGAATAGGTCAGTTGGCATTTCTGTGTGGAGCTTTCCTTTTGGGGTGCTCTGGCTTCCCTCGCAGTCCAAACAAATGTAGGTGAATTGGGTAAGCAAAAATTTTCGCAGTGTATGCGTGTATACCCTGGTCCTTCATTTTGGGGGTTGAGAAAAAAAAAAAAAAAAGATTTTACGAAACACCAAGATGGTGCGGCTAATTATCAATTTTGTTATAAACAGCCTGGGGATAAGTCAATTTTGTTATATATCTGACGTCAGTGGCAGGCTGAAGGAAAAGCGCACATACAAGTAACTGATCAAATTTTGACATAAGTGCAAACACTCTATAGATAACTTAGCTAAGCTACGCTATAAGCAACCCTCAGAGATAGTAACTAGCTACACTACAATTCAAACTATTTAGCTAAAAATGACTAAAGACAACTTCTCTAATCTTTTACAAATAACAGAACAATGCTGTTCTTTTCGGATAAACCAATTAGCAAGGGAAAAAACATAAGCTGATTGAATATGACTCGTGCTGTCCGTAATTAAACAACTTAATGTTGTTACATAATCTAATATGTAAGTAAGCTATGATTCATTTAGTTTGTCTAACGTTGATTTGACTTAAGTCTGATTACTGTTGAATTGACAATTTTGAATTTGAATTTTGAATGAATTACGGCACGTTAAAATGGCCGCTGTTTGGAAACGATGACATCACAGTACCATGTGACCAGGCATAAAAGGATGTGAAACTTTTATGATACGCAATAGAATATTAGGAATTATACTGGGCTCTCGACTCATCGATGACCACAACAACTCACAGCTCTGGATACGTGCCGGATCCAAGATTATATTAACTTCTGGATAAAGAGAAATAGACTAACAAATCAAAGCAAAGCAACATGAACTTCGAAAACCAAAGCACATTTCAGAAACTTGCTTTAACTCTGATCTTGACTCAGTTGAGTTGATTGAGCTCATGTTCTGGAATTTAAAGCGAAACAAGATTGATCATCTCTGATTTGATTCAGTTTGATCTAAAAACGGGTCAGTTTTTGCTTGATGTTGACATCCAAAAATCTCTGATAATGCTGAGTATGAATGTTTTTTTTCTTCTCTCCTTAGATCTGACGCTATATACTCTGCTCTATATGATGGCACGGGGGTGATTGAGATTCTCAGAGGCCACGAGTTCCTCTCTCACCCCTTCGCCGTGTCTCTTTTTGGAGGAAACGTCTACTGGACCGACTGGAGGACCAATACATTGACCAAAGCCAACAAATGGACTGGAGCCAATGTGACGGTCATTCAAAAAACCAGCGCTCAGCCCTTCGACCTGGAGATTTACCATCCCAGCCGGCAGCCACAGAGTAAGAGACCATCTTTCTGTCTTTCAAAATGGTCTCGAGGGGACGAGGATTTGAAGGATCTGAAAGATCTTAATGAGTCGAAATCTCTAGATTGAGCGAAGTTGTCATGTTGGATTAACAGCGCACAATGACCCAGTTTTGGCACGTTCACAGTTCTCACTGGGAGATTTTAGGGACTAATTGGCTGCAAAGCTGTCTCGTCAAGAACTCTCTTGATTCCAGATTTCTTATCATTTATGAAATATGAATCAGACAGTGAAACAAAACAAGGTCCCAATTCTGCTGAGCTTTGTTCTGAAAACTAAATGCAAACTCAAAGCTTGTACTTAGAATCAAGCAACGTTACAGATGAGTCAATGAATCAAATAAATATATTTTTGGGGTCTTTAGTGAAATGTTAAAATTTCAATTAAATAATAATAATATTAATAATATTTACATATAGATTTTTGGTTTTGGTTTGTGTTTTTCATTTTATGATAAATTATTTATTTTAAAGATAAACATTGTTTTGTTTTACCTTGTTTTTTGTTTAGTTTTTTCGTCTAGTTTTGTTTTGCCTTGTTTGTTGTTTTGTTTTGTCGTCTTGCTTTTTTTGTCTTGTCTTCTCTTGTTTTTGTTTTGTTTTGTTTTGTTTCTTGTCTTGTCTTGTTTTTTTTTTTTCTTGTTTTGTTTTGTATAGCTTTTAGTTTAGTTTCATTTTGTTTTGCTAAAATAGCAAAACGGAGTTAATTTTTTGCTATTCTCGATTAGGATTTGTGCAAACCTAATAGTTTTTTTGTTTGTTTTTATTGTTTGTTTTTGTTTTATTTACATAAATTTTATTTACATGTTTGTTAGTTTTAGGAAAGTGCACTACAATTTGTAATGAAGTAAAGCTTGGCCTATTATTTTATTTTATTTCTTCATCTTGTCTTGTTTTGTTTTGCCTTGTTTTTTTGTTTTTGTTTTTAATGGTGTTTTGTTTTGTATAGCTTTTTTATGTTGTTTTGTTTTTTATAGGGTTTTGTTTTGTTTTTCGTTGCGTTTCAATTTGTTTTGCAAAAATGGCAATAGAATTTCTGTTTTTTATTGTTTGTTTTTTGTTTGATTTACATACATATTTTTTGTTTGTTTTACTAAAATGCACTACAATATGTAATGTAGCAAAGCTTGGCCTCCTATTTTATTTTTTTTATTATTTTTTTTTCTTATTTTGGTCTTGTATTGTTTTAAAAAGTTTTTTTTTTTTTTTGCTATTCTTAGAATACCATTATTATTTTATATCTTATTATTAGAATCTTTGTAAAACCTTGTAGTTGTTTTCTACTTTTAATGTTTGTTTAATTGTTTATATAGTAGTTTTTTTTTTGTTTGTTTTAGTAAAATGTACCCCACTACTGTGTGTAATGTAGCAAAGCTTTCGCTCTTATTTTATTTTTTATTAAATTTTTTTGTCTTGTTTTTTTGTCTTTTTTAGTTTAATTTTTTTAGTTGTTTTTCTTTTTTTTACCAGCTCAGTAAACACAGAACACACGTTTGATGTCCAAAAACGTTCAGCCCTCAACTGTTTGGCCAATAAAACACAAAAAGGAGCCAACCCTCCCCCTATAAATAAAGTACAATTGAATCAGGGCTTGATGTGCCGTCCAGCATCTTTCCCCTCGGGTTTTCATCTGCCAGATGCAGAGAAATCAGCCTTCTGTCAACACATCCAGCCTGGCATCATCAACCAGAGCTCAATTACAGCCTTAATGGCGCTAAGAGGCTCTTTGTTAACTCATGACTCCAGATAAACAGTTGTAATGGGCTGATGAAGAGCTCCACAAACTGACTGGCACTTATAAAACAACTGGGGAGATGGAGTGATGCATGAACAGATGTGTGGACGATCTTTTGAGTTAGTGGGTCCTTTACGTTTTGAGTCAATCTGAGGTATGAAAGAAGGATATTCACCTGTTACAATTCTTGGAAGATGTGTGTGTGTCTGTATGTGTGTGTGTGTGTGTGTGTGTGTGTGTGTGTGTGTGTGTGTGTGTGTGTGTGTGTTTGTGTGTTTATTTGTTTATTTATTGGGGAAGCATTTTGTTGTATTGATTTGCTTATATCACACATCGTATTTGACTTTTAAATTGACTTTTATATCTCTTTTAAATAAGTGCCCTTTTAGTAGTAGTAGTACAAACAAATAAAACAGATATTTGACATTTGACCTGATAACATTTGTCTGTATAACCGTGTGCATAATATTTATGTAACAACGTTTGGCAAAAAAAAGTCTCTTTTATTATTATTGTTATTATTATTATTATCATTATTATTATTATTATTATTATTTTTTTTTATTATTGATTATTATTTTTATTATTATTATTGATTATTATTATTATTATTATTTATTTTTTTATTAATAATAATAATAATTATTATTATTATTATTATTTATTTTTTTAACTATTGATTATTATTATTATTATTATTATTATTATTATTATTATTATTATTTTATTTTTTATTTATTTATTTATTTTTTTAATAAAATGAAATATGCTTTTAACTGAACTTTGTATAATATGTTTTAAGATATAAATGCTGTTTTCTTTTTTTAATTTTGTCTTAATGAGGTTTATTTTTAATTTTCACTTTTTTGGATTGGTGTAAAACCTTGTAGGTTTTTTCAGTGTTATGTTTGTTTGTTGTTTTTGTTTTAAATTATATATTTTTTAAATATATGATTACAATTTGATCTTATGTTTTTGCTTTAAACTTAAAATGTGCTTTTTAAGGTTGTAAAACTAGGCCCCTTTATTTTACTTTATTTATTTATTTTTTATTAATTTTTAAATATTTAATACAATTTTAATTAATTAATTAATTAATTTATTTATTTATTAAGTAATTTAGTTATTTTATTCTTATTTTTATTATTTATTTTTTACTTAAATTTAACTTTTTTTGGTCTATGTATTTATTTTATTTTTATTTTATTTGTATTTATAATTTGTATTTTATTTAATAATTTTTTATTTTATTTTCATTTATTTATTTTTATTGTTTTATTTTTGTTCAGTTGTATTTAGTTATATTTAATTTATTTAAAAATATTTGTGTATTTATTTAATTTAATTTTTATTTCTCAACTGATTTATTCTGTATGATATCACCTACTTTCCTTTTTACACTTATAATTCAGCATGTCTGTTCTGTTCCCTGTCTGTTTCGATTACCCTTTAGGATTTAAAGAGTCTGGATTTCACCGCTATCAGTTTTCATGTGCCACAATGACTTAGCGAGACTGACATAGAGATTACTGCATTCATTAGGCAACAAACCAGTGTCTTTATGAACTTGTAAGCATTTTTTCAAGTTATGTGGGTTTTATGGTCCTGTTCAGAGTTATGGAGCATCAACCTTGCCCAGAGCAAGAACAGAGTCTGGGATTGTTGTTTGGGGAATAAGGGGCCTAATTATTCAACGCTACTATCCTCACGTTCACTCGATAAAGAGCACTCTTGGTTTGTAGGATAGCATGTGCATAAAAGCAGGATGTTTTGCATAATGACAAGCTGAAGAAATGATAACTGATTTGGAGCTGGCATGGGAAGTGTGATAATATGGAGTGTGGCTGTGCTTTAGAATACCTGTCAAAATGTGTAATTTTATTTCATTTATTTTATTTATTATTGTATTGCTTATATTTTGTGTTTATTTAATTGTATTACTGTATTTAGTTTTTTTATTTTATTTTTTGTAATTATGTGTTTATTATTGCATTTGTATTTTTTATTTTAATTTTTATTAATGTATTTATTTACTATTATTGTATTTTTATTATTTTTTTCCTTTTTTATTTTTTTCTTTCCTCTTATTTTAATCTATTTTATATATTTTATTTTAATTGTTTTTAATGTATATTTATTATTTTCTTTTTTCCTTTCTTTGTCATTTATTTTAATACTGTATTTTTATTTTTGTTTTTATTAAATTTGTCTTTTCTTTAATTTATATTTATGTATTTGTTGTATTTGTATTTTAGTTTTAGAATTGTACTTTTTACATATTTATTTATTTTATTTATTTTATTATTTTATTTTATTTTAAATATTTTATTTCCTTTTATTTTATTTTTATTTTATTCTTTTCTTTTTTATTCTTTTCTTTTCTTTGTATAGTTTTCTTTTCTTTTATTATTCTATTTTTATTATTTTTTGACATTTTTATTCTTTTATTTGTATTTTTGTATGTATTATTTTATTTTTATTATTTTACTTTTTATTTATGTATTTGCGTTTTTTACTATTGTATTTTTTTATTTTATTTTATTTCCTCGTATTTATTGTTTTAATGTATTTATTATTTTCTTTTTTCATTTTTCTTTTCTTTTTCTATTTTACTTCCTATTTTGTTTAGTTTTAATCTTACTCATTAAAACATTTATTTATTTGTTTCTTTTTTTCATAATTTTATTATTATTTTAATTTAATTACATTTAAATGGTAAAGAAAGATGGTCCATTATTATTTAGAGAAAAGTCAAGCAGTGATACAAATTAAAACCTAAAAACCTAACTAAAATCATTGTAATGCAAGATTCAAAACCAATTTTGAAAAAATAAAAAATTCTAAATAAAATGTTAAAAATAAAGTCAGTCAATTTAGAGTATAAATGTATTGTGTTTTAAGGAAAATACATATTACATTTCAAGAAAATAAGTCAAAATAAAATGTTAAGAATAAACTGAAAATGTATAAGTAAAAAATTTCAAGATCTTAAAATCTCACGTTTACTTGCCCAAAAATTAAGATTTGTATTGTCAATTGTTATTCTTTTATTTGATTTGACTTTTTATATAAAAATTGTATAAAATCTACCTAATGTATAAATCAGACCATATTCTGAGCACATTTGTTAACTTGAAGAGTTTGTTTGGCTTTGACCTGTTGAAATAATCATGGAAGGTGTTGCTGTGAGATAAGTCACTGTGGAGAATAAAAGATGAAATGAACAGATGCGGAATGCCAACTCAGATGTTCTTTTGTGAATGTGTTTTTTTCCAGCGGTGAGCCCGTGTGCTGGTAATGGAGGCCGGGGTCACTGTTCTCACCTCTGTCTGCTCAATTATAATGGCTCTGCTTCCTGCTCCTGTCCACATCTCATGAAGCTCTCAGCCAATAACAGCACATGCCAAGGTCAGTGGCTTCTGTTTGTCTGTACGGTTGCTTGTCTACCTGTTTGATTTCGTCTGTATGTCTCTCTGTTTCTGTCTGTCTGTCTGTCTGGCTGTCTGTCTGTCTGTCTGTCTATTTGTCTGTCTCTCTGTCTCTCTGTCTGTCTGTCTGTCTGTCTGTGTGTGTGTCTGACTGACCGACTCGACTGTGTGTCTGTCTGTTTCTGTCTTTATATTTGTTTGTTTGGTTTGGTACATCTGTCTAAAAAGCCTGTCTGTCTGTATGTATGTCTGTATGTTTCTGTCTGTCAGTCTGTCTGTTTGTTTCTGTGCATCACTCTATAAGTTTGTCTGTGTGTGTGTCTGTTTGTTTCCGTACGTTTGTCTTTCTGTTTTTTTCTGCCTATAAGTTTGTCTTTCTGTCTGTCTGTCTGTTGGTGTCTGTCTGTTTGTTTCTGTCTTTCTGTCTTTCTGTCTGTTTGTTTCCTTATGTCTGTCTTTCTGTCTGTAAGTTTGTCTGTGTGTCTGTCTGTCTGTGTCTGTCTGTCTGTTGGTGTTTGTCTGTCTGTTTGTTTCTGTCTTTCTGTCTGTGTCTGTCTGTTTGTCTATGTTTGTCTGGACAACTAACATTTGTCTGTTTCTTTCTGCCTACTTGTTTATCTGTCTGTATGTCTGTGCATCTTTCTGTCTACCTCTCTGTATGTATTTGTGTATTTATGTTTGTTTCTGTCACTGTCTGTAAATCTGTCTCTGTGTCTGTTTTTTTTTTTTTACATCTTTCTATACTTTAGCCTGTGTGTGTCTGTCTGTCTGTGTTTGTCTGTCTGTTTGTTTGTTTTTTTTCTGTACACCTATACAGTTGTGTTTCCATCTGCCTACTTGTCTGTCTGTATGTTTGTGCATCTTTCTGTCTGTCTGTACATCTGTCTGTCTGTATGTCTGTTTCTGTCTGTATGTCTGTCTGTTTGTTTCTGTGCATATGTCTTTGTGTCTGTCTGTCTGTTGGTGTTTGTCTGTCTGTTTGTACTTGTGCATCTATCTGTCTGTCTGTCTGTCTGTGTTTGTCTGTACACTTCGCTTGGGCGGTATCCAAATTTTGATACCGTCAAACCTCCTCCTTATTTTACCCCGGTATCACCGTTCATAATAAAAAAAAAAAATGACGTAAGGCTCAGACAGCGTCACTAAACTGTTGGCTTGTGTCTAAACCATTCAGAAACTGAATACCGTATATATAAATACCGAACTTTAGGTTTGCGGTCACCTGTTTGTCTTGTTCACATTAGAGATCTGCGCAGAACGCTCTCTCTCATTCACAAACACACGCACGGACACTCGCATGCACTCACACACACAGAGCGAGAGAGAGACACACAGCACTACGCTCTCTTTCTTTCTCTCTCTCACACACACACAAACACACACACACACATACAAATAGCATCCACTCGGATATGCGCATGCTTGCTCGCTCGGGAGCAATATTGTTAGACCGCGCGCCAGCTACCTTTTAAATTACAGTTGAGTTACCAAGCGCTCCCGCGCTTTATTTGGAAATTAATTTCCCCACCGCAAGAAATCTGGTCGGCTCCCAGGAACAGCAGCAGGAATGCAGACCTCTAGTTCGTATTAACCACGTCTCCATTCTCATTCGGTCGAAACCAGAAATACTGCCAAACTGCAGGTCACTTGCTGCGCGACTCGCCACCTCACCTTCTCCCTCTCCCTCTCTCTCTCTCTCTTCTCCATGTGAGATGACAATCTTGCATACGTAGGCATTAAATAAATAATATTTAATAAGTGCGTTGGTATAACGGTATTGAAACTGATACCATTGCTATTTTTAGATCCCGCAGTATACCATATTACCGTATTATCACCCAAGCCTACTGTACACCTATACATTTGTTTGTTTCTAGGTCTTTCTCCTGCTTGTCTGTCTTTATATCTGTGAATCTTTCTGTCTATCTCCCTGTCTGTATGTCTGTCTGTTTATGTAAGTTTTTAATCTGTCTGTCTGTCTGTCTGTCTGTCTGTTTTTTTGTCTGTACATATGTTTGTCTGTACATCTTTCTTTCTTTCTTTCTTTCTTTCTTTCTTTCTTTCTTTCTTTCTTTCTTTCTTTCTTTCTTGTCTGTCTGTCTGTCTGTCTGACTATTTCTTTTTGTACTTATGTCTGTGTTTGTGTGTCTGCCTCTATGTTAGTATCCTTGTCTGTTTGTCTTTTTTCTGTTTGCATGTCTAGCTGTCCGTACATCTGTCTGTCTGTCTGTCTGTCTGTCTGTCTGTCTGTCTGTCTGTCTGTCTGTCTGTCTGTATCAGTCAGTCTGTTTGTATTTTATCTGTATTTTTTCTTTCAGTTTTTCTCTGTTGTGCATACTATTAATACAGATTGTATTTATGTATTTATTTGCTTCGTACAAAACCAATTTGAGCCATAATGACCACAAACACACAGATACACACACATACACACAGACACATGCATGCGCACAGGAAGGCAAGACTTGTGATCCTCAGATGAACAGAGTTGATCTGCAGCAGAATGTGTGATATTGTAATAATTATAGCGTGTATCAGGAGACTGGCGTGACCCAACTAAACTCATTACAGACTCAAATGGAGATCTCTCTCTTCTCCCCGCTGCCCTAGAGAGCTTTCCGGAGGTCAAGAAAGGACGATTTACAGTAACAGTCCTTTGAGTTTTGGGTCTTTATAGAGCTGCCTTTGTAAGGACACTCAAGTCGCCTCATTATTTTATGAAACACTGCCAGTGAAAAGGGTGAACTCAAAAGAATTAATATCATTCTTCCCCAGTTGATTGATTATTATCAAATTAAAAATATTTTTGCGTTGCAGTTTTCTTAAATGTTTTATGATATGCAATAGATATGCAAATGAGGCATTGTTTCATTAAACATGTACTAATAGGGTGTATGCACAGCTTGTGTTCCCATACCGATAAACTTCAGGGAGGTTAATGGAACTTTTTTAATTTTATTTGGTTCCTTTTACATTATCGATGTTGTAATGCAATTAAAATACAATCGGTTAAATAGACTTCATTTTGTTGCTCAAATGTAAAATAAGATGAAAAGCCGTTTACATGCACGTACCTGTCAGGATCAGAAGGTGAAACATCATTGAAAATACTGGAGTTAAAAAAAAAACGTATTTTTAAGACATGGCTTGGGAAAATAGATTTTAATATAGATTTCATGTACAGTCTGAGACCCTGATTTTGTAATCGCATACAGTTTACCGGAAGCGTTTGACCCAGGTTGCTGAAAAATAAAAAAGTCCTTCTGCATATACCCCATTTCCATTTTGTCAATTAGTTTTCAGCTGATTGATTGATTGATTGATTGATTGATTGATTGATTGATTGATTGATCAGCAATTTTTTAAAGAGGGGAATCTGTTTATTACTCAATATTTCAGAAAACACTGTGAAGAGCCAGAAAAGATGCACATTTTGTACATACATCCATCTATACATACATACATACATACATAACCAATTCTTCTGAAGAAAAAAATGGAATATTAAGTTAAAAAAAATAAAGCTATTTTACTTGGTATTAGTAATATCAGCAGTTAAAAAAAAGTCCCATTAAAAAGTAAAGTTTGCTCAATAAGGCTGCTTTTATTTTGTCAAAAATACAGTCAAATGTTGTATTTGTGTTTCTGTTATAATATAAGATTTTTATTATATAGATTTCTGAAGGATCATGTGATACTGAAGACTTCAGTAATGATACTGATAATTCAGCTTTGATTCAAAGAAATACGTTTAATTTTGAACATCACTCAATAGGAAAACTGTTAGATTAAATTGCAATACTCTTTCACAATTTGACAGATTTTATTGTATGTTTAGGAACAGATGCAGCATTGGTGAGCAGAATATAGGTTTCTTTAAAAAAAAGTTTTAGAAAAAAAAAGTTGGTATTTAACAATTTTGAATGGTGCTGTTAGGACAATATATAATTCTGAGAAAACAGAATGTATGATTTAAATCTTTCACAGTTTGACAGATTTTACTGTAGATTTAGGAAATAGATGCAGCATTGGTAAGCAAAGCATAGTTTTTTTTTTAATGTTGGTATTTAACATTTTTGAATGTTTCTATAAGAGAAAAAATATATATAATTTTGAGAAAACAATGTTAAAAATATACACATATATACACACATTGATAAAGTGCGGTATAAGACATAAAAATAATAAATGAAATAAAAAAATAAATAAATGAAAATAAATAGCTTTAAATAAATGAAAGCTACATTATATTTACATAACTAAAACAAACCAGTTGTTCCCACAAAATAAACTGTGTAAACTCAAATAAAAACCCTCTTATTTATCCCAAATCACAAACCTTTGAATTTTACATTAAAAGTAGCAATAATTCTATAATAACTCAAATTATAAATTCTGAGAAAACCTTAAATTTGTATGTTTATTGAAATCCACATGCATACATTGAAGAAAGTGTTACAGAAGACAAAACATATTCTAACATAAAATATAAAAACATAAAAATATACATATTTAAAAAATAAATAAATGAAAAAGCCCCAAATCTCAAAACAAACAAACTAAATTAGTGAAACTAAGTGTTTTGTCTTTCAAATGGAATGAATGCAAGAGTGTGTATGTGCGTGTGCATGTGTGTCAGAGATTTTAAATTTGAAAAATCATATTGTGAAAGTTTGTGTTGAAAGTCACATGCTGTGTCCCAATTTGCATATTTACACCCTTAAAAGTATGTACATCTTTTGTAAAGAAATAAAAAATAATATACCTTTGAGTGTGTAACCGAAGAGTATGCAAGTTTTGGGACACAATACATTCTCATTAACAGATCTTTTTACTGCTTTGTTACATCCCCTGTCAATCATCTCAACACATCTTCCACATTTCTTTCATATGTAATTACCTACCTGACTGTAGAATCAGCTGCAGGTTAATCTGCCATTCTTTCATGCAGAGAAATCTCCTCAGGTCGTTGGATAATTATCCATTCAGAAGTTAATTTCCAAAAATATCTTGGTATAAGTTCATATTGTTGTTGCAGATGGAATATAACACGGAAACATGAATTAAATATGTTTCAGTTGGCTAGAAATTAATTACCAGTCATTCGAACAGCTTTATCAAAGCCTCTCTAGTTGACAGTTGGGCTGGCACGTTTATTTACCCTTTTTACCCGAGTTCTAATCGAATTAATGCCCAACGCGCAGTGTATTGTGGGCAATATAAGCGGTTAGAGTACAACCGCTTCTACACTTTGAATGTTTACCAGAAATAGTAGACCATTCGGGAACCTTTGGCATACTCTTTTCAACATACTACGGTTTGGGACAATTTTTGGACAGATAGTATACGAATTGAGACGAAGAATCTGTTTCAGACTCAGCGTCTCCGCAGTCTATGAAGGTTTCCTATTAGATCGGTATACGTCACTCAGATTTTCCAGTCTCTACTTGGCATGTGTTAAAAAAAATAAACTTATTTTCAGCTATTTTATGAAAAAATAGACTTTCAAAAGAAATTTTGTATGTGAATTTTGTGGGGTTTTTTTAATGAGCAGGAACCCTGGTCCCCTATTGGCCAGTATAGAGCGACAGTCCCCTCATAGTAACATGGACGTGTATATCTGTGTGTTTGTTTGTACAGGAGTGAAGAGGTTTCTCTTGTACGCTCGCAGATCTGAGATTCGTGGTGTGGACATTGATAACCCGTATCTGAACGTGATCATGGCTCTGACCGTTCCTGATATCGATGACGTGACGTCGATGGATTACGATGCTGTGGAGGAGAGGATTTACTGGGCTGATGTGAAGAGCAGAACTATAAAACGAGCGTTTATTAACGGAACCCAACTGCAGACCGTCTTGTCTGGAGGTACATCCTGACCAGTTTTGTCACTTACAAGCTCACGTTGAGGAAATTGGTTTCTGTTTTACTAGGGCAAGTTCTGGGATCGTTTTGCCCTATTTTATTCTTATTGTTGATTATAGCTAGTGAGAATAAGAAAGACACAGAAAAATGAATATAATAATAAATGTATAAGCAAATAATTTTATATATATATGCACTGCTCAAAAAAGGTTACACTAAAATAACACATCCTACATGTAAATGAAATATTATTGATAAATGCTTTGGTTTTTTTGGTTCTGACAACAAAATCACACAAAAATGGTCAATGGAAATCAAATTGTTTAACTAATAGAGGTCTGGATTTTGAGTCACACTTAAAATTGAAGTGGAAAAACGACACAGGCTGATCCGACTTTAATGTACTGTCCTTAAAACAAGTCAACATGAGGCTCAGTAGTGTGTGTAGCCTCCACATTAATATATGACCTCGCTACAAAACATGGGCATGCTCCTGATGGTCTCCTGGGGGATGTCCTCCCAGATATGGACTTAAGCATCCGTCAACTCCTGGACAGTCTGTGGTGCAACGTGGCATTGGTAGATGAAGCAAGGCATGATCTGCCAGATGTGCTCAATTGGATTCAGATCTGGGGAAAGGACGGGCCAGTCCATAGGGCCTTTGTCTTGCAGGAACTGCTGACACACTCCAGCTACATGAGGTCTACCATTGTCTTGCATTAGGAGGAACTCATAGACAACTGCACCATTCATGGTTTCACAAGGGGTCTGAGGATCTCATTTTGGTACCTAATGGCAGTCAGGATACCTCTGGCGAGCACATAGAGGACTGGGTGGCCCTCCAAAGAAATGAAACATCACACCATTTCTGACCCACTGCCAAACCGGTCATGTTGGATGATGTTTCAGACAGCAGAACGTTCTCGTGTGACTCGTCTGTCACATGTGCTCAATAAGAACTTGCTTTTGAGTGCAAGTGGTGCCAGTGGTGACTTTGCCAATCTTGGTGTTCTCTGACAAATGCCAAAGGTTCTGCATGGTGTTGGGCTGTAAGCCACACCACCCTCATGGAGTCTGTTTCTGACTATTTGAGCAGACACATGCACATTTGTGGCATACTGGTGGTCATTTTGCAGGGCTCTGGCAGTGCTCCACCTGTTGTGCTGGTGCTGGGTTTTTGGCCTCCTTCAGGTCTCCTGACATACTGGCCTGTCTCTTGGTAGAGCCTGCATGGCCTGGACAGTACGCTGACAGAACTTCTTGCCACAGCTTGCATTGATGTGCCATCCTGGATGAGCTGCACTAGATGAGCCACTTATGCGAGTTGTAGATTCCATCTTAAACTGCGGTCACACTAGAGTTTGAGCTTGCGAAATTCTGTAGTACAGCGCTGCAAAAAGAGGCAGGATTAAACAAGGTGATTGGACATTTAAAAAAAAGTGAGCGTTTGGTCCATATATAAAATTTTTGTCCAGAAAGGTCATGTTTTGATCTTCGAATGGTCTCAAACAGTCAAGTGATGCGATTTTGCAGGTCAGAGTTAACCAGGGTTGAACTTTCCAACACAGCAACCCTTCGAAATTTGTCGCACAAGCTTGCGTTTTTGAATGGAAGTCTTAGAGGTGAAAAGTGCAGTTTGACCACAGCTTTGTTCTACCACTAGTGAAAGCACCGCCAGCATTCAAAGTGACCAAAACATCAGCCAGAAAGCATAGGAACTGACAAGTGGTCTGTGGTCACCACCTGCAGAACCACTCCTTTATTGGGGGTGTCTTGCTAATTGCCTATAGTGTTCACCTGTCGTCTATTCTGTTGGCACAACAGCATGTGGGATTGATTGTCAATCAGTGTTGCTTCCTAAGTGGGCAGTTTAATTTCACTGAAGTTTGATTGGCTGCGTCCGAAACCGCCTACTACTCAGTAGGTACTGCATTAAAATTTAAACGCACTACTCGGCCATTAGAAAAGTATGTTTTATACAGTATGAATGTGAAAAGTATGAATGAAGTTCGGACGTACTACATCCTCCATTTTGTCATAATCATGTGACCTACCTGCGTCAGTTGTGTTGCCTCACTTCCATTCATGAATTCTCGCGCAGCGTGCATGGAATGCGCACACCAGAATCTCGCCTGAAGTAATAAGTCATCCGGGTACTTCTCGCATACTGTTTTTCGAATTCTTTGAATTCGGACATACTACTCTGCTCGCATACTGATTTTAACGTACTTTATAGTATGGAAGTATGGGGTTTCGGACCCAGCCATTGACTTGGAGCTACATTGTGCTGTTTAAGTGTTTCCTTTATGTTTTGAGCAGTGTATATTTGCATATTATATTGTTATATTGTAAATTGTTTATTTGATTTATTTTACATTTGCCATATAGTTTCATTTATATGTATATGCATAGCATTTATTCAATTAACAGATGCAATGCAATTTAAGTTTTTGCAAAAACAGACAGGTGCAAAAATTTGGGCACCCTAACATAATAATGACATTAATCTTTTTTTAAAGCCACCTTTTGCTGAAATAACAGCCTGTGGACACTTAAAGTCAAGGATAAGTCCCTGAATTCTTGCTGAAGGTGATTTTTCCTTGCACAGTGTATCTAGTTCAGCCAGGTTTGATGCATAAACGACCCTTTTCAAATCAACCCATAGATTTTTGATGATGTTCAAGTCTGGGAACTGGGATGGCCATTATAGAAAATTGTATCATGTCTAAGCATGACTTTCTTGGTAGATTTGGAACTGTGATTTGGCTCGCTGTCCTGCTGAAACATCCAACCCTGTCATAACATCAGCCTCTTGACTGATTCTTGAACATTGTTTCTCAGAATCTGCTGATATTGGGTGGAATCCATGAAACCTTTAACTCTGACAAGGTTTCTAGTTCTTGATCTAGCACATCTTTCCTTCTCAACAGTTCCTGTGGCCTTCCATTTTCTTACTATATTTTTGACTGTGGAAATAGAGACTTTAAACCTTGTGATAGCTTTTTGCCCCCTTCTCCTAATTTATGTTGATGAATTATCCTAGTTTTTAGTCCATGAAGAAGTTCCCATGTTGCTAATTTCTGGTTTACAATAAGGAGAAGCACAACTAGCCATCAGCTATCTTAAATATCCCTTTTCATGATTGGTTGCACCTGTGTTAGGATTGTAAAGGTTCACTGAGTCACTCAAATCAATTTTGTGTTGTAATCAATCAGCATTAAGTGACTACAGGTTTTAAAATCCACACAAAAGAGAGGGTGCCCAAAACTTTTTCACAACCTATATTTCAGTTTCAATTTAATTTCACACATCTCAACATTGCTACACTCTGTATTTCTGTCTGAAAAACTTGACATTGTCTAGCTTTCTCCAAAAACCGAATGGCATTATGTTTTTATTTTATTATAGCAACTATAGAAATATTCAACTTATAATAATATTTAACTATGTTTTATTAACGTCATGATAAAAATGTTTAACATTTTTTGGTACTGTCTGCAATTCCAGACCTCTCCAACGTGCGAGGTCTGGCTATCGACTGGCTGTCCAGAAACATGTACTGGATGAGCTCAGACAACGACGAGACTCACATTAATGTCGCCCGTCTTGACGGATCTCTGAAAACCACCGTTGTTCACGGAATGGACAAACCCAAGAGTCTTGTCTTGCATCCATCCAAAGGGTAAAGAAGACATAAACATGCTAACAGTCAACAGTAAAACTTGGGTCTGTGTGTTTCTTAAAGGGATAGTTCAACTAAATACTGAACATGTGAAGATTTCCATCCATTAAATAACATTTAAACATACAATAGCTAAAAATTTTGTGTATTCATAAAACACTATTAGTACTTTTAAGAGTTAAATGTAGCATAATAATAATAATAATAATAATAATAATAATAATAATAATAATACATGTGGCTTCTGACGATTCAGTGAGGTCTTATGAAGTCAACAAGAAACTGAACAATATGTGAGCTTATAAAAAAAAAACGGTGTAAAAAATTGCAAGAACTAATATTTCTCTTTTCGTCTAGCCATGGTTGCCTGGTTGTCTTAACAAACCTAGTACAAAACTGGCCCAATAATATTGATATACAGGATTTTTTTTTGTTCAAAAGTCATGGTATATCTTAGCAATTACAGATATTCTGTTTCCAATTGCACGTGTCAGTGGTCTTAGCATCTTTGCATCTCCATCAAATCTGGAAAGTACTGCCAGTCTGTTAGCTTTGAACATAAAACAGCTGCACACACAGTGTCTCCTCACTAAGTGTGTTTTTACTCTGTTATATTAATCGAGTACCGTTTTTTATCATTGGTAGAACATATGTTCGGTAGAGTAATATAGTAAATACAATGTATATGGTTGCAATATGTCAAATCCATAATTCATTGAATTAAAAAAACAACTAAACAGAATACCTGTGGACTTGGCAACCCAACATCTAGCTCTAATTTTTGAACATATATGTAGTTTTTGTTTTGTTTTTTTGTTTTGCTTAGTTTTTTGTTTGTTTTGTTTTGTGTTTTTTGTTTTGTTTTGTACATTTCCTTTGTATTTATCTTGTATTTATTTTTGACTTGTTTTTGTTTGCTTTTCACTTGGTTTTGTTTATATTTTCTACTAATTACAGCTTTTTTGTTATATAGGCTGTGGGTTAAAGTAATAATTTTGTAAATAATACTGTATTATATAAATTAATATTATTGTAAAAAAATATTTATCTTTGCCTCATTTTTGTTTGCCTTTCACTTTTTTTTGTTTATTTTTTCTTCTGATTACAGCTTTTTTGTAATATAGGTGAATTAAAGGTAATAATGTTGTAAATGATAATAATGCAGTTTCTTGCAAAGATGGATTGTTTCGCTTCATAAGATTTTAATGTAAGGATTAGTTCATGAAAAAAAAAAAAAAAAAAAATTTATATATATATATATATATATATATATATATATATATATATATATATATATATATATACAATTGTTATTCATTTTTCACGCCCATGTCATTTCAGTCTCTCGAGACCTTTGTTCGTCTTCAGAGTAAACAAAAATCTGATATTTCAGATAAAATCCAGGAGCTCTCTCATCCTCTATAGATAGCAATGATTCTGAGATGTTCAAAGTCCAGAAAAGGAAATGTTTTGACAATATTTTTTGCTTTGAACGTCTCATTGATTAAAGGTCTTCACAGAGGGTAATTAATAACAGATTTACCACTTTTTTAGGGGTAAAACATAATCTTTATTACTGGTATGACATTATAAAATGGTGGCAGCCATAGACTTGCATTCACTTAAAACATTATGTTTGCTGTTTGTTCAAAGTACTTATTTAAAATGAGCTAAAACAACACAATACTTGAGGGATTTTAGACAACTTATAGGTTTTTAATTCATTCATGTTGTCCCAACACAAATCAATTGTGTGGAGCCTTGCATTTTTATAGTGTTAGATGAATGACCAAAGACTGTTATTTCATGATGAAAATCTTCTTTAATGTTCACCTGAAAGCTTAAAGGAGCGTAAATTAACAGGACATTTTCATTAAAATTACTGTCCCATTTATTAGCAAGTAAAAGCGCACTTCCGTCGAATTGTCACCTTTTGTTACCTTCAAAACTGCGTGCGAGATACATCAGTTAGAAAGCTAATTACTGAACAGGTCTCTGTTTATATTCAGGCACAATTAACCAAAGTTATTAGAGCCGTTTTCTCGGAGTTGATTAAGACTGACAAATTGTTACAGCCGTGAAAACTGTTTAACGATGGCAAACTGTTCGGCGGCCAATCAGAAATGCGAATTTATCTTACCCTTGTTGGACTAGTCAATGACAGCTACTTAATTAGCATACATTATGGTTCCGAGCATGCAAGCTAATTAAAAATGGGGGCCAGTTCCTGGCAATTGTTTACATGAGATATAATATAATGCAATTCTGTAATCCAGTGATGGATCTTAAGCACGCTACAGTGAGCATGCTGGTTTTTTTAGCATCTCTAACTCATCCACCAACTGTTCTTGCTTTTTGAGCAGAGGTAGCTGCATATTTGACTGATTTATTTATTTGTTTATTGCGGTTTTTAGTTTTGTTTTGCTTCGGTTTTTGCTTTACGTCTGTATTGTTTTTTTGGTTTTATTGGTAGTTTTTTTGCGGTTGTTTTTCATCACAGAAGACGTTTGCATCACTAGCTGTTTTTTAATTTATTTTGTTTTGCTTTGTTTTATTACTTATCAAGACTTTAGCATTACTAGCTGTTTTTGTTGTTTATTGTATTTTGTTTTATCACAGAGCAAGGCGTTTGCACTACTAGCCATTTTTGTTTGTTTTGTTTTGCTTCGTTTTGTGTTTCATCACAGAGCAAGACATTAGCATGACTAGCGGTTTTTGTTGTTGTTTGTTTTGTTTTGCATCACTTTCTGTAAGTGTTTTTTTTTTTTTTTTATCATGGCAAGACGTTAGAATCCCTAGCTGTTTTTGTTGTTGTTTTTGGTAGAATTTGTTTTTATGATTTAATACATTTTTTTGTTTGTTTTTTGCTTTGTGTGTCATCACAAAGCATGATGTCAGCATCCAACCTAAAAAAAACACGTTCGTTTGACCAGCTGAAACCAGCCAACCAGCCTAGACTGTTTTAAGTCGTTTTTTTTTTTTCAGCAGGGTTGTTTTCCATCTCAGAGCAAGCGTTAGCATCACTAGGTTTTTTTGTTGTTTTGTTTTCATCACAGAGCTTGACTTTAGAATCACTAGCTGTTCTTTTGTTGTTTGTTTTGTTTTCACCACAGAGCTTGACGGTAGCATCACTAGCTTTTTTGTTTGTTTTGTTTTGTTTTTATTACAGAGCTTGACATTAGCATAACTAGCTGTTCTTTTGTTGTTTGTTTTGTTTGTTTTCATCACAGAGCTTGACGTTAGCACCACTAACTATTCTTTTGCTGTTTGTTTTGTTTTCACCACAGAGCTTGACGGTAGCATCACTAGCTTTTTTGTTGTTTGGTTTTGTTTTCATCACAGAGCTTGATGTTAGTATAACTAGCTGTTCTTTTGTTGTTTTTTTTTTTTTTTACTTTGTGTTTCATCACAGAGCATGCCGTTAGCTTCACTAGCTGATGTTATCGTTACTATTTTTTTTGTAATTTTATTAATACGATTATTTATTTGGTTTTCATCACAAAGACGCTAGCATCACTCATTGTTTTGTTTCCCTTTGGCTTTTCTGTTTCTGTTTTTCTTTTTGATTTGTCTCACTTTGTCTCTTTGTTTTGTCTTGCTGTGCTTTTGTTTTATTTTTATTTGTTCTTTTGCTTTGATTTTTGTTCAAATCCCACCCCCCCTAATTTTTCTTGACTTGTGGGCAATTTTTATTTATTTATTTTTATTTTTGTGCTTTTACTTCGCGCAAAATATTATTTATTTTAAACGTGAATTTAACTTATCTTATTGGACCAGCTAATGACAGCAACTTAATCAGCATACATAATTATTCCAATTATGCGTTTAAAGGAGATTAAAAATGGAGCCAGATTCAGACATTTATTTACAAGCAGTTTAATAAAACACAATTCTGTAATCCACTGCTGGATCTTAGCACCCAGCAGTGAGCATATTATTTGATTTCTTCACCAACTGTCATCTCTTTTTAACTTTCGACCCGTCGACATTTCTGAAAGTCATCTGTCACAAAGGTTCATGCGCTCCATCAAGATGTATGGCGGAGATAGAGACAGCTTTATTTGATTGTTTTGTGCTCTGTGGTGATTGTGAAGATAAAGTTCTGCCTCCTCGACCTTCACGCGGGTCGCGTCCCTTAAAGCGAACGACTCTCATCCTTCATCTCCAAGACTCATCCGTCTCTCTCTGTGTGTCTCGTTTTGTCGTTGGTCTACAGGAAGATGTTCTGGATGGATGGCGGCACGATAAATATGGCCAATATGGATGGAAGCAACATCAAGATTTTGCACCAGAACCAGAAAGAGCCTGTTGGTAAATTCACAAAAAAATAATAATAAGATAAAATAAGTCAGTCTAAAAGTCCAAATCTAAGTTAGAAATGATACAATATAAAATGTTACATTAAGTTATATATTGTAACATTTCTAATTTACATTTATTACAACTACAATCACTTTTGTTTTGGTTTTCTGTTTGATTTGTTTTGCATTGCTTTTGAATTGTTTTTCAGTCCGATCAAGATGTCACAAGCATCACTCAGTGGTGGAATGAGTACTGAAAAATCAAACTTAAGCAAAAGTACCATTACTTGCCTAAAAATGTAGTTCAAGTAGAGTGAAAGTATCTGTTTTAAATATTACTCAAAATATGAGTAAAAAATAGACCTTTAAAAAGTACTCAAGAGTAGTAAGAAGTGAGTATTACGCTTTAAAAAGCTGATGCATTTACATGTAATTTGTGGATGTGTGTAAACGTAACATTCTGTAGTGCAAATTTATTTAGTTATTGCCCAGCAGGCATACAACATCATTAATATTAGGTTAGATTTAGGTTGTGACGTCAGATGACCAAAATTCAATGTCTAGCCAGCGTATAAGGACAATGTTATTTTGATGTCCAATAATGACTTCAAATGACGTTGATATTTAGTTGATTGTAGGTTGTGTTAAAAAGTGACCATTTTCCAACTTCGAGACTATCTTAAACCAACGTCATGTTGAAGTCAAATACAGACATTTATACGTCATAGAGGTAACGTCCACACAACGTCAAGCTTTAACATTATTAGACATTGATATTTAATTGATTTCAAGTTTGACGTTGGATGACGTTGGTGTACAACTTGGCGTCATGTTGACGTCTTGCACCTGCTGGGTGTTTAAAGCCATTTCGGTCATCATACAGTAAACATCTGTAATTTTCTCATCAGTGACATGGATCTAAACAGTCTCTGGGTCATTGCGTGTTAAGATTATGGACATCTTCTTGGACACTTTTATTGCTTCCAAACAGTTTGCTGCTTTTGCGCCCATATATTGAGGAAGTTCATTATGAGGCGATTTACTTTCTATGTTTAATTTGTTTTTACAGAAATCACAGGGTTTGGTTTGTTTTATTGTTTCATTTTGTTTTGTTGTGCATTGATTTTTTGCATGACTAGCTTGTTTTAAGTTTGATATATATTTTTTTTTTTTGCCTTGATTTGTCTTTCATTTTGCAAACTAGTAAGTGATTTGCAAATTGTTTCTTCCTTTTATTTATTTATTACTCATTTAATTATTTTTTTTAATTTGCATATTTGCTATTTTCTCATTTATTCATGTTTATTTATTTCTCATATATTCATTAATTTTATTTTAGGATATTATTATTTTATATTTATTTATTTATTTTTTGATAAAAATTTTAACAAATTTTCAGAGCCCTTGCCATTTATTTATTTATTTATTGCTCATTTATTTATTCATTTAATTTAATTTTTATTTACTTTTTTGTTTTTAAATCTGCACATTACTTCCATTTATTTATTTGTTTATTTATTGCTCATTTATTAATTCATTTATTTAATTTTATTATTTTTATTTATTTTATTTTATTTTATTTTTTACAAAACTGTAGAGCTCTTGCCATTTATTTATTTATTTATTGCTTATTTATTCAATAATTGTATTTTTTTATGTTTGCATATTTGGTAATGTCTTCTCAATTATTTATTTAGTGCCCATTTATTAATTTAATTTAAATAAATTTACATTTTAAATGTTTTATTTCTTTTTTTTTTATCTGCACATTTTGTCACATTTATCTATTTATTTATCTATTTGATTTTAATTTATTAATGAATTTTATGTTATTTTATAATTTTTATTTGTTTTGGTGAGATCTGCATGGCTCTTGCTATTTATTTATTTATTTATTTATTTCTCATTTATTTATTTATTTAATACATTTTTTTATTATTCATTAATTGAATGTAATTTATTTTGTTTATACGTTTATTTATTTTATAAATTAGCAAATTATCAGCTTTGCCATAGATCCATGCATTAGGTCAATCTGCAGAATAATAAGGGCTCCATTCACTCATTCTTGGTCTTCCTGCAGGCCACGTCTGTTGAAATCATTATACATATAATAATTTGATCTGAGAAGTAGCCCTAGGTTCAGTCAGCGCTTCTTCCCTTGGCTCATAATTAAAGCAAAAATCTCCCAGACACGCAGTACTGTACATGTGATTATGGCCTAAACCACATCTTAAGTAACAGCCGTTATCTTTAATGTGAATGAGCGATTTATTGCCAATGAAGCACAGAAAAAAAACAAACAACAACAACCTTTTGAACTCGTTTCTATTTCTGTGTGTACTCTATTTATGCTCCGCAGTAAATAAACATGTTTTCCTTTGGGGAAAATGTAGATTTCACACAGTCAGACTAGTTTGTTCTTAAGGATGTGTGTTGATGATTATGAGATAAAATGATTTCTGGTTCTTTGTTATTTAAAACTAGACTAAATCTTTCAAAATGAGACAAGGTTAAGTAAGAAAGTCATTTAAACAATTATTCATTTATTTATTTTCTTTTGGCTTAGTCCCTTTATTATTCTGAGGTCTCCACAGCGGAATGAACCGCCAACTTAACCAGAATATGTTTTACACAGCGTGTAAAAACATTGGAACATTCTTACACCCTCATTCACACACATGCACTACGGCCAGTTTAGTTTATTCAATTAACCTATAACGCATGTGTTTGGACATTGGGGGAAACCAAAGCACCCTGAGGAAACCAACAAGAACATGGGAAGAACATGCAAACTCCACACGGAAATGCCAACTGACCCAGCCGGGGTGCAAACCAGCAATCTGAAAATGTTTATTTCTACATTTTTAACATGCTATTTTTATTAGACTTTTCAGAGCACTTTGCTATGAGCTTAGCTTAATTAGATTAGACTTTTGTTTTTTTTTCATTAGTAAACAGTTGTGTGCAAGCATCGCTACTCTTATTTTGATCTCCTTCTGCTTTGCTTTATTTGGTTTTAATTTAGGTATATTTATTTTTAAACACGTGTTTTATTTATTCTTTACTTTGCTGTGTTTTGTTATATATTTGCTTTACGTTTCCTTGGGTTAAAGTTGAAATAATTTTAAAAGACTTGACTGGTAAATTTGCGGTAACATATACATATTTTAAGACATTATATTTATTTTTTAGTTTTAACTTTGCTTGTTGCAAAACTAGATGCCTTTTATTTTATGATTTTTTTTTTTTTGATTTTTTTTTATGTTTTTGTTTAGGACAGTTTTAGTTTTGTCTTTTCATTTAATTTAGTTGTTTTGTTTGTTTTATAATTTAGTTCATTTTTTATTTTGTATTATAGTTTTTTATTTCATTATTTTAAAATAATATCATAAAAACAAACGAAAAGAAATATATATATTATAAACTGTATATATATATACACCACACAAATGTGTGTGTGTGTGTGTGTGCGTGCGTGTGTGTGCGTGCGTGTGTGTGTGTGTGTGTGTGTGTGTGTGTGTGTGTGTGTGTGTGTGTGTGTGTGTGTATAGAAAAAAAAGAAAAAAATAAGAGAAACACTGTCATGGAATATTTCTGTAAAATATGTTTAAATATTTACAGTGCTAAAAAAGCTTTGAAAAAATAAAGGAAAAATAACAGGAATATATGACATGACATAATATAATATGTTATAATATAATATAATATAATATAATATAATATAATATAATATAATATAATATAATATAATATAATATAATATAATCTGTAATTTATTATATAATAATATAATTATATAATAATAATAATTATATATAATATAACATGTAATTTAAATAAAAAATATAAAAAGCACAAATATAATATAATTTATTTATTTTTCCTTGTGTGCATTTTGTTCCAAATCAAACAAAGTATTAAAATATGATATGTTATATTTTATTTAATAATGTAATTGTGTAAAATATACACTTGTGGGTTTATTTCTTAATGCAATACAAGATTCACAGCAGTATAATTATTTAATACAAAATGCTATATTTTATTTATAATTTTGTTTTTGTTGACCTTGTTCTTTTGTCATTGCTTGGTTGTAAAATAACATTGTTCTCACAAAATAATTAATTTACTTATTAACAGTAATAAAAGTGGAAAAATCTAGTCTTAAATTCATGTAATACTTTAGCAATTTGAATATGTCAATTTAGTAAAACTATTCATGTTATTGTTAATAACGTTAAAAAACATTTGCTGTGCTTCATATATTTTGGTTTTTGGTAATAATAATAATAATAATAATGATAATAATAATAATAATTATTATTATTATTATTATTATTATTATTATTATTAATGTTATTTTTATTATTCATAGTTACTGATAGACATGTTCTCATATTTCCCTGTGTTTTTTAGGCTTGTCGATTGATTTCTCATCCAACAAGTTGTACTGGATCAGTTCCGGAAACGGGACCATAAACAGGTGTAATTTGGATGGGAGTGGCCTGGATGTGATTGACAGCATGAAAAGCCAGCTCCGGAAAGCCACAGCATTAGCAGTGATGGGTGAGTGAAGGCTGTTTTCATCACCATTCATTGACTAAGGTTAATTATAACCGAGCAAATAATGGCGCTATTTAATTAGCACAGTGATAGACGGTATAAATGGGATTGTGAAAGCGGCGCATGAGTGATAAGAAAGGGCTTCTGCTGAATGTAGGCCTCTGGGTTTTGTTAAAGGGCTGTTTTAGCGCACTGCAATTACTAATCAATTGAGGGAGATTGTTGTTTTCAAAGGATTCGAATCTTGTTTTATTTCTTGAACTTCAATGATTCACGACTTTTGAAGTCACAGCTGTGTTTGCTGATTGCCGGGTTTGAGATCGGGCTGAAATCTGTGCTGGCATTTTTTGTGTGAGGTTTCTGGCTCATGGTTGGATTTCAGTGCTAAAAACTCCCAAAAATTAAATAAAGTAATATTAAAGATTACACATGATAAAAACTAAATATGTTTTAATTTAATTTAACAAATATACTTGTATTGTTAATATTATTTTTTTGCAATGATATTAGGGGAAAAAATAGGTGATTGATCAAACTGGAGGAAACCATATTCACAATAAAATTAGATAAAACAATAAAATATTTTTCCTACCTCTGGATAAAGTTTTAACTTTATTTAGTCTTTTTTTATTAATATTATTTAAGATGCTTTGGACTCATTTAGTTTTATTATTTATTCACTAATTTATTTATTTTGTGTTTTTTGGGGTTTTTGTTTGTTTGTTTTCCTCCTTTGTTTACTTATTTTGTCTTGTTTTGATGTGTATTTATGAGTTATTGATTAGTTATTTCGGGTATTGATTCCTAATGATATCCGCCATAACACTTAAATTTTCCATTTGTGGGAACAAGGGTTCGATTCACAACCGAGACAATGTCTTTAACATCTTTGGGTTCCAAAAACTTCCATTATTCCATTCCATCATTTCCTTTGTGGTTTTTGTGAAAAATACTAAAAATAATAAATATATTAGTAAAAATGAAGAAAATGAAGAAAAATATTTTTTATTGAGGTTTACAAGTCATTTAACTGTAATTGCTGTAGCATTTTTTTTACTATTTGAATAACTCAGGATCAGTTAATCAGTTAGACTCAAGATTCTCAAAGAAATCAGTCAAGTTTGGTAAAGGAAAAATCATGGTTTGAAGTTACATTCATTACGGAGGTGCAGAAGACTGCAGAGTGGATGGCAACATCAACAGCCTGAAATATCAAGACATTTGTGCTGCCCATTACATTACAAACCACAGGAGAGGGCAAATTTTTCAGCAGGATAGCGCTCCTTTTCATACTTTAGCCTCCACATTACAGTTCCTAAGAGCAAAGTAGGTCCAGGTGCTCCAGGATTGGCCGTCCAGTCGCCAGACATGAACAATATTGAGCATGTCTGGGGTAAGATGGAGGAGGCATTGAAGATGAATCCAAAGAATCTTAATGAGCTCCTGGAGTCCTGCAAGAATGCTTTCTTTGCCATTCCAGATGACTTTATTAGTAAGTTATTTGAGTTATTTGGTAAAATAAGCGTAATCTACAGACCTTTACATTTCATATAAGCCACTTCTGATGCCAAATGATTAAATAGAATGATCAACTTTGATTTGAATGGTTTTGTTTCAATTTTTCTCACACACAAACACACACACACACACTCACACACACACACACACACACACACACACACACACACACACACACACACACACACACACACACACTTTACGCTAGTTTTGTTTAATCTTTTTTTTCTGTCTTGTTTTTTGATGTTTTCTTGTTGTTTTTGTTTTACTTTGCTTTCCATTTATGGCTTAGTTTTGCTTTACTTTGCATTGGCTTTGCTTTGTTGCACACTTTTAGTTTTTAGTTCTTGTTTTTTGTTTTACTTTGTGTCATATTTTTTTTTCTTTGTTTTCTCTTTTAATTCATATTTGTTTTTATTTTGCTTTGTTTTTGATAAATGCACAAAGATCCTACAATCACCATGCAATGTTTAATTTCCTATCATCTTTAAAGTAAGCGTTTATGGCATAGTTACATTTGCAAAACAGAGAAACAGAAATGGTTTTTCAGTCTGTGTGTCTGGTCTGATCTGAGAAACTCAGTCAAGCTCTTGCCCTCTTGCTATCATGATTTGATTTCCTCTGACCCGGTGCATAACTCTGTCAAGACGGCTTCGCTGACCATTTTTCATCAGTTGTGGATTGACATTAATCTGTTTAAGAGCGAAACATCTGCTTCAGAACCAGAGGATCATCAGCTAAAGACATCAATTCTGCTCTTTAAAGCACTTCAGTGTTTAGGAGATGAAACGTCGTGACTTCTGAAAGAGAACATTTTAGAGCAGTGGTTCTCAAACTTTTTTCATCAAGTACCACCTCAGAAAGAATTGTCCCTCCAAGTACCACCATATGACCAGTATTGAAATACAGTAGCGTAGTAGGCCTAATTAAGCAGCTACAGCTCTGCACAGTTTAAAAACGTGCCAGATTAATTACTATTATTAATAATATTTTGTATTATTGGCCACTTTAAACCTTATAAATAGTTTGAACAATAACACTGCTGTGCTTATATGTAAAAAATAATTAAATAAATAAAACGTTTAAATTAAAATGTGCTTTTGAAATTTCTTTAAAAATGGTAGGCTACGGTTTTTAAAAAGTAAAAAAAAAAAAATCTCCTGTACCTAAATGGAAAGTGTTAACCTATAGTGTTATATTCATCAAAGCCTGGAAATGCTGCTTGGACCTCATAAATATAGGTTATATGTCATCATATTCATATATGAGACATTTTTCATAAATCTTTAAATATACATTGCATGTACATATGACATATTGGAATACTCTGTGTACCGCTAGAAGGCAGCCCGCGTACCACTAGTGGTACACGTACCACAGTTTGAGAACCACTGTTTTAGAGGTTTCTAAAACTAAATTGGATATTTTTGACATTGATGTTGTCTCAATAGGTACATATTTTAGGTTTTGAATGTTTTTCATAAACGAAAAAAAGAGGCCATGAGGTTTTATTAATTATTTGTTGTTTGATTTTAAACTGATTGTACATTATCGTAACTAATAATAGTTAATAATGTTAAAAAATACATGCTTATGCTTATTTTATATATTAATGCTTATGCTATTGTATGAATATTACATATAATATTGTATAAAATACAAAAATTTATTTCTATTTGGAAATATTTGCATTAATGTAAAATTACATGGAATAATATCTGATTATTTTAGAAATATACTTCATCAGATGTAATACTAATTATTGTAATAATTAATAATTTAATAATTTAATAAAAGCATTTTTAAAATTTATATATATATATATATATATATATATATATATATATATATATATATATATATATATATATATATATTAGCGCTGTCAAAATTAACGCATGCTATTAATTTTAAATAATTAACGCGTTAAAAAAAATTAACGCAATTAACGCAGTTCAGGATTTTTTACTTCCTGTTGTGGTGGACATATGTGTTCAACATGCAATAAATGTGGATAAGACCAAGGAAGCACTTTTTGAAGGCAAGTTCCAGTATAAAACAATTAGTTGCATCACAAGTTTCATGCAATTTCGGGTGTTTCATTTTTAACTTTGACATCTGTTGTAAGTTGATATCGCATGGCGAACAGAAAGAAAATCCTCCGCATTTCGTGACTCGGTGTTCCTTCAAGGTAAGGTTCCTTTTAAGGCTACACGGTAGAATTTTAACAAGAGTATTATCTTAATCATATTAAAATCGGAGTATTGGTGTCTTATGTAATCAGAACGTCTGGTGAAGTCGCGAGCTGTCAAAGACAGGGCATTACTCTGCCTTTCAGCATGAGCCCTCCACGTTGTTTCCTCATTAAACGCAACGAAAGCGTATGCTTCGCGTTGTTGTGTCAGAATCCTTGTGAAATACAGTAATACTTTAGGACGCTTAGTTTAGGACGCTTAGTAAATTTGATGAACGTGATCATGCGTGTTGAATCTGAGGGGAGTCGCTCCAGTATGGAAGGCTGTTGGGGCCAAAACGTCTGCAGCGCGTTGTGTGTGTGTGTGTGTGTGTGTGTGTGTCTGTGTGTGTGTTTGTGTCAGGCCCGTTGAGGGATGTCAGGGGTGGAGTGAGCGACGTATCTGAGTAGGGGCGAGAGGGGTGTGCAATGTATTTAATGACCGGTTTGCAAGAAATTATCATTCATTTGCGGTCATTTGGTAGTCTCTGTGCACTTGCGGGATACTCCTAGTCTTAGCAACTGGATGAATGTAAAGGAGGATTAAACAAAATTGTTTCTACTCTATAATTAATGTTCTCAACTCGCAGCAATAAAACTTTACAATGAGTGCAACAGTTTGTATTCTATAGTTTATTATTATAATTTTTCATTTTCCATATTTGCAATTCCTGTATGTTGGCATTTTTTTGCAGTCCACTTAGAATCCAACATGGAAATCAATGTTTTCTTTATTGGCATTGATTGTTTTGAAATTTAAATGTCATTAACATGCCTGTGTTTTAATTTCTGTAATAAATATGGCTGTCAAGCCTGGATCTTGATGGTTTATTGTGGGTATGTTGTTTACATGAAGAAATCTGTGTTACAAGTTAAACAAAAATTCTATTAAACAATAATATTTTGAATTTAAATATTTTTTTCTTGCGTTTACATTAGTTTTACATTTAAATAGGCAAAATTACAAGTTTCAGTATTTTAAATGCGATTAATTGCGATAATTTTTTTTAAAAAGGTGCGATTAATTAGTTTATTTTTTAAATCGATTGACAGCACTAATATATATATATATATATATATTGTAAATGCTCAAATTTAACAGAGTGCATTTATTTTGCTTTGTGAACATTCTGTTCCAAGTTAAACAGAAAGTAATTACATTTAATGTAATACATTTGTGTACAAATAAACATGTGAGTGTATTTTTTAAAGCAATATATGATTCACTGCAGTATCGTAGCCATCACTTCAG